CACACACACACACACACACACACACACACACACACACACACACACACACACACACACACACACACCCCTCCCCCGGTACCTTTATCTTTGGAGATTTTGGGAAGGGATTTTTTTTTCTCAGGAACATCCCAGCTGTTAACGTCCTGTTTTTGGTCTTTCGAAACTCCATCCACCTGCTACTCCTTTACAAGCTTCCAAAAACTAGCAACACCATCCATGGTTGTCCAGGATCCTCATGAAGAATATTTTTTTTTCGTATGACATCACCTGGTTAGGATTTTGGTTCCGAGCTCCCTCACTGATTCCTTCCTTGCCTTCCACTATGCGAAAAATTTTGTCTCAGGAAGAAACCAGCCACTGGTTTTCCTGACGGGGTTTTGAGGTTTTCCAAACTCTATCTGCCGTTCTTCCAAAATCTCGGATCCGGATAAAGCCTGACGTCCATGTTTTTATTACTAGTTTATGTTCCGGATGATCTTTCGATCCCAGCTGTTGGAACCTTCTCTGACGTGCTTGAGGTTTCTGAGAAGTGACCAAAAAAACTCACGGCCAGGAATATGACTCTTAGGAATCGCATTCGTTATTTTAATCATTAGGTTTATAGACTGTAGATTTAAAAAATATATATTTTTAATCGCAACCTGTTGGCACTGGTGCCTCATATGTAATGTTTTTTGGCAGTGTTAGCGGTCATCCAGGAGTTTGCTTCTCCCACAAATCCTCTTGTGGCATCTGTACAAACATTTTATTTTGAACTCGATTTAAGATGTACTCATTTTTTTTCCCACCCTCCCTATTGTTCTTAGTGGGTCATGGTGTTACTGGGTAGACTGTAATCTGCACTTAACCAGCACTTAACTTTTAAGATCTGCAATGAATTATAGCCCCACCTTCACAGTTTTGTTTGTTTTTTTTTTTTTTTTGCTGGTCAAAACCTGCTTTGTATACCCGTTTTCATTCAAGTCACATCAAAGGAGTTCTATATGGAATGACTTTTGGGCCCCCTGTGTATCTTAGCCTGTGCCAAAATCATCCCGCCATCTTTGTAGTCCAGCTGGATCGCCATTTTATTTCTTTGTTTGAAGAAAAAAAAACAAGATGTCTTATTTTGGAAACGTATAGATTTTATTTAAGGTAAAAATCATGTAATTTTGTAAAGTGGGCCTTATTAATGGAATATATTTGTCACAGTTTTGTTTGTGAACGCCATTTTATTTCTTTGTTTGAAGGTGACACACTCCTGGAGAGTTTTTTTTTTTTTGTGTGTGTGTGTGTGTGTGTGTTTGTGTGTGGGTGTGTGTGTGTGTGTGTGTGTGTGTGTGCGCGTGTTTGTTAAGTTCATTTCTCACAACCCGGGGAGAGGGCGGTTCCCATTCATCTTGGCCGTTATTTTCAGGGTTTGTACGTCTTCTGCTGTTTGTGGTGCCAAAGAAAGAAGCTCGCACACAAATAGGAACTTTTGGATCGTACCATCAATCAAACCGTGGGCGGGGGTGTATTGTGACGTTTTCATTCTTTGTGTAAATTCACGTCGTGCGCAGACATAAACATTTAATCACAATAAAAAGGCTTTTATGAGTTTGTATGAGCTGCCAAAGTGGGGAGGGAGAGAGGCAGCTGCTTATAGGTTTTTTGTTCCCCCCCTTCCATCTTATAGACTTACCGGTAATCCATTGTGCATGTTTAACTCTCCTGTGGCATGTAGGTAAACTGCCAACTGTACAGCAGACCATATGTATTCTAATAAAAAATAAAAAGCAACCATTTGTAACACGCTGAGTCGGAGCAAATCTCTTGCTTTTTAAAACCTTTTTTTATTTTCGCTTTCGTTGGCAGGTTTTGGGTTGTGGAATGCAGAAAGTCAGCGGTTCGCTTCTGTCCAACGCAGGTGTTCTTTTTAATTCCCCTACAGGTCTTTTTTTTTTTTAATGATTACACCCCTGATGATTTTAGAAGGTTACACGCTGCGTGCATTGTCAGTCATCCATCAAAGTTTAACTGAACAAACATGCTGAAACTGAAGTCTATCGTTTTTGGGTGAGTTTTAATTCATTTTTTTAAAAAAAATCTATATTTAATTTAGATTGATGTCCATTTTCTGTCTTATTAAAATGACACAGATTCTAATACAATTGCACTGCTAAAATGAAAATATTTCATATGATGATCAACAACAGATCAATGAAATATTGTAAAATTGGCTCTATTAAAAAAAACTCATTTGGGCACTTTATATGTATTATATGTAAGTTACGATTTACATTTTATGAAATGGACATTCAATGTTTGAAGTTAATGTTTTTTTCAATATTAACTTGTAAGGTTAATTTAGAATGTTTTCAAATCAAATCTTGCAAAACTGAAGTGTGCTTTGCTTTTTCTTTGGCTTTCAAAATGCCAGCAGGTTACACTTTTGCTTGCACTGCAAACGCCTTCCTGTGCCTTCTCGATTATTAGGTGTCGTCAAAAGGTGAGTAGTTTTTCTTTATTTTAGTTGCATCGTCGAGTGTTTATTAATGCATGCTGGACAGTTCCCGTGTCACAAGTCGAGTTAATACTAAGTCTTCGGCCGAGTTCTATTCCCGCAGCAGCGAGTAACCAGGATTCAGGATTGTTTTTTGTTTACACAATGACAAATCCAAGTTGTGGTTTCAGTCATTTAATAACAAAACAATTAAAAAAACAAAAACAAACAAAGTCATGGCAAACATGATGAAATATCTCAATTACAAGTACATTCTTTTCAATATATCTTTTCATACAAACTATACTACACTTCATAACCCAACTGACGACACGTTTAGCTACACCCGAATGGCGCTTTTAGTGTGGCGGGTTCACATGTATAAACAAAAGCAGGACGTCCATGCTTCAAGAATCAAGACGATCCGCCCTCCCCCTCCCCCAAATGTCATCTCATCATCCGGGCCGCTTTTCATTCGGAATGTTGACTTCCCTGGCGATTGAGGGGGAATGGGGGGGGGGGGGGTCTTTGTAGTTGCAAGAGGACAGTTTCAGACCGTGGTGGCAGTGGGCTGAGCCTGAGGTGGGTTGTTGGCGGCAGTGGGCGTGGCCTGCCTGGGGAGCGTGTACATGGCGCCGAGGAACTGGTCTGCGATGCGCCCGGCCTCACGGAGGCCGCTGAGGAGGGCACCATGTACCGTGGCTGGGTAGTTCCTAATTGTGTGCTCGCCCGCGAAGAAGAGTCGGGGAACAGGCTAGAATGATGAATGAGGGAGGGGAACATACATAATCAGAACCTGTAAAGACTGTTGACTGTTATAAAGTAACTGTATTTAATTTATGGACGGTTGTTTCAAATATTTTTGAGTTTTTGCACCACAATACGTGACGATTAATTTTTAATCTTGCTCACAAGAAATATGCACAATTAAATAAAACTAAGAAAAAATATATTTAAAAAAAAAAAACAATAAAAAGTAACAGCCTGCTCTGAAAACTAATAAAACTAACTGAATTAAAAAAAAAAAAAGTCAATTAATTTAAAAACTAACTACAATAACTTCCCAAAGCATGATAACCCCGATGGACATGCCCGCTCACCTGCGAGGCTCCCGGGATGGCAGGACCCGGCGTGATGGGCTGCGCCATCAGGTCATAATCATTGCCCGAAGAACCAGCTGCCACATAGGAGTAGGAGCCCCGTGCCCAGGGGTCGGCGCGCCAACGCGTCACCACCGTCTCCTTTGGCTGCCACGGCGATGGACAAGATTACATTGCAGAAGCGGGAACCTCCGGGTAACGGTATGAGTTGGTTTACCTGAGGCACGGCGCTGCTTCCGAAGATGCCCTTGAGGATGGCGAGGCAACGTCCCACGATGACATCGTCACTGATGTTCTCCATGATTCCGGCCGCCTCGCCTGCCATCAGAGCCAGCAGGATGGGAGCTGACGGGGACAAAATCGCACGGGTGGACTTTTAGGATGAGGCAACCAAGTCGCGCTACCACGTAGGCGCTTGATAATGAAGCCGCCGTGACACCAGACTAAAGTTTGCGCTCTCTGGTCATCTTGCATGTGAGGTAGGAGGACATATTTTCATTTTTGAGAATTGTTCATGCAGTTTTGGCTTGCGAGCAATTTATCTTAAATACTATGTTTTTAAACAGGATACAATACATCAATATGGTACTGGAACAACCGAATCCAAATGCTCTTTTTGCAGAGTAGGAAAACCGAAGCATACATAAAAATCTTTTTTGTTGCAGTTTGCCATGTTGACAGCCGTGTCAGGCAGTGCACATTTGGACTCAAATTGTGCAGCTTAAGTTGACCATGCAGTAATCTGCTGCACTGCGGCTGGAGTGTCACCTTTGTAGAGGTTCCAGAAGAGGAAGAGTTCACCCCGACTGGCCGTGGTGGAGCCCACGTGACCGAACAGGTTGACGCTGGGGTCCCAGAACACGCGGTCGAAACAGAGCACCACCTGTGAAAGACCGAAAGAAAAACAATTGACCGTTAGAGAGGCATGGAGGGAATTGTATGAATGCTTTTGAGTGAGCGCCCTCTGCTGAAGAGAGCGGGATTTGCAACGCATTGCATAATAATGCACTGCGGCAGAACAGTGGAGGACACCAAAGTCCTCACGGTGCGGAGTGACGCGTGTCCTTCAACCCTCACGCGCACCCCCACGCCAATGATTCAGGTTTGTTAGAATAAGAACAACAATAAGAACATGATTATCCCCGAGTTCTGTCGTGATAACGGCTACAATTGGTTCTGCGTGGACATCCGCCATCAAGGTCAAACGTGGAGCAAAGGGCGTGCCATGAGATGAGAGACGTGATGAACAAATCTTTTTAAAATCGATTGTCCGAGTGCTTATTCCATCCATTACTTAGGTAATCAGTTCAGTGGTTCCAGGTGTGGGAAAGATGGTTTTAAATCGATTAAATATATTTTTGCGGTTGACTTAATTGTGTAAGCTGATCCCTCGCCCCGCCTGGGGGGTACAAGTTTAATTCAACCACGCTTGCGAATCAAAACATTTATCTCAGATCATCGTTCCCACTGAAATGAATGGAAGGAAATGCCTTTAACCCGTGCCTTTAAACCCCCCCCCCCAAAAAAAGTTTTAAAAACAGAAAAATCAAACTGTTATTGTCCTTTATAAAAACAGATTGGCCAGTGCTTCTAATACTGTAGATGCCTCAAGAAGATGCTATTATTCATTTTTCGGAGAGGATAAAGAATATATGCTTGTGGGCATTATCTGTCTACATGTGTTGCACCACCGATTGTGTTGAATGTTGCTTCGAAGACCGTGACTGTCAATGCTAACGTAGCATATCAATGGTGTTTTGCATTGTTAGCATGAAGCAAAATGGCAAAGGTATGCTGCAGTTTTGACTCTTTGTTTCACGTTAAGTTTGACAGAATGTTTCTACGAGGAATGGCTTTTCTTGAAACCTCTCTCTCTCTTTTTTTTCCCCACTCACTCAGCACCCTTTACTACACTTTCGCTCATACGCTCGACTCTCTTGCGCTCTCCATACCTTGTTGAGGTTCCCAAAGCCCATCCTCTGTATGGCAGAAGTCTTCCACTCGGGCAATGGCGGCACAAACTGGACGGCGGGCGGCTGCTGCTTGAGCACGCCTAGCGGCAGCGTGCACAGCACCGCGTCGCACTTGTAGATGAACGTCTGCGTTGCGGAGCGGGTGTTGACAGCGATTACCTCGCAGCCTGGCGGGCGATGGGAATTTTAAAAAAGCATGTTGTATCTTCTATAATGGCAATTCTGATGTCCGAGACTGACTCACCAGAGGCTGTGTATCGAACCTGCCGCACGGCCGTGTTGAGTTTGATGTCCAAGCCTTCGGCGAGAGCGACGGGCACGCACGAGTAACCGTTCCTCACGGTCAGGTGGCTGCCGGTGAACTCAAAGTCGTCGTCCTGTGGGAGGGAAAATCCCCCCCGTGAGCAAAAAGCTGCGTGGCGGTTGAAGACGCGTGAAAACAAAGACGCACCTGATCCCAGTGTTTGAGTGAAAGGGTAGAGAGGGGCGTGGCGTTGGCAAACTCCAAGTTGGCAAAGTGCCAGTCTAGTATTTGGCGGTCTCTGGACGACAGGTAGACGTCACTGCAGACACAAGAGGAGACGGGAGATGATGTTGGAAAGTGGGGTTGAAGAGTTTTGAAAAATAATCTCGTTTTTGTTTTAATGTTGCGATTGCATTTGAAGATGCAATTATTTTCTCAAACGTACCGAGAATTAAGATAAGACCGTTTATTTTTCCGCTTGAATTTGAGTTAACTTAATTAACACTAGCACGTCTTCAAAAGGTTCACTACGGCAACTTAACAAAATTCTACCAAACAAATGTGGCGTGAACCAAAGTCAGAAAGTCATAAATCAGATTAGAACTAAAGAAAACAAAGCCGAGGCTTTATTACTTTATCGCTTCAGTTTGTGCATTGCACTTCTTAAGCACTGAACGTATCCGGACACTATATCAGTCAAAGGAAAAGAAATATGAAGCAGAGTTGAGACAGACAGACATACTGTTGATTGATACGTCTCATCTTCCTGCAGCTCATCAGTGCGGCACTAATATTACTCATGCTCTTTTCCTGCGCCGGTTGTGTTAACGGGTTAAAGCACTGGAACCTCGGTGCTGGTTAGCATTAGCATCAAGCTAGCCGGCTGAAAGGCTAAGCTACGTGTTTGTTTCAAGTGCACAAGATGTCAACTTCAACCGGGATTGGCATTAATCAGCTTGGAGTCTCTTGTTTGACTGATTGCTCAGTATTTGCCAAAGTGCTGCTTACGGTGACGTGTGTTGGGTTAAGTTCCCTGACGGCATAAAGCAAGGCACCGCAGTACTAGCTCGAGGGTACCACAAATGATCCATTGATATGATTTCTCCTACAGTAGTGACTTCGGCTCTAATCCTACCGCACAAATGGTGTGTGGACCAAACAGCAAAAAACATTTCGATACCTGGGTGGGTTGGCCTCGAGCTCCTGGAGCTTCTCCTCCAGCTTCCCCTGCAGCTCCTGCAACTCGTCGTACTCCTGCACAAACGGCAAAGTTTTGAACCTCACCTAATCTTGCCAGTCGGTGCATAAGCCGCGCACACGTCCAATCGAATGCGCGAGACTGCGTGTGTGCATGAAAAGACACACTGAGACCTTGAAGTAGTTTGTGGGGCAGAAGACAAATCCAGCAGACAGAGAGGCGATTTATCTGTGCACCCCCGAAAAAAAAGAAGAAAAAAAAAAAACTACGAGCGCCGATGCTAATAATACATCCTGCCACTTAAACATAGCCTGTCTGGTTGAGTTAGATAGCATTACATGAAGAGATTCCGGGCTGGGCCATCTGTAAAATATCCCTTGCTACCAATTATAATCTTTCGGAAATCGAATTGCGCCTCAAAGTAGCAGTAGACAGCGCCCAACGCAGACAGGCGGTATGTAATGTAAAGCCACTTGAAGAGAGTTTGATTCTAAAACTTGAGTGCTTGTTCTTTGACCGGAACGCTGTAAATGAAAGCCTTGGCTGAGACGTCTCAGTTCAAATGTTGCGAAGGAATCCATTGGCGTCGCTGCTTTTCAACAGGCACGGAGTGGATAAAAATTCCAATCGGCGCACCCCAAAGTCTTACAGAAGAGTGGAAGTTATGGAGACCACACCATATTGTTGTTGTGATATGTTCCTCTATTCACAAAAAGTTAGGAGTAGTCAGCTTTTGGGGGAAATTTCAGTGTTTCAATGTTTCTCAAATCACGTTTTGCATTGAAAAAACAAAATCAAATTCCTGGTATAATTATAGCGAAACTGTCCTTTGGGGTTGATTTGAAAATGTATTTATTTCTGTTTTATTGTACGGCTGAGCAAAACGAAGACTGCCAAACAGTCGTGTGGGCTCCATAAATGTGCCTCAGTAAAACTAATACTGAAACTAATAAAAACTCAACTAAAATGAAGCATTAAAAAAAATAAATAAATAAAAAACTCGTCAAAACAAAATAAAAAAACTTGCTCTAATGAATGAAAAATGCAAAACTGTTATAACCCTGATATAACTGTACAGTATAAACTAGGTTAGGAAGTCGACCGACGGCCCGAAACGAAGCAAAGTATCCCTCCACAAATTGCAGCCTGTGCAATTTGAAAATTACATTCTGCTCCATTGCTATGTCAATCTTAATGTTAAGCCATTTTGCAGACCTTGCAGTTCTCTCACAAGGAAATTAAGTGTTTCGTTTATTTTTTTTATTGCTTTCCAAGGACGTCCGCTGAGGCCTTTCTGTAACTCTTGCGGTCTCTGTCGAAAACCTTGTGATGACACTAAACTCGGTGGCCACTTCCCTCGAACAACTTCCAGTTTGAAGCCTCGCAATGGCAACGTACTGTTTATCAATTGTTAAGTGCCTTCTTGATTTCATGACGTCACAATGCGAAGAGCACGATGAAGAGGAGTGCTGAAATAGCAATTAGAATTGTACCAGGAAATGTATTATCTTCAAAATACAGTTGGATGTGTGCTTTCTAAAGTTCAGAGAAGGTAATAGAAAGTTGTCACCCCGTAATAGTGGTACGGGGCCATTTTAAGTTGACCGTAACATTTGACCCAAACGCTTTTTTATGAGTCGCGCGTGTACGGTGTCATTGAATTGTGTTGCGTGAACTCACTTTGCAGAGCGATGTCAGGTCTCTGTGCTTGCTCTTCACCAGGAACTCCGCGGTGATGTCCCTCGGCGGTTTGACGTCACTGGCCTCTTTGAACTGCTGATGGAGCTCCTTCACCCGCTCCTTGGTGGACACCATCTAAGACGCCAAAGAGCAAGGTAAAGCGTCGCATTTTAGATTCCTACTCGGAATTCAAATACTTTTTACACAACAATTTTAGGTGCGCAAAGTTGCTCACCTTGTTGAGCAAATCTCTGAGCTCTTCTTGCGTCTTCACAATCTTGTTCCAGTGTTCTATCTGCTCATCTTTGACATGCTTCTCCTGCAGCCTGCACACAGGTATGTATGAAATCTTGACCGCATCTTGTTTGAAGTCAGATACATCGGGGTGGTGTCGAAAGGCAAACGCTTGGTCCAAATGCGTGGTGTGGACTTCACTGTACAGAAGATGAGATATGAGGGCTGTACTCACTGTATGACCACCTCCAGGGCCTGTCCCAGCGAGACGGGCTTGTTGTTGAGGAAGTTAAAGTCCAGCTGGTGACTGAGGAAGGAGGTGGCCTCCAGCAGTCTGTTGAACTCCTGCTCCACCATCTCGTCTTTTTCTTTGGGCACCTTGAATTGCGCAAAAAACAAAACGATGAATGACTTTTGAAACTTAACTCGTCAAAGCCGTCATCAGAATTGGCTACAGCTCAAATACAACTATTTGTAATCATCACAATGTAATACGAAGATGCAGCAGTTAGTTCACTATTGAGATACACACCGTGCAAGGGCAGAGCCACGCTAGATCGATAAAATGATTGTGAGTGATCGAAATCAAAACACAAACTGAAAAAAATATAGAGCAGTGACGACACTTAATGGAGATTATTTGAATATGAACAGTTTCCAAGTCGAATTCCTGTCCAAGTTTAATTTGCTAACTCCTGCTCCACCATCTCGTCTTTTTCTTTGGGCACCTTGAATTGCGCAAAAAACAAAACGATGAATGACTTTTGAAACTTAACTCGTCAAAGCCGTCATCAGAATTGGCTACAGCTCAAATACAACTATTTGTAATCATCACAATGTAATACGAAGATGCAGCAGTTAGTTCACTATTGAGATACACACCGTGCAAGGGCAGAGCCACGCTAGATCGATAAAATGATTGTGAGTGATCGAAATCAAAACACAAACTGAAAAAAATATAGAGCAGTGACGACACTTAATGGAGATTATTTGAATATGAACAGCTTACAAGTCGAATTCCTGTCCAAGTTTAACTTGCCGCTTGAAAACAATTGACAAAAGGTCGGCCAATCGTTATTCATTATTCATTTTTATTACATAATACAGTGGTACCTCAGTTTGGAAGATGGTTTACAATTCACCCAGTTCAGGTTTACTACAAATCACACAGTGTTTTTTTTTTTTTTTTAAATCAAATCTCATAAACTTGATGCTTGCTTAATGCTAAAACACAATGCAAAATGCCATAGACAAGCCAACAAAATTAGCATTGATGTTGAAGGCATGAACGCAACGGCTATTCGAAAAATAAATGGTGCAGCAACACTTGTAGACAGACAACATGATACTCAAAGGCTTCATCCTCTGCAAACACGACTTTTACTGCATCTTACTGACTCACATGTCAAAATTCACCTCGTTTATTATTTATGTCTATTAATCTGCCCCCGGTGGCCAATGTGCACAACAAATGGCAGCACATTGTCAATGTAGTGTACAACACACAAGGATGTACAGTGTTTTGTTTTTTTCTTATTATGGAAAAAAAACATTACCAAAAAATGGGTTGGTGTTTTTGGGTGGCTTGAAGAGATTGTTGGCATTTCCATTCATTCCAGTAGAGAAAGATGAATTACAATGCACATTTTTGGAGGTAGGAGCATGGTTTGAGAACAAATTAAACTCGTAAGTTGAGGCACCACCGTCTTCTTCATATATTCTAGATTCATGCAAATGTAGCATCTATTTTTTTTCATTCTTATTGCATACAACACTGCCGACTATTCTTGCTGCTGTTCACGTTCACTTCTCTGCAGTATAACACCTACTTAAACATAGTTTGCATGTAACATATTTATCATTAATATTCATGTACAGTTGGCATATAGTGTTGTTGTTCATTTTGTTCCGTCTCATAGCGTCATTCTGGAAAGATGTGCAAATACTTTTGGGATTCTTTGTATTCTTGTGTACCACTAGCTACTCATCGGAGGTGCAGCTGGGATTCCCCACGTGCGGGGCTAATAAAAACATTCTCCTACTTTAAACAGGAGGAGCCAGCAAAGTGAGAAAAGAAATGGCCTTGCTTCCACAATGATATTCAGCACATGAAAGGAGGAATGAAATGATGTAAGTAAACCAATACATACACTAGTGCACCGTTCACCCTTTAGTTGTTCAGCGGTTGGCGAAACGAGACAGAGGAGGGAAAGGGGAGGGGGGGAGAGAGAACATATCATGTCAACAAAAGGGAAAACATGTACATTTCATTTGTGCTGCCTCAAAAGCCTCCAACCTAGACATCCTATTAATGGAGTCTTAGAGAAGATTTCATTGACATTAGCCCGTGTCTATTTTGTGCTCCGTGCGCCAGTTGTTTGGAGGTTACCTAAAGCCACGGTTCACTGTGTTGATGTGGTTTAGGAATAGCTAGACGACCGCCTGGGGACAGCACAGAACTCAACTTTGAGAACACTCAGGCCACAAGAGATCTCGCAAGCGTTTTCTTTAATGAAGTAAACAGCGCATGGTTTAGAATGGAAAAAAAAAAAAAGAAAATTCATCGGCTACAAATATTAAATGCAGCTGAGGTTACACTGTCATGTCTGATGGTTAATTGCTGTAGTTTGCAAGAAGCAGGCAGATAGCATATTTCCTCAAAGAGTGGCGCTCCGGTCTCGACATTGTACCTTGAATTAATCAACAACACTCGAACAAATAAATGCCACACCTCGAATTGACACCGCTCTTTTCCTCCCCATTCACATTCACTCATAATTACTCAGCCCCTATTATATTTATTTATATAGCGCATCACAAATACGGTCATGATTTTGTTTTTTATTTAATGGGGCATATTTTAAAAGTGTGTACATTTTGGAAATTATTTTTAACAGGGGCGGAATTTGATTTGAATTAAATGGAAAAAATATAGATTGAATTTAATCAAGTCAAAACGGCACTCTCTCTACCACTGTATGAGGAAAATACGATATGCTCTCGCGTCAATTGCATGCGCGTATCTGCGATTTGCAGTTGGACAAGCTGCTTCTCACTTTTAAGCCGGTCATACTCACGGCCTGGCCATTGGCTTCATACAGCGGACACTTCTGTTTGATCTTGGCCAGCTCCATGTTAACCTGCTTACTGACCACAGCCATGGGATTCCCTCCTGACCAAGCGCACAGACGAGACCAACGGAATATTTATAGACAACAGCGCCCTCTACAGGTTGATGAAAAGAAAATGGCTGAGTCATCCATACCCAGGCCTGTCACAACCATGGCCCCCAGATCTGCCACATAGTTGCCCTTCCTAAATGTGGCCACCCTGCCTCCGACGCGGTCCTACAAAGATGAGTCCAAAAGAAATGAAGAAATTCCAACAGTTAGACTGAAAATAGTCAAATTAGGAGCCAAAGGACAATTGCGTCGCGCGCAGACACCCACCCTGGCTTCCAATACAGTGACATCCATCCCAAAGCTCTGCAGTTGGCGGGCTGCAGCCAGGCCGGACACCCCTCCGCCAATCACAATCACCTTTCCGGTCTTCTTGGCTGTAACGAAGCATGTCAACAATTCTTTGAACGAGCCACAACGGCAGCTAAAATATAGCAGAAGAATCCGACAGCCTGTCATGCTGTACCGTATTTATTTTCTCATATTGCGACTGTAGGCGTCTACAGAGATGATCTGGTATTTGAGAAAATTATACAAATGTGTTTATATCTGAAACTATCCATTCCATTTTCTTGACGCCAAAGGTCAACTCACTGGGTAAAGGCTTGACCCTCTTGTAAATGCCAAAGTTGATCAGCCCGTGCCTTTCAAGGTAGCTGTGTATCCTGTGCACCAGCACAGCATCGCCTGAGCGGGATACAAAGAACATGAAATCGCAACTGAAGGACGAGTATAACTTGTCGTTTTTCTGACTGTTATTTCAAGTGTCTTACTGTTGTATGGAGCTTCAAGCTGCTGTGCGGTGGTCTCAAAAGTCAGCTGGATCTTTGGGTTGTCCAGCCACAGTTGGAGCTGGTAGGGGATGAAACACAAATGGTAATATGAAGGCCTGAAAGGGGAGACTTTTTGAAGAGGCGGTCACGCAGGTTCGGGGGACACTTACTGTGCGGTTGCGGATGTAGAGGAAGACCTTTTGGGTCTGCTGGGGGCCGCTGATGATGTCGGGGAAGCATGCGGCTTCCTGGGATGTCATGCGGTCGTGAGGGAGGCGACTCTGAAAAGCAGCGCCTTCCACACCTGATTATGGACATAGTCTGTTAATGCTTAGCGTTACAAAAACAACGACAGCACAACAGTAAAGCATGGGTGTTTTGCTGTTTTTATCCATCCATCGTACAGACGGCTTATGTCTGAAATGCCAATGATTGTTTGATATTCTTTCTTCTGTATGGCTGTACAGTAATTACAAAATAACTACATTTGAATTAAACCCTGAAGCACATTTATGAAATTGACAAAGACAAAAACAAAGAACATTTTTGCTATCATCATAGTTCGTTTTAGTCAGTTCCATAAACGTAAAATGCAGTTTCATTTTTTTTAATGCACTCTCATTTTGATTTGATTTCATAACACAGCGATTTACTTGTTCTTTAATATGCGTGACAGTGATGAATGTTGATATAATAAACAATGCCTGCACAGTTAAATTACTTCCACAGGAAAATGGCGGTTCTTCGAAAACAAAGCAGAGACTCACCAGATGGTTCCTCGGGTTCACTGTCATTCTCTTCTTCTGGTGGAGGGGCTGGTGGCGGGATGACCTGCTTTCGCTCTTTCTCCGCCTTGGCGTTTCTCTCCTCCTCAGAATAATATTCGTCCTCGGACAGATTGGCCAGGCTCTCGTCCATCTCGCGGTACTCCACCTGCAACAGTAGGCACAATAAAAGCATCATTAAAACCCACATTTCTACAACACGCCACAGCCATTTGGACCATACTCCCAGCATCGCCTCCGGTTAAAATTCTAAAATGTTTACCTTTTGCCGCTTGCGCCGACTCGTCCTGCGGACTTCGGCCGAGTCCGGGTCCAGGGCGCCGGGGCCTCCTCCCCCCTGGTGAGGCATAGGGGCTCCTCCTGACTCGCCGCTCGGGGACGACCTCTCCTTCTTCTTTATGTCAATTGGACCCGCAGCTGAGACTGAAGCAGCCGCCTGGGCATCAGAGCCCTGGGCTCTGTCGCCGCCCGCCGCCCCCGCTGAGGATGTAGAGGATGATGACGAGGACCCAGCGTCGGATTTCTTACTTGACAACATGATGGAGGATGTTGGAGGCCTCTCCTGGGAAAAATTATCAACTAAGGAATTAAAGGCTCAATTTACAATGATAAAAGACAGGAAAATGGTTGAACAGTGAACCCCCGACCATTTGTGAATTTCTGCTGAAAATAACTATTTGTTGAAAGATTCACCTATTCTCGTGCCAATACGTATGTTTAAGCCCTCTTTCTGTCACATTGACCACCATTTTACTGCTGGCCAGCTTGACAGCAGCGTGAAGGAAGATCTCAGTAGCAGGCGAGGCTCCTTGTGCGGTTGACCCCCAAAGAATGCAGGGTGGTAAACTTCTCAGGATGATGGAGAGAACGGTCCAGATCACTGTTAGCAGTGATGAAATTTAAAAGCTAAGATAAAGAACCTTTTGTGATAATTGTATTTTGAAAATATGAGGATTGATGTATAGTGGAGTCAAAAATTTAACAAAATAGCTCAAAGGAAAGTCACTGCAGCAATATACACAACAGTGTCTTTGCACTTCAAATGCATTTATTTTTTTCATAGGCGTCGGGATACTTCTAAGCCACTGACCCCACCAACCCTCCCCCCCTTTTTTTTAGATAGCACTGTCTTGGGCAAATAACTTAGATGGGAATTTTTACAACTGTTGTGGTGCTATCACGGAAGGCTCTGGCCTTTGACACCCAAAATAATGTGAGACATTGCAGCGAATTGTTCCACATTTCTTGTTCAAACTGTCAATGGTTGCTATTCGCATTGGTGAGGGTTCACTGTATTTTAAAACAACATGATGATGACAACTTGTGACTCTGTGATCTGCTGAAATTAAGCAAACACACCAGTGCCCGCGTTGTATAGTGTCGTTAAAAATAAGACTCTTAAGATCCTGTTAATTCTTGTGTTATATCATGCTAATAACCAGCAAACGGTGCCCCCAAACACGTCCAAAAAAAAAGTCTGGATGAATTAAGAGAAGTTAATCGTGCGTGGATGTCATGGTTTTTATGAAAAAAAGGATGCTCTATGGTACAATAACATTGTCTTGTTTTACCCATTTCTCCGTGCACCTGGTTATATCCATTCAAACACTAAAGAGATGAGACAGAACCAGAATAATAGTGTTACGAAAAAAGTAGGCCTTTAACAAAACATTCATAACTTCACTAATTGCAAAATCAAACGAATTAGAAGTCATGTTATCGTAAAAAGAATATTTTTTAGGCCAAACGATTGGAACACCGCTACCGTCCATTATAGACAATCAGGCTAGCTCGCGATCACCGCAATGCTAGCAGCACGTCCGTGGGCTACAGATGAAATATTTGCTCACATTGATTTTCAAAAGCACATTAACATTACATTCATGACCATTTTACGTCTTAGTAATAATAACTGAACTCCAAACGTTCATTTTGTTACTTAAAGAGCCTAAAAGTAAGACATTCACGTTTCAGAAATTTTAGCAAGCTACGTTAGCTGCTAACAATGAGCCCCGGCTCGCATTCACGTCAGGTCAGGTGCGATTTGCAGAAAAAAAACCAAACAATAACGTTGGTACATTTAAAGCACATTAACAACGACACCTTAGTATTAAATTGAAAAATAAATGCACGCGATAAAAATTTTAAATATGAATAATACCTCGCAATCCCCGCAGATGTCAACACAAAGACCACACAGTTCTTCGACCGTTTCTCGACGCACTATCAAAAAACTCGATGCTGAATGGCCACACCAAGGGTTGCCAAAGCGTTTACATTCATTTGATTGGTTAAAAGATCTGTCAGTCAAACCTAAAACCGGAAAAGTTGCTGCTCGCAAAGCATAAAGATCTTTTTATTTTTTATTTTTTTTCAACATGTGTCAACTTGCAATACGCTTTCGTAAAAAAACATTAAAAAACAAATAAAATACAAGAACCAAGAAAAGAACAAATCCCCAAAACAAAACGAAAACATACCAGGGGGTATGAGTAAAAATGTAATCAAAAATAAAAAATAAGTAATGTTTGGGTAGCTTTCTTATGTTTAGTAGCAGATACTGAAAATAAATACAGATCCAGTTTTTTCGGAAAGACAAAGTCCTGTATTTTGCTTCTTTTTTTCAGCGATATATATCATTGTCAGACTGATCGCAGGTCTGCCCTCTCACGGCTATCGTCATAACAAGGATACCAACAGGCGGGACTGTAGACTCGAAGGAAGGTAAAGGTGAGCCGCTGTGTAGAGCACGCCAACTCCAAAAATAGTTGTTTTTCTTTTTTATTTCGCTATTTAAGTCGTCGCTGTGTAAGGTGTAAGTACACGCTAAAATTGTTAACATGTAAATATTTATGATCTAAGCGGTTGATTGTCTGTGTGATTGAATTACCTGGGGGTCCGGCTAATGCTTGGTAGTATTTCAGGAAGTAGTCGTTGTATTGCAATTCTTTATTCGAGAAAAACACTTTTTTAAAGTAAATAAAAGAACAGATATCCCATTTAAAACTTGATTTGATTAAATAAGACAACACCTGAATACACGTAATGTAAGATAGAGACAGAAGTATGATCTTCATTTTGCTTCACAGTGCCGAGAGAATGGTAAAGGAGGAGAATGAGTCGCCCAACCGGCCTGACAACACTGCCTTCACCCAACAGAGGCTCCCAGCGTGGCAGCCCATGCTCTCCGCCGGCATCGTCATCCCTGGGTTTGTCCTCATCGGTCTGGCCTTCATCGGCATCGGCGTTGCCCTCTTGATCACTTCTCGCAACATCCAAGTACTGGAGGTAGAGGCTCAGTTTTACCCCCATGGGCTCTATGTAGGGCTTTCTGTGTCCACTTTGCTTTTGGAATCATTTTAGCCGAAATTATGATGCAAATGTAATGAAACTGATAGCCAAGCCGTTGACCTTTCAAAGGTATGATGTTAGTAATGTGGTTCATCAACATTTAAGATAACTCTTGTATTTATTTTCTCGTTTTCCTGCAGCTTGACTACACAGGCACGGAGCAGAACTCGCCATGCTTTCAGTGCTCGGACCCTGACCAGCAGGACTGTGTTTGCACACTACAGTTCTCGATCAACAGCCTGTTTGAGGTGCCCTCGACTATTATACTGTAGATGTAAAAAACCTTTTCCACCATTAATATGACCTACAACCAAAACAATTTAGTTTAAAAAAAATATTCATGTGAAGGGCAAGCAAAAATAAAGAACGGATATAATCATGGTTGCACAATTGTGCACACACTCTGAGAACAGGTCTCATCATGTTAAATGAGAGTCAGCATATAGCAAAGCTAAATCTCGCTGGAAGTTAGCATGACCACTGTTAGCATTTTAGCCGTTATCGTTTGAAATGTAGTCATAGTCAAATCAACAACAGGGCAAAGTGCAAAATCTTTTTATTTTTGTCTAAGTGATCTCTGCACTCAGGTTGCTATCTTGCTATATGTTAGCAATACAAAGTCAAACTCCTACTTCTGACCCTTGACTGTTTTTTTTTTTTCCCTTTGTGATCTTGTCTCGGACAGGGGCCGGTGTTCTTTTATTACGGCTTGTCCAACTACTTCCAGAACTACAGAAGGTACGGTGTCTCCAGAGATGACGGCCAGCTTTATGGAGACTTGTCTTACTTCAAGGTGAGCTAAAACACTGCCAGGTAGTTTACTAAAATCAAATCGGGACACAGTTTCTTGGCAGAGGGCTTTTGATTTCCCCATCACTCGTTTCTGCATTATATGGCAATACATTATCATTTCTAGTAATCATCTGGGTCTTGTTATTTCTCTGGTCTTTTCCGAAGGAACCCTACGATCAATGCGAGCCCTATCGATTTGACCGCAACAAGCGCCCGATTGTGCCGTGTGGCTCGGTAGCAAACTGTATCGCTGTGTGTGTGTGTGTGTGTGTGTGTGTGTGTGTGTGTGTGTGTGTGTGTGTGTGTGTGTGTGTGTGTGTGTGTGTGTTTTATCCTGAGCTCCTTTTTTTTTTTTCCTGGGTCAAGAGATTCCTTATTCATTCCCGTATTTCTTTGGTTCTCGGAAGACACGTTCAGGCTGTTCCAGATTGTGAACGGCCAGCAGAAGGAGGTGCCCTTGGATGGGAAAGGGATCGCTTGGTGGACCGATTACAACATCAAGTTTAGAAACCCCACTGTCACGCCCCTGAGGAACGCATTCAATAGTAAGTAAAGTCTACTGTGTTCGTTTTTTTTTCCTTTTTTTTGTGTGTGTGTGTGTGTGTGTGTGTTCTTTTTAATGTTTTAAGTAGAAAGAGTGGGTCAATTATAATTGACACTTTCATGGCAGTTAACAATGTGCCTACAATTAAACCGGTTTTATGATGGAAACAGTTTGACCCTGGAATGAATTCTTCCACATTCCATTGTTGTTCCATAATTTCTGTTTGAGCTCTGCCTTTCTTTCGCAGCTCACCCATGACCCTGATGAGGTCAAGCACTGTCAAAAATGGCTGGATGATTACTAATTGTGTGGTTTTTTTTAACTGACTTACAGGCACCGCGAAGCCGCTGTTTTGGCCCAGGCCGGCTTACGAGCTGGACCCCTCTGACCCTGCCAACAATGGTTTCATCAACCAAGACTTCCTGGTGTGGATGCGAAGGGCCGCGCTGCCGGATTTCCGTAAACTTTACCGGCGGATCACCGAGGGGGACTATGCCAATGGCCTGCCAGCAGGAAACTATTCTCTGGAAATCGCTTACAGTATCCTTGCCCGTTTAACAGATTCGGAATTGTTGTTAATGGATGCATGGTAGGGATTGAGCTACCAAAATCAAATTGTCAGTGACATGTAGACACAAGTTTAATACTCATTTGTCTACATAGGTACAATCCAATAGTTTAATTAAATGAATATGCAGATCAGGTTTAGGATCATGCTGTTTTTACATTTTAAGAGAACAAGCAGAAAACAGAGGTGTGTGCTCTTGAAAGTGTCCGCCTAACCTGTTTGACAGGTTGGTCAAGACACTGTTTTTACACATTCAGAAGGGGGGGGGGGGGTCATGTTTTTTTTTTTTTTAATGTAAATAGACTAACGCCTAGGCCTTTGTTCTGGTTTGTAATAGAACAGCTTGGATGTCAGCTCATATTTAACAGTAATTTCTGAGCTGCGAAAAGAAGGGTTTTATTGTGTATCCCCACTGTTGTATTTTCTTAACCCTCATCCCCCTCCCAGACTACCCAGTGCTGAGCTTCAGCGGCAGAAAGATGGTGGTGTTCAGCAACGTGTCATGGATGGGGGGCAAGAACGAATTCCTGGGTATTGCCTACCTGGTGATCGGCACGCTGTGCGTCGTGATGTCAGTGGTCATGCTCATTGTCTACGCCAAATTCAAGTTCCCAGAGGAGGACTGAGCAAAGCCTCGTGAGGATAAGCGGTTCAGATCATGGATGGATGGATAGATTAACTTCATAACTCTGTATTCAAGAGAGTTTTTGTCTCAGGGTTTGTTTATTTGTTTGTTGCCGTGTTTTAGTTCTTCCATTTTACGTCATAGGATTCCTTTTTTTAAATGAACAACCATTTACACATTGACAGAATTACATTAGCACATTAACAAATTAAACAGTGAACGGATGATGTAAATACAGGAATTGGAATTTCAATCAAGGCTGTACAGTTAAAATTTTTTGTCGTGTTTTGCTTCATGTTAATATTTATGCAATAAAACAATGGAAAACCATCCTAAAGCTTCCCACACAATTTCCCATAAATTAAATGGGAGGTGAAGTGGATTTTCTATTAGTTTCAAGCCTGTATTTTATTTTTTTTAATGATTGTTGCACGAAGCTTGCATCTGTTTAGTCCAAATGTTGTTTTGGTTGCACGCATTTTTTTTGCCCTAACGCTTCAATGCCTCCAGGTTTATGTCATGTCATACATCTTAGTAGGTCCAAATTCATGTTTTACATTTGTACTAAAAACAGTTTAACAAGCCCTTGCAGTATGGAAGTACATTTGTGCTGTCAGGGTTTGAATTCGAATTTTCGGCACTGATTCTTTATTTTTTTTTTCAACGATCAAATTTCTAAATGAATTGTTTACCATCAAAAAAACTTTCAAAAATTCAAACTTAACTGTGTTCATCTTAAAATTAAAGAAATCAATGTCAATAATAGTGTGTTGAGCTTAAAATTAAAAACTTCGAGCAAAACATTAAACGTACAGTATTTCATATAATAATTTGATACATTTTAAGGTCCAAAAAATGTGATAGAATAAAGAAAAATCTGATGACTCACTTACAGTGCACGATGAAAACGAGACATCTCCCTTCTTCCCCCTAGCGGTCACACACGTCGACGAAAATAATCAGCGTCTCCCCAGTGCATTCTGGGTAATGAAGTTTTAATGAGGCGAACTTCTATGTAAATCTTCCCCTTCTGAACCACAAGTACCACAATCCATCGCTTGAATAAATCTGACGTCTGACGTGTGCGATTTGACAGCGGCACCCAGTTTGTGACCAGAGACAAAATCCAGCACAGCCAGACGTGTTTCTTTTGTTCGTCGTTCGGTGTTTACCGGTGGTCGCAGACCGCTTCGCAAGATGTCAGACGGAGGCGGCGGCGAAGATAACAGCGGCTCCATGGAGGTATCGGCCGTTCACACGGTGGCGGACGCCTCGGTGCTCCAGAAGCACATTCGCAAGCTCGTTCCGCTACTCCTGGAAGATGGCGGCGAGGCCCCGGCCTCCCTGGAAACCTCCCTGGAGGAGAAGAGCACCGTAGAGCAGATGCGGAAATTCCTGGGCGACCCTCAGGTCCATACTATCTTGGTGGAGAGAAGCGCGCTCAAAGGTAAAAATCTCTTCGTCATTCTTGGGCGGCTAATCCTGCTAGCCCGGCTATAGCCAGTGGCCCATCAATTTGCATCTTTCCGTTCTTCCTTAAAACCCGCAGCCACAATAAACGCTAAATTTGAGTATTTCGGGGGTGGTACAGAATTGATGGTGAAAAAAAAATCTGTTTAAAATTTATACAACATTCATATTGAAGGGAAACCAGCGCTGCACCGTTACTGTTAGCAGCCAATCTGCATCCATGACAACGATTTATCTGCACAATTTTCCAAGTGGTTGTAAAAGTACTCTCAACCTGAAATCAAGTAAAAGTACAAACACCTTTGGAACAAAATATCCTGCTAAAAGTAGAAGTACCGATTCAGTCCATGTTGTTATGGTAAAAAAAAAGACTGAAATGTACTGAAGACTAGGGCCATCTCTCCCTGCTGCAACGCACCTAATTCAAAAGACTAGAATCGTTATCTTGCTTCTTTGGAGCTTGATGATGAGCAGATCCCATGAATCAGGTGTGTTACAGCAGGGAGAGATGGAAAATGGGCAGGGCATCAGCCCTTGCAAATGTTGACTGATCAAAAGATTGATTGCTGCTTTCCTCAGGTGGTTGGGTGGTTGGGGACCACTTGCTCTAACACACATGCATGCTGCGCAAAATATTAATGACAAGATTCGAATCATTCTAATTTTTGAGAGTCATGCTGTTATCATGTGAGTCAGCACGTATCAATGAAGACATTCTATTCAGTTTCCTTCCGGCTAGGTGGTCCTTAGCCTCAGAATAAAAGGCTATTGATAATGTCATGTTTTCCCAGAGGATGTTGGCGACGAAGGAGAGGAAGAGAAGGAGTGCATCACTTACAACATCAGCATCGACATACACTATGGGCTCAAGTCCAACAGGTAAACCTGTATTGCAAAGTCATTTCTATTCGTTTTGTCTTTGTAACTGCAAACTTTGAAAGTTCCTGGAAAGCCCTGTTTAACACACACAAACATACTTTGCTCCTGCAGCTTGGCTCTTATCAAGAGGACGGGCGTCATTGATGCAGACAAACCCATATCGACCCAAGTGCGCGTCCTGACGCTGAGTGAGGATTCTCCCTATGAGACTCTCCACTCGTTCATCAGCAACGCTGTCGCTCCCTTTTTCAAGTCGTACATCCGTGAGTCCGGAAAGGCAGACAGGTAATTAATTCCACCTAACTCAATTTCCTGACGCTCCCTTTAATGTGCGCCAAGCTGATTCTTTCATTCCTCTGCAGAGACGGGGACAAAATGGCGCCTTCCGTGGAGAAGAAGATCGCAGAGCTGGAGATGGGCCTGCTGCACTTGCAGCAGAATATCGAGATCCCTGAGATCAGTCTGCTCATTCACCCCATCATCACAAACATTGCAAAGCAATGCTACGAGCGCGGCGAGAAACCCAAAGTCACCGACTTTGGGGATAAAGTGGAGGACCCCACCTTCTTGAACCAGCTCCAGTCTGGAGTCAACCGCTGGATCAGGGAGATTCAAAAAGTAAGATGCATTGTTTTTTGCGTTTTTTTTCCAATGATAGAAGGGGGTCTTGTTCAATGTATAACCTTCATGCCCATACTCACAATGAGTTGTATGTTTTCTAAACTGAGCTCCCCTTATCCTTATTCCTCTGTCGTCTGCTTCCAGGTGACGAAGCTGGACCGTGACCCGGCGTCGGGCACAGCCCTGCAGGAGATCAGTTTCTGGCTCAATCTTGAGCGGGCCCTCAACAGGATCCAGGAGAAGAGGGAGAGCCCGGAGGTTCTGCTCACGCTTGACATTCTCAAGCATGGCAAGCGTTTCCACGCTACTGTCAGTTTTGATACAGACACTGGTGAGTTGACAGCAACTTTTGACATTTCCCACGTTAGGCATGCTTGGTTTATTTGTTATGGCACCCTTATGCACCAGGTACATCCATAGTGCTTTACAGAGGCAAAATAGAAAACAATAAAAACACGATTAAATTAAGAGTGAAATAGCATTTACGATTAATAACAATGGAGCAATAAAGATTTCAAGCCGACAGTTTGAGCAGATCTTAGGTGTTCAGGAAGTTCGCTCAACAGAAGAGGAGCATAGAAACAGACTGCTGTTTCACTTTGTTTTTATTTACGTGCCTCGCCTCGAGTAATCACTCCACTTTTCCTCCCTTTGCAGGTCTGAAACATGCTGTAGAAACTGTCAACGACTACAACCCTCTCATGAAAGACTTCCCCCTTAATGACCTGCTGTCCGCCTCCGAGCTGGACAAGATCCGCCAGGCTCTGATGGCCATTTTCACCCACCTGAAGAAGATCAGGAACACCAAGTACCCCATTCAGAGAGCTTTGCGTCTGGTCGAGGCCATCTCCAGGGATTTGAGCTCACAGCTTTTGAAGGTGTTGGGCACCAGAAAGCTGATGCATGTTGCCTACGAGGAATTTGAAAAGGTAAGTGTCGCACAGTTAAGGGGTCAGTCTCATCTCTTTGTTGTCCATCTAAACACAATGCCTCAAATAGCGAGGGGTTCACTGTCTGAGCTCTGCCATTAAATGATTTTCTTTTTATTGGGTGTCTAATTACCTATAGAAACCACAACATGGAAGCAAATCATTTGAAATGGGGCCTGGTATTCCTTTTTGATTGATTTCCTGTCATCTGTAACAATATAAAAATGAATCACAAAAGCTTTGTGGCAGCAGGCATATGAAACAAAATGACTGTTTTGACGTCAGAAATGGACAAACGAATATCAGCACTCTCACTTTACACAAATAGTACACATCCTAAAATCAATCTTTTGGCATTTACACTCAATGCTAAATGTTGGCTAAGGAGTCTAGATTGGCTTACTTGCTGAGAGGCAAACTTTCTTGACAAAATTTCTTGAAACACGGTCAACCGGTCTTTCCAAGTTAACACCAGCAATACTCCACAAGATGGCGCCAAAGAATGCTTTTGTTGCTTTGGCCTGAGCACAGCAAATAATTGTTGGAAACCAGTATGCTGGAGTTGAGCATATATTCTTCTGCTACAGGTGATGGTGGCCTGCTTTGAGGTGTTCCAGACCTGGGAGGATGAGTATGAGAAACTCCAGGTGCTCCTGAGGGACATTGTGAAGAGGAAACGAGAAGAGAACCTGAAGATGGTATGGCGCCTCAGCCCCGCTCATCGTAAGCTCCAGTCGCGCCTGGATCACATGAGGCGCTTCAGGAGGCAGCACGAGCAGCTCAGGGCCGTCATTGTTCGCGTGCTGCGGCCTCAGGTAAGCATACTGTGTCTCTATTTTCGTTACGATCGTTAAATTCTCAAAGGAGACTATGTTTGCAACTGTGTTTTTGTTTGGTTGGACATTCCAGAAGCACTGAAGGCAAAAGAAAGTATCAACATCACAACACTGACTCTTATTTTAAAGTTGTCATATTGTGAAGCATATCTTTAGTTTTATAACATTTTTTGACTTTTGGTCCAGAAAAAAAAAAATCTGGATGTGAAGTGACCTCATTTTTTGCTCTTGATTTTTGAGGTTGCTGCCACTCATTTTCTGCAAATTAGAGCGCTATTATTTTATGATTTCAGCGAATCAGCTAATCGCGACTTTGTCAATCTGTGTGTTTCCAGGTCTCTGCCGTGCCGCAGCATGCTCCAGGCGAGACAGTGGAGCCTCAGGACATGAAAGTAGCTGGAGTTCTCTTCGACGCGGCCGACGCCAACGCCATCGAGGAGGTCAACCTAGCTTACGAGAATGTCAAAGAGGTGGATGGCCTGGATGTGTCCAAGGAGGGCATGGAAGCTTGGGAAGCCGCCATGAAGCGATACGACGAGCGCATCGACCGCGTGGAGACCCGAATCACTGCTCGCCTGCGCGACCAGCTGGGCACAGCCAAGAACGCCAACGAGATGTTCCGCATCTTCTCCCGCTTTAACGCGCTCTTCGTGCGCCCGCACATCCGCGGCGCCATCCGCGAGTACCAAACGCAGCTCATTCAGCGTGTGAAGGATGACATTGAGTCACTACACGACAAATTCAAGGTGCAGTACCCGCAGAGCCAGGCGTGTAAGATGAGCCACGTGCGAGACCTGCCTCCCGTGTCGGGATCCATCATCTGGGCCAAGCAGATCGACCGGCAGCTGACGGCTTACATGAAGAGAGTGGAGGATGTTCTCGGCAAGGGCTGGGAAAATCACGTGGAGGGGCTCAAGCTGAAGCAGGATGGAGATAGCTTCAGGGCCAAGCTCAACACTCAAGAGATTTTCGACGACTGGGCGCGCAAGGTACGAAGAAGTTGCTGTTTATAGAGGAAAAAAATGTCACTGAGGTTCATATAAAGCTAGAGGATGTCATCTTGAAACTGCAAGCAAGATTTGAACATTGCCTAACTTTACTTCTCCCTCGCCCTCACCCTCCTTGAAAGCTGCATCGTCGGCAAAAGCTGATAAGAATGTTTCAATGTGTGTGGATTTGATTTTAAAACTTAAACACTTCACCATGAAGCTCAATGAAAAATTCATAAACAGTCAGCAAGATTTTGGTGAGGTAGAGAAGTTTAGAATAAAGGAGAATGCGATGTTATTGGGAAAATTAGCAGCATAACTGTTTTCAAGCCACAGGACTTTAAGCTTGGGGGAAAAAGTCTCATCTTGTGGTCAGAACTTAATGGTAGCTTCTTTCTAAATAGTATGTTCTCTATTTTTTTGTCTCTCATACCAGGTGCAGCAACGTAACCTTGGAGTGTCTGGCCGCATCTTCACCATTGAGAGCACCCGCGCCCGAGGTCGCACAGGAAATATGCTCAAACTCAAAGTCAACTTCCTCCCAGAGATCATCACCCTGTCCAAGGAAGTGCGCAACCTGAAGTGGCTGAGCTTCCGTGTGCCGCTGGCCATTGTCAACAAGGCCCACCAAGCTAACCAGCTTTACCCGTTCGCCATTTCTCTGATCGAAAGCGTGCGCACTTACGAGCGTACTTGTGAGAAAGTGGAGGAGAGGTCCTCCATCTCCCTTCTCGTGGCCGGCCTGAAGAAAGAAGTCCAGGCGCTCATTACCGAGGGTATCACTTTGGTGTGGGAGTCCTACAAGCTAGATCCTTATGTTCAGAGGCTAGCTGAGACGGTCTTCAACTTTCAGGAAAAGGTCAGGGTGGAAAAGATGTCCCCAAAAAGGATTTATGAAAAACCTGACTGATGAATGCTGAGAGTGTTATGTAACGTTTCCAGGTGGATGATCTTTTGCTGATTGAGGAGAAAATCGATCTGGAGGTCCGCTCCCTGGACACATGCATGTTTGATCACAAGACCTTCTCAGAAATTCTCAATCGGGTCCAAAAAGCTGTCGATGACCTCAACTTGCACTCTTACTCCAACTTGCCCATCTGGGTCAACAAGCTCGACATTGAGGTAGGTTTAAGAGCAGATACAAGAGAGGCAAAACCCATTCAAGTACAGGGAGAATATACAAATTAGCTGATAACGGTGCTTTTCTGATTTTTCATTTCCCTCCTCAATTTATTTTGTTTGGTTAGATTGAGCGTATCCTTGGAGTACGTCTGCAGGCCGGACTCAAGGCCTGGACCCAGGTGCTACGCGGCCAAGTGGAGGACAAAGCCGATGTCGACATGGACACAGAGGCTCCTCAAGTGAGCCACAAACCAGGGGGTGAACCCAAGATCAAGGTCAGCATCATAGACGATCTAGTCAATTCTAAAAATAGCTGGCAACACCTTCATTAAAAAAAACCCAAACATTTCCTTTCTTTAGAATGTTATCCATGAGCTCAGGATCACCAACCAGGTCATCTACCTGAATCCGCCCATTGAAGACTGTCGCTACAAGCTCTACCAAGAGATGTTCTCTTGGAAGATGGTCATCCTTTCACTTCCCAGGATCCAGAGCCAGAGATACCAGGTAGGGAACATAATAGTCCATTGCTTTATGACGCAACTGAAGCGAGCCAAGATACCACATTATTTGTTGAATATTTCTTCACCAGGTTGGGGTCCACTATGAGTTATCAGAGGAGGAGAAATTCTACCGCAATGCTCTGACCAGGATGCCGGATGGGCCTGCTGCCTTGGAGGAGGCCTACAATGCAGTGGAAGACATTGTCGGTGAGGTGGAGCAGTATGTCAAGGTACGTATTGCGCAGCCTGATTAACACGCGACGTCCAACAACTTTTAATCACTTTTCCATATTGTGCTTGTCTCCATCCAGGTGTGGCTGCAATACCAGTGCTTGTGGGACATGCAGGCTGAGAACATCTACAACCGTCTGGGTGAGGACCTCACCAAGTGGCAGGCACTTCTCGTCCAGATCCGCAAAGCCCGCGGAACCTTTGACAATGCGGAGACAAGAAAAGAGTTTGGACCGGCGGTCATTGACTATGGAAAAGTAAGGAGCAGTTTTTGTTTACTATTTTCATGAATACGTACAGATCCTATACATTCACCAACTTGCCAAAATATAATATGCTTTAATTGTTTTTGTTTTTTTATTCTTCACAGGTACAGTCTAAGGTGAATTTGAAGTATGACTCGTGGCACAAAGAGGTCCTCAGCAAATTTGGCCAGATGCTCGGTCAGAACATGCAGGACTTCCATTCCCAAATCTCCAAGGTAAACTATGACGCCATCCCTTTTTTTGGAGGTGCATCACAGATTTTATAGGATCGATATAATGTGATTTTAGTCCCGTCAAGACCTGGAACAACATTCCGTGGACACCGCGAGTACGTCCGATGCTGTCAACTTCATCACATATGTCCAGACTCTGAAGCGCAAAATAAAGCAATTTGAGAAGAATGTGGACGTGAGTAGACAGTTTAACACACATTTTTTTCACAACAAGACTGATGAGGGCCGGTTTCAATTGAAATTCTCTTTCTTAGTTGTTCCGTAATGGGCAGCGGTTGTTGGAAAAGCAAAGATTCCAGTTCCCGCCATCGTGGCTCTACATTGATAACATCGAGGGAGAATGGGGCGCCTTCAGTGACATCATGAAGCGCAAGGACACGGCTATCCAGCAGCAAGTGGCTAACCTACAGATGAAGATCGTACAGGAGGACAAAGCCGTAGAAAACCGCACCACTGATCTGCTCAACGACTGGGAGAAGACAAAACCAGTGGCTGTAAGATTACATTGGGCTTTAGGTTTAAATCCAGCTGTTAAACAACAGCAAAAGTAATGCTTTAAAAATGTTCATCAGGGTAACCTACGCCCCGAGGAGGCTCTTCAGTCTCTAACCATCTACGAAGGCAACTTCGGTCGTCTGAAGGTCGAAAGAGAGAAGTGTGCCCGTGCCAAAGAGGCCCTGGAGCTCACTGACACCGGCCTGCTAAGTGGCAGTGAGGAGAGGGTTCAGGTAAGACTAAACAACTGCCAAAAATCTCCATAACCACCTCCATTTCTATTAGCCGTGACCAATTAAATTGTTCTTTCCAATTTGTAGGTTGCACTGGAGGAGTTGCATGACCTGAAGGAGGTGTGGTCTGAGCTTTCCAAAGTGTGGGAGCAGATTGACCAGATGAAGGAGCAGCCCTGGGTGTCTGTTCAACCTCGCAAGGTAACAAATAATTCTGAAGTAGAAAGCCCTGTTATATTTATTCTTCAAATGTTCTGGTTCTCACATATCCCTTTTTTGTGTCTTTATAGCTTCGTCAAAATCTAGATGCTCTACTGAACCAGCTGAAGAACTTCCAAGCAAGGCTAAGACAGTATGCTTCCTACGAGTACGTCCAGAGGCTGCTTAAGGGATATCTGAAGGTCATGGCGGCTCTTTTACCCTCAATATACAGTTATTAGAAAACGGCTCAGTTAAATTGTCAGCCTTATTTTGTTGTTTTTAACAGGTGAACATGTTGGTGATTGAGCTGAAGTCGGAAGCACTGAAGGACCGCCACTGGAAGCAGCTGATGAAGCGTCTGCACGTGAACTGGGTGCTGTCGGAACTGACCCTGGGTCAGATCTGGGATGTGGATCTGCAGAAGAATGAAATGGTGGTGAAAGACGTGCTCCTGGTTGCCCAGGGAGAAATGGCTCTGGAAGAGTTTCTCAAACAGGTGGGCTCGCAACAGGCAGTGGTTAATTTCATTTTAGGTTTGTGGTGTTTTTGTTTGCTAATAAGTCTTGGCTGGTCTGCAGATCCGCGAGGTGTGGAACTCCTACGAGCTGGATTTGGTGAATTACCAGAATAAGTGTCGACTGATCAGAGGATGGGATGACCTGTTTAACAAAGTCAAAGAGCACATCAACAGTGTGTCTGCAATGAAGTTGTCGCCGTATTACAAGGTAAGCAAAATATACGGTAGATTTAATGTATTCGTTGCCTGCAAAATTGCATTCATAATGTGTTTGTCATTTTTTTCTTAGGTTTTTGAGGAAGATGCTCTGAGTTGGGAGGACAAACTGAATCGCATTATGGCTCTGTTTGACGTCTGGATCGATGTTCAGCGTCGATGGGTTTACCTGGAGGGCATTTTTACGGGCAGTGCCGACATCAAACATCTGCTACCCGTAGAAACTCAGAGATTCCAGAGGTTAACGAAGAACTCCCTTAATTTCCTACTAGCAGTCAACAGCTGCAATGTAACCTGACTCCAAATTATTTATTTTATAGTATCAGCACTGAGTTCTTGGCTCTGATGAAGAAAGTGACCAAGTCTCCGCTGGTGATGGATGTGCTGAACATACAAGGGGTGCAGCGATCCCTGGAGAGGCTGGCTGACCTTCTGGGAAAAATCCAGAAGGCCCTGGGAGAATACTTGGAGAGGGAAAGATCCTCATTTCCAAGGTAAACTCAATTGAAGAAGAAGAATGAAAAAAAAACCCATTAAGCATATTATATTTGATGGCCACATTAAGGTTGACTTAATGTGGCCGTTCAGGATATTTTCACACTCTTTTATGGAGATGGTGGCGTTTCCATCTATCATAAATGGTATGAAGGGGTGGCAGAGGTAATTTTATCACTGGTATTCAGTACATGCATTTCAGCACACCGCCCACGCATGCGCCAGACCAACAAAGTCTTAAAACATGCACTTGCACGAACGTAACCAGAGGATATTCTTAATTGCATATGCTGAGGGAAAAATAGGAGCAGTCTCAAGCCTGGGAATAAACAACCCCAACAGGCTACGTGAAGTTAAACAGTTGTTGCAGTTCCATTTAGATCCTTGAGATGTCGTAAGCACTCTCTCAAACTGTTGTCACCTGTGAACAAAAATCAAGAAGAAGCAATCTGTGGAGTCAGAATGCTAATGCTAAAACCAACATTAAGAACAAAGCATTGTGCTTCGCTTGTGTGTGCCTTCATCAAAGAAAGACGACTCCATTTGTAAAATGAGTTCAGCCGGTTGTCCAGTGGCTTTGCTTTGGCACAGTGATAGGAAAACAGCCGGGCGATTGGGAAATCTGATTCAACAGTACGAGATCAGTCTCGGCACTGATATTTCTTCTCCCTTTCAGTCAGTTACTGAGACCAAATAACCTTGCTTGCACTGCAATCGTTGATGCTAGCTGCGGTGCAACATATTGCATTTAGGCAATAGCCTAAGCTTGAAATACTTCAGTGGTGAGGTGACCAAAACGCCAAAATCGTAAATTATATGAATTTAAGATCACATAGAATTGTGTACTGAGCATAAGAATGCTAATAAGGGTTTGGCGATAGCCAGTTCACTTCCCATAACTGATGCCATGTAGTCCTTCTTTAAATAGCAATGTAGTTAAGACTGAATCAGCAGCACCTCTACTGGTTGCAGTGAAGTACTGCATCTGATTTTGCGACAGATTTCACTGTCACAAACCAGAAGGTGTAATTTACATAACTGGCCCTCAAATTCCCCCACCTATGGTCGAGAACCGAGGCTCCTAAATCTGTCATTGTCGAGGAACTGCAACAATCCTGTATCATATCACTTGCCCAAGCGCCAGTCATTTTCAGTCTGTTCGCAGAGGGTCAGAGTCTCCAGCTGTACCACAAAAGTAGCTCCATTTATTGCTCATTTAGTTTTGTGAAAATAGTCGCTTGAGGGCTCCGAAAATTTGCTGAATATAACGTTGGAGGTGCTGAGTAAATTAGTAGCTGCTTCCTCTCGGTTGACATAGTCATGTAGGCTGTACTGTTAGCTTTAATTGTTTCAAACAAATCATCTCTTTGAAACTGCTACTTCCAGATTCTACTTTGTGGGAGATGAGGACCTGCTGGAAATCATTGGCAACAGCAAGAATGTGGCCAAACTGCAGAAGCACTTTAAAAAGATGTTCGCCGGCGTCTCCAGCATCTTGCTCAATGACGACAACACCGAGGTGTTGGGCATATCATCTCGAGAGGGCGAGGAAGTCGTCTACAAGACGCCCGTCTCCATCACAAAACACCCGAAGATAAACGAGTGGCTGACGTTGGTAGAGAAGGAGATGAGGGTGACTCTGGCTAAGCTGCTGGCAGAGTCTGTAACCGAGGTCACGGGCTTCAACCAGGGCACCGCTGTCGACCTGAACCAGTACATCAACTGGATCGATCGTTATCAGGTTGGATTCATGCTGTTCACGTCTCTTGTTTTGAGTAGCTGTTCAAAGACTCAGGCTTTCTGAGGATCCTTAAGTCTTAAAAAATGTTAACATGTGATGAGTAGGATTTTTATGATTGTAAGTAGCTTAAAATTTCAAAATCGTTTATAAAACAAAACAGTGATGTGGTCTTAGTCGGGACTCTGAAGAGCAGGTACACGTCATTAACTTTTGAATGATTGATTGGTGATCTGACGATCGCAGACTTATTTTCACCTCTTCGTCTTTGCTCTTCGCAGGCCCAGCTGGTGGTGCTGTCCACCCAAATCGCCTGGTCCGAGAACATCGAGTCTGCCTTGACGACCGTCTCCGGCGGTGGGGACATGAGCCCCATTCAGGGGGTGCTGTCAAACGTGGAGGCCACGCTCAACGTGCTAGCTGACACCGTGTTGATGGAGCAACCTCCGCTTCGCAGGAGGAAACTAGAACACTTGGTCAGGGAAAAAAAAAAAAAACATCTTCAAGTGTTTATTATCACAGTGGAAGCTTTTGGTTTTCCTGAATTACTTCAATTACAATGAAAGAAACCATTTTTATTATATATAAAATGGTTATAATATACCGGTATACAAAATAGTGCTTTTCTGCTCTGAAAAAGATGAAACAAAAAACCTTTTTGAGGTTGCTGGAACGATTATTTTAATGGAGTTCACTGTGCAAATTCAACTCATAAGTCTCGGTACCACTGTGTTAAGATTATCGTCTAACATCATTTTTTTTTTCCCCCTTGTCCTCCAATCAGATCACAGAGCTGGTGCACCAACGTGATGTGACCAGGACTTTGATCAAGAACAAAATAGACAACCCCAAATCCTTCGAGTGGCTCAGTCAAATGCGCTTCTACTTCGACCCCAAGCAGACAGATGTGCTGCAGCAGCTATCCATCCAGATGGCTAACGCCAAGTTCAACTACGGCTTTGAATACTTGGGCGTCCAGGATAAGCTCGTCCAGACGCCGCTAACCGACCGCTGCTACCTGACCATGACTCAAGCTTTGGAGGCTCGCCTTGGAGGGTCACCGTTTGGTTAGTTTGTTTTTTTTGATTGCAGCTAAGTATTTGTTAAAAACCAAGATTCAACTAATCCCAATTTTTTTGTTCTACAAGGTCCCGCTGGCACAGGGAAGACTGAGTCTGTGAAAGCTTTGGGTCACCAGCTTGGTCGCTTTGTCTTGGTCTTCAATTGTGATGAGACTTTTGACTTCCAGGTACACCACGTGTTTTTTTTTTTTTTCTGATTGTTAGACACGCTATCCATCAAAGAATTTTCAGTCAGATATTTGAATACCAAAATATTAGCTAGCTGAAACCCCGAATACAACTAAAGTGTACTTGAAAAATATACAGTTATCGAAAAAATGTAATCCTCTGTAACATGCACAGTTTGAAAATTGAATTTAGTGATTCTTTGTGTACCATTTGACAGTGCCTGCACACACCTGGTGGTACCACTGTTATAAATCACCCTTTTATAGATATATATATTTTTTTTAATTGTGTAGATGCATAATCTGTACCTATTTGTTTTCTCTCCTTCCCTTTAGGCCATGGGTCGTATCTTTGTGGGACTGTGTCAGGTTGGAGCTTGGGGCTGTTTCGACGAGTTCAATCGTCTGGAGGAGAGAATGCTGTCTGCCGTCTCCCAGCAAGTCCAGTACATCCAAGTGGCCTTGAGGGAACACAGCAACCCCAACAGAGACAGAAGTATGTAAACATCCAAAATCAATAACAAAGAGTGAGGGGGGGACATCTTCAGTGTGGTCCACTATAAAGTATATCTCTTGTCATCCCTTCAGGTGTGCCTGTCACCACAGAGCTTCTGAACAAGCAGGTGAAGGTGAGCCCGGACATGGCCATCTTCATCACCATGAATCCTGGCTACGCAGGCCGATCCAACCTGCCCGACAATTTGAAGAAGCTCTTCCGCAGCTTGGCCATGACCAAGCCGGACCGCCAGCTCATTGCCCAGGTCATGCTCTACTCTCAAGGCTTCCGCACAGCCGAGATCCTCGCCAAGAAGATCGTACCCTTCTTCAAGTGAGAAAAAGTACTCTGAAATTGCTTTTCGGAGACCTTGGTTATTGATATTCTCTTCCTTTTCAGGCTGTGTGACGAGCAGTTGTCATCCCAGAGTCACTACGATTTTGGCCTCCGAGCTCTCAAGAGCGTGCTCATAAGCGCTGGTAACGTGAAGCGCGAACGCATCCAGAAGATCAAAAGGGAGAAGCTTGAACGCGGGGAGGTCGTTGATGAGAATGAGATTGCAGAGAACCTCCCTGAGCAAGAGGTGAGGTGGTTGATTTAAACATTTTTTTTAAAATATTGTGTATGTCGAATATGAGTTAAGCAGTAAAATCCACCTGTATTTGTCGCCCCGTGCGATTGCTAAAAGTGGGTGGATTTTGTTGCTTAACTCATATTCCACAAACGCGATATGAATCAGAATGCAATGTTTTGACTCATGAAGGCGCATAGAACATTGTATAAAAAATGTTGGGGTTGACTTCCCCTGCAAATTAATTAAAGCCTGTTTATTTTCACTGCATAATGTATGAACCCAGTGCTGATTTCATTCTGCCATTTGCCTTTGTTGTTGTTGTAGATTCTGATTCAGAGTGTGTGTGAGACCATGGTGCCCAAGCTGGTGGCCGAGGACATTCCTCTTCTGTTCAGCCTGCTGTCTGACGTCTTCCCTGGCGTGCAGTACATGCGTGGCGAGATGACTGCACTGAGGGAAGAGCTGAAGAAGGTCTGCAAAGAGATGTACCTCACTTATGGTGACGGTGACGACGTTGGCAGCATGTGGGTAGAGAAGGTGAGCGCAAAGAATGCCACACTTCATCCCTAACGACCCTTTGACAATTTGTAAAGGAGAAACAGTCGGCAGGAGATTTATTCACAATGTGTATTTCAAATTATTGAAAGCCACTGTAAAGGTATGAAGAGTTTGAAAATTAACACTATGGTTGAATATGAGGCGATAATAAACGTGTGAATGATTCAATTAAATGTATTGCATTGTATTTTACTGTAATTTATTAAAAAAAGAATTAAGGCCCTGGATTATGCAAAGTTTAAACGTTTATTTCAGGGATTCTTTTGCACACCCTTGGAAGGAGTCTGTCTACCACCACGCCTTATGAATCACTTCACTAGCACGGCACCAATACAGACTGAAAACAGAAAAATACCATGGGCTGTAACATTGCCACATTAACGTATATCAGGCGCTCTAGTTCCTATGTTGTCTTATGAAAATGTGTCATTCAAACATCTTTGTAGGTGCTGCAACTGTACCAGATCACACAAATCAACCACGGTCTCATGATGGTGGGACCATCAGGGAGTGGAAAGACCATGGCGTGGAGGGTGCTCCTCAAAGCCCTGGAGAGGCTGGAGGGTGTTGAGGGGGTGGCTCACATCATTGACCCCAAAGCCATCAGCAAGGACCACCTGTATGGAACCCTGGACCCCAACACGCGCGAATGGACCGACGGCTTGTTCACGCATATCCTCAGGAAGTGAGTGTTTGCTCATGATAAAATGTTTGGGGACGTTGTCATGGACTAATTTATCATTTTAATTGAGCATTTCCACACTATAAGGCGCACCTAAAGGCATTCAGTTTTCTCCAAAGCCGACGGCTTATAATCCGATAAGCATTAGAAATGGAAGTACGTGGGAGGTCATGATGAAGAGGTCTGAGTGGCTTTGAACGTCTTTCTTTGAAATCCAGGATCATTGACAACGTGAGAGGTGAATTGCAGAAGCGCCAATGGATCATCTTTGACGGAGACGTCGATCCCGAGTGGGTTGAAAATCTCAACTCTGTCTTGGACGACAATAAGCTGCTCACGCTGCCCAATGGAGAGCGTCTCAGCTTGCCGCCAAATGTAACAGCACCTTCTCTTGTCTCATTTCTCTTCTCCTGTGAAATCTGATATTAATACTTCTCCATTTTTCTCAAGGTGCGTGTTATGTTTGAGGTCCAGGACTTAAAGTACGCCACCCTGGCCACAGTCTCCCGCTGTGGTATGGTGTGGTTCAGTGAGGATGTGCTCAGCACGGACATGATCTTCAACAACTTCCTCGCGCGCTTTCGCAGCATCCCACTGGATGAGGGAGAGGATGAGGCTCAGCGAAATAGAAAGGGCACGGAGGACGAAGAGGAGACTGCTTCGCCAATGTTGCAGGTAATGCCGTGTGAAATGAGAGTGATACACAATGTGATAAGACCTCTTGACTGATACCCCCGTAACCTGTGACATGCTAGATCCAGCGCGATGCCGCCACCATCCTGCAGCCATACTTTACTTCCACCGGCCTGGTCATTAAGGCCTTGGAATACGCCTCCAAGATGGAGCACATCATGGACTTCACCCGCCTGCGCTGCTTAGGTTCTCTATGTTCCATGCTACACCAGGCTTGTCGCAACGTGGCACTCTACAACAACAACCACCCCGACTTCCCAATGCCCATTGATCAACTTGAGAGATACATGCAGGTAACCCATCAATTTGAACATTTGTGAATGTGGATGAGGGTGTTACAATATAGCACACTTAAGACTGAATTTACACTGCATGGTTTCAAGACAATCCTAGATCCCATGCTCTCAAGTGGCATATTTTGATATTTGCTGCAGCAGAATCAGGCCTCTTCCAAATGGGGATAAAAGCACAATTTAATCATAGTGATTACAAATCCCAGCAATGAGCCATCGATGTCATCAAAATACGCTATGGTGATGTGCAATTTGGGTTTGGTCATTTTTTTGTTCCGTCATTCTTCTTAGCTTATGCTACATGCCTTCCAGTCGAATGCTGTCATGTTGCGGCACAATGTGGTACAACACCGAAAGTATGCATACTTTAAAACCCTTAGTTGCTCGCCTAAAAATCACCTATAGAGCGGGTTGAATGATGAGCTACAAGATAGCGGGGGTTCATTGTAATTCGGACTTTGGTTCTTGGACGATCAGTGTAAATGCAGCTTTTACAACCATTTAAAGTCGACTCAATGTTTGTTAATGTTTATCTCCAGAGGTATCTGATCTACGCCGTTCTGTGGTCGTTCTCCGGCGATGGACGGCTCAAGATGAGAGCTGAGCTTGGGGAATATATACGTCGCATTACCACTGTGCCCCTACCCACCGCTCCCAACATTCCCATCATTGACTATGAGGTAAAGACTCAAGAAACTCCATACATATCTCCCTCTGACATGGAAAAATCCTTTTTCAGTGTTTCTCACATTTTTTTTTTTTTTCTGTTCAGGTTAGTATCACAGGCGAGTGGCAGTCTTGGCAGGGTAAGGTGCCCCAGATCGAGGTAGAAACCCACAAGGTGGCCTCGCCGGATGTAGTGGTTCCCACCTTGGATACCGTTCGCCATGAGGCTTTGCTCTACACCTGGCTGCTTGTTCACGCATATCCTCAGGAAGTGAGTGTTTGCTCATGATAAAATGTTTGGGGACGTTGTCATGGACTAATTTATCATTTTAATTGAGCATTTCCACACTATAAGGCGCACCTAAAGGCATTCAGTTTTCTCCAAAGCCGACGGCTTATAATCCGATAAGCATTAGAAATGGAAGTACGTGGGAGGTCATGATGAAGAGGTCTGAGTGGCTTTGAACGTCTTTCTTTGAAATCCAGGATCATTGACAACGTGAGAGGTGAATTGCAGAAGCGCCAATGGATCATCTTTGACGGAGACGTCGATCCCGAGTGGGTTGAAAATCTCAACTCTGTCTTGGACGACAATAAGCTGCTCACGCTGCCCAATGGAGAGCGTCTCAGCTTGCCGCCAAATGTAACAGCACCTTCTCTTGTCTCATTTCTCTTCTCCTGTGAAATCTGATATTAATACTTCTCCATTTTTCTCAAGGTGCGTGTTATGTTTGAGGTCCAGGACTTAAAGTACGCCACCCTGGCCACAGTCTCCCGCTGTGGTATGGTGTGGTTCAGTGAGGATGTGCTCAGCACGGACATGATCTTCAACAACTTCCTCGCGCGCTTTCGCAGCATCCCACTGGATGAGGGAGAGGATGAGGCTCAGCGAAATAGAAAGGGCACGGAGGACGAAGAGGAGACTGCTTCGCCAATGTTGCAGGTAATGCCGTGTGAAATGAGAGTGATACACAATGTGATAAGACCTCTTGACTGATACCCCCGTAACCTGTGACATGCTAGATCCAGCGCGATGCCGCCACCATCCTGCAGCCATACTTTACTTCCACCGGCCTGGTCATTAAGGCCTTGGAATACGCCTCCAAGATGGAGCACATCATGGACTTCACCCGCCTGCGCTGCTTAGGTTCTCTATGTTCCATGCTACACCAGGCTTGTCGCAACGTGGCACTCTACAACAACAACCACCCCGACTTCCCAATGCCCATTGATCAACTTGAGAGATACATGCAGGTAACCCATCAATTTGAACATTTGTGAATGTGGATGAGGGTGTTACAATATAGCACACTTAAGACTGAATTTACACTGCATGGTTTCAAGACAATCCTAGATCCCATGCTCTCAAGTGGCATATTTTGATATTTGCTGCAGCAGAATCAGGCCTCTTCCAAATGGGGATAAAAGCACAATTTAATCATAGTGATTACAAATCCCAGCAATGAGCCATCGATGTCATCAAAATACGCTATGGTGATGTGCAATTTGGGTTTGGTCATTTTTTTGTTCCGTCATTCTTCTTAGCTTATGCTACATGCCTTCCAGTCGAATGCCGTCATGTTGCGGCACAATGTGGTACAACACCGAAAGTATGCATACTTTAAAACCCTTAGTTGCTCGCCTAAAAATCACCTATAGAGCGGGTTGAATGATGAGCTACAAGATAGCGGGGGTTCATTGTAATTCGGACTTTGGTTCTTGGACGATCAGTGTAAATGCAGCTTTTACAACCATTTAAAGTCGACTCAATGTTTGTTAATGTTTATCTCCAGAGGTATCTGATCTACGCCGTTCTGTGGTCGTTCTCCGGCGATGGACGGCTCAAGATGAGAGCTGAGCTTGGGGAATATATACGTCGCATTACCACTGTGCCCCTACCCACCGCTCCCAACATTCCCATCATTGACTATGAGGTAAAGACTCAAGAAACTCCATACATATCTCCCTCTGACATGGAAAAATCCTTTTTCAGTGTTTCTCACATTTTTCTTTTCTGTTCAGGTTAGTATCACAGGCGAGTGGCAGTCTTGGCAGGGTAAGGTGCCCCAGATCGAGGTAGAAACCCACAAGGTGGCCTCACCGGATGTAGTGGTTCCCACCTTGGATACCGTTCGCCATGAGGCTTTGCTCTACACCTGGCTGGCTGAACATAAGCCACTGGTGCTGTGTGGACCCCCTGGCTCTGGAAAGACAATGACACTGTTCAGCGCCCTCAGAGCCTTGCCTGATATGGAGGTGAGTTACAATACTAATACAGTGAACACCTGCATGTTTACCGTTCAAACGTCGTTCATTCAAACATTCTTTTATTCATTTCGCCAGGTTGTTGGTCTGAACTTCTCCAGTGCCACCACCCCAGAACTGCTGCTGAAGACCTTTGACCACTACTGTGAGTACCGTCGTACTCCAAACGGTGTGGTCCTTGCGCCCGTGCAGCTCGGCAAGTGGTTGGTGTTATTCTGTGATGAGATCAATCTTCCCGACATGGATAAGTACGGCACACAGAGAGTTATCTCCTTCCTCAGACAGGTACAAAATGCTGTTTACAAACGAGGCGACACGGCGGCAGGTTTTGTTGTCTGTCACTATTAAAAGTCCTTGTGTCATGTTTATTTGAATAGATGGTGGAACATGGTGGGTTCTACCGAACCTCAGACCAGACTTGGGTCAAACTCGAGAGGATCCAATTCGTGGGTGCTTGTAATCCTCCCACTGATCCAGGCAGAAAGCCCCTCACACACAGGTAGGACTCATGAGTCACTTTGTATTACAGTGGCGCCTTGATTTACTAGTGGGTCCTGACCAACATTGATTTTTATCTATCTATTGATCGCTCGATTGATTGATTGACAAATTCAGAGTAAGATGTGTGTATATGTCAAATGTATTTATTATTATTTATTGATTTATGCATGATGCTCTTTAACATCAAATCATCATTTTTCTAACTCCATATTTTCTTTGCCTTGAAGTGACGATATCCATTACTTCCTGCCCGTACCTACTGAACAGATTTACTGTTTTGTGTGAAAGTAAGATTATATTGGCATTTAATCACAATACTCAGATAATTGTTTTGGAAAGGCCTAATATCAGATGATTGAATTGGTCGGGCCCAACTTACAGAAGTCCCAAATCATAATTTTTGGAGGAGTTTTGAACCGTGGCTTGATATATACAATACAATGCAATTTGTCCTGCGTGTCCTTTATCAAGGTTCCTGCGTCACGTTCCTGTGGTGTACGTCGATTACCCTGGCCCAGCCTCTCTCACTCAGATCTATGGCACTTTCAACCGTGCCATGTTGCGTCTCATCCCCTCTCTACGAACCTATGCTGAACCTCTTACTGCTGCCATGGTTGAGTTCTACACCATGTCTCAGGTAAGCTAGAAACGAATGGAGACCTAATTAACCAGAAACAGACTTTCCCTCATACCAAAGTTACTGTGAATTGCTTACCTTGATAAATGTATCCGCTTTCAGGAACGTTTCACCCAGGACACCCAACCACACTATATCTACTCTCCCAGAGAGATGACTCGCTGGGTGAGGGGTATCTTTGAGGCCCTGCGACCACTTGAGACCCTTCCAGTCGAGGGACTTATCCGCATATGGGCTCATGAGGCCCTCCGCCTCTTCCAGGATAGGTTAGCAGAAGCTGATGTTCTCTTAAATTTCACATTGATGTTTTCCACATGTCCTCTCCTTTAGTCATTTTTGGACCTTTCTCATGTTACAACTGTGGTTTGATCATAACGCGCATTTGTTTCTAGGCTGGTCGGTGATGAAGAGAGAAGGTGGACAGATGAAAATATTGACATAGTTGCTCTCAAACACTTCCCCAACATCGACAAAGAGAAGGCTCTCAACAGACCCATCCTCTACAGCAACTGGCTATCAAAGGTAAACTAGCACATTTGCCCTCCGGCTTGTACATGCAACAATAACCAACATGTCGAAAATAATTCTGTCTCTTGTTTGAATGTAGGACTATATCCCAGTGGAGCAGGAGGAGCTGAGGGACTATGTGAAGGCCCGTCTTAAGGTCTTCTACGAGGAGGAGTTGGACGTCCCACTCGTACTCTTCAATGAGGTGTTGGACCATGTTCTGAGAATTGATCGGTGAGGAAGCACCACCCTCTAAGTACAATGTAGATTTTATTGGACATTTATTGAAAGAGGAAATCCGAAATGTAAATGTCCTCTTCCAGAATCTTCCGCCAGCCACAAGGTCATCTCCTGTTGATTGGTGTGAGCGGAGCAGGGAAAACGACTCTGTCTCGCTTTGTTGCCTGGATGAACGGACTAAGCGTTTACCAAATCAAGGTTGGTACAACACAATTTCCAAGTTTTGCTGCACCCATCTTGGTATAATTGTATTCATATGAACAATTTTTGTGGTTATTCAGGTACACAGGAAATACACCGGGGAGGACTTCGATGAGGATCTGCGTACTGTGCTGCGTCGCTCCGGTTGCAAGAATGAAAAGATCGCCTTTATCATGGATGAGTCCAATGTGCTGGATTCTGGCTTCCTTGAGAGAATGAACACCCTGCTGGCCAACGGAGAGGTAACTTCGCTCATCACATTGCACCACTGCCGATTTTCTGCAAATGTTCTATTTATGTTTCCCTAACGTGATGAAATCCACAGGTTCCTGGTTTGTTCGAAGGCGATGAGTATGCCACTCTGATGACTCAGTGTAAGGAAGGCGCACAGAAGGAAGGGCTGATGCTGGACACCCACGAGGAGCTGTATAAGTGGTTTACCAGCCAGGTTATAAGGAATCTCCATGTTGTTTTCACCATGAACCCCTCATCAGAGGGCCTGAAGGACAGAGCTGCCACATCTCCAGCCCTCTTCAACAGGTCAGCGGATTCAAAATGTGCAGAACTACATTTGGGACACTTGGTTGTTAAATGACAACTATTTGCTCAAGGTGTGTGCTGAACTGGTTTGGAGACTGGTCCACTGAGGCTCTGTATCAGGTGGGCAAGGAGTTCACCAGCAAAATGGATCTGGAGAAGCCCAACTACAAGGTGCCAGACTACATGCCCACCGTCTATGACAAACTCCCCCAGCCGCCGTCTCACAGGGAGGCTATCGTCAATGGCTGCGTGTTTGTACACCAGACGCTTCACCAGGTAAAGATGTCCTGAATTTATTGAGATCATCAAAATTGACTTTCGAGGTTCTTAACAATACCCAACCCTGCTTTTAATATTTTTAGGACGCATGCGCTCCACTTAAATGCATTCCTGAATGCGTTACTCGATTTATATTACAGCACCCCCTACTCTCCCACCGACAAGGGGGTGTAACTTGGTGATGACTCAAGGGAAAGAAGTGGTCGCCCCCTACTCTCCCACCGACAAGGGGGTGTAACTTGATGACTCAAGGGAAAGAAGTGGTCAGCTAGTTTGCTGAACTAACGTGACTGAAAAAGTTATAAAGCATGTAAATAGAAGTTAACACTTGTTCATAGGCTAACAACCGTCTGGCCAAGCGAGGTGGTCACACCATGGCCATCACTCCTCGCCACTACTTGGACTTCATCAACCAGTATGCCAACTTATTCAACGAGAAGCGCAGCGAGCTGGAGGAACAGCAGATGCACCTCAATGTCGGTCTCCGCAAGATCAAGGAAACGGTCGATCAGGTACAAAGTCTGCCACGTTTGACTGTTTGGTTGGCAATTGCTTCTGGCTTCACGGTGGTAATTGCTTCTCCTCCTTTGAAGGTGGAAGAGCTTCGTCGCGACCTCCGGATCAAGAGCCAGGAGCTGGAGGCAAAGAATGACGCCGCCAATGACAAGCTGAAGAAAATGATTAAAGACCAGCAGGAGGCTGAGAAGAAAAAGGTCAAATGAAACATTTTACTTGTTTCTCTTTAAAAGAGCATCAATTTCAATCTCCTTATTGAAAGCACAACCCCTTAGACTGCGACTCTTTCGATTCCAGGTGATGAGCCAGGAGATCCAGGAAGCTGTGTACAAGCAACAGGAGGTGATCAAGGACAAACAACTGAGCGTCAAACAGGACTTGGACCAGGTGGAGCCAGCTGTCATTGAGGCTCAGAATGGTATGTGTGCTTCACCTCCTCGTTGGGCTTTACGCTTTGCATTGTAGGTTTTGGAGTTTCTCAAAAAATTTTCAGCTCAATTTTGAAGGTAGGTCCTTTTCCTAAAGTTTAAATTTCATGTACAGGCACTGTTCTGACATGAGGTTTTGAGACTACAAAAGCATGCGCAGTTGCATAAGAATATGGCATCATGCGGCACAAGAATGTCTGCTCACTTCACACTTTACGTACTGTTTTTGTTGTCTGTTATTTTTCTTTTCATATTCATGGCTGAGTGTTTATAATGTAGATAGTTACTGTTATTTTGAATTTACTATTGTGTTAATGATCAACTAAGGTACGTTCAAATGCATAGGAAAAAAATTGTATAATTTCCCACGGTACACATGATCTGTCATGACACCACGGTGGTTGGAAATGACTGCTCTGATAATTCTCCCCGCTTTGTCATGACCCTTTGCTTTGACATCATCGACGCTGACTGTTCATATGATCTTGCTAGCCGTTAAGTCCATTAAGAAGCAGCACCTGGTGGAGGTGCGTTCCATGGCCAACCCACCTGCGGCAGTCAAGCTGGCCCTGGAGTCCATCTGCTTGCTCTTGGGCGAGAGCACCACCGACTGGAAGCAGATCCGCTCCATCATCATGAAGGAGAACTTCATACCCACTATTGTTAACTTCTCTGCCGATGAGATCAGGTGAAATGAGCTGTAATGTGGAACTGTTGACTAAAGAGTGTTATTTCTCTCCCTTTTTTTCCCTTGTCCTTTCTCCCACTCCCCACCCCCTTCCCAAAATGGTGCTTATGCATCAACTCTTTTGAACACACCTGTCATCTGACTAGCGGTGAGCTCAATTAAACGGCAACATCTAGTAGAAGTGCGGGCTATGACCAATCCCCCGGCTGCAGTCAAACTGGCCCTGGAGTCTATCTGCCTTTTGCTTGGCGAGGAGACCAGTGACTGGAAAAAAATCAGACAAGTTATTATCAGGGACAATTTCATCAGCAGCATAGTCAACTTTTCCTCTGAGGAGCTGAGGTACTGACCGGTGTCCCCGCTTCTGTCTGCTCGCTGTCAGATGGACGCACAAATCAGTGAATCAGCACGCCAATCAAGTGACACCTTTTTGTGTGGAAAAAAAAAAGATGATATAATGGATGAAAAACTGAGATGACTTACTTTGGTATTCTGATGACGGTTATCATGCGCACACTCATCCTCCCTTTAAAAATATTCCCTAAAATCATGTTAAATTTGCCCTGTGATTCACATGTGCCATATATCCCCAAATAGTGGCCTCTGCTCTTAGTGTATCAAACTTTACCCACAATTAAGCGTTTGAATACGTATAAGCACTTTTTGCAGTTGATTAAATAAACACAGCTGGCCGTTATTTGTGGAAATACTGTACCTCGCTTATTCTAATTAAAGGAGACTTTTGTCTAAAATCAGCCGCTTTTCATGTAGTGACTCCATCCGTGAAAAGATGAAGAAGAACTACATGTCCAACCCGAGCTACAATTACGACCAAGTCAATAGGGCCTCGCTGGCATGTGGACCTATGGTGAAATGGGCAATTGCTCAGGTAACATATGAACAATTGAAGGCCAATTGGGGAAGGCAAAAACAATTTTACTGATGGCTCTCGTCTTGTCTTTAGCTCAACTATGCTGACATGCTGAAACGAGTGGAGCCTCTGCGTAACGAGCTTCAGAAACTTGAGGATGACGCCACGGACAACAAGACGAAGGCAGAAGAGGTGGAGCAGATGATCAGGGACCTTGAGTCTAGCATCGCTCGCTACAAGGAGGAGTACGCCGTCCTCATCTCAGAAGCCCAGGCCATCAAGGCTGACCTGGCTGCAGTCGAGGCCAAGGTTGCCAACCTTCTAAATCTTTATCGGCATCCTTTCCTGTCTGCCCATTTGGGTTTCTTGAAATATAAACATTTTTAATCCCAACAGGTAAACCGCAGCACAGCCCTCCTGAAGAGTCTGTCAGCAGAGAGGGAGCGCTGGGAGAAGACCAGTGAGACATTCAAGAACCAGATGTCAACCATTGCTGGAGATTGTCTGCTCTCTGCGGCCTTCATCACGTACGCCGGTTACTTTGAGCAACAGATGAGGCAGAATCTGTTTACAACTTGGTCTCATCACCTGCAGCAAGCAAATATACAGGTATGGTGTTTATAATACAGTACTCCCAAAAATGTGCAGACATTTTAGGACAAACCTCAAATACATTATGATCTTCTTTGAGGACAGCAGTTGTGCAAACACATGAAATACTGAAACATTGATCAGTTGGACTTTATTCAGCTCTTTTGAGATTGTCAAATTCACTCCACCTCTTTTTTTCCATGACCTTTCTTTCTCAGTTCCGTACCGACATTGCCAGGACGGAGTACCTCTCCAACGCAGACGAGAGGCTACGCTGGCAAGCCAACTCTCTTCCAGCGGATGACCTCTGTACAGAGAATGCCATCATGCTCAAGAGATTCAACAGGTCGGTATCCATGAGTCTCGCCTCGTTTTATAACATGAATGAGCAAAGTGTACCTCGTTCTTTAATCCAGTTTACCAAGCTATTACAGTGTCAAAAGTCCTGTAATATTTTTTGCGTTTAGGTTTTTTTTTCCTTTAACTGGTAATTTATAGTAGCTTTAGTCAGACGTGTCATTAGCTATTGTTAATTGATATTTATTCCAACTACATAACAGAATTGGGGGTTTTTGTTTGTTCGTTTTTTTACCTCATTTATAAATTTCTGTTTTGAAAAATCAAATGTCCTTAAAGCTCAAAAGTTTGCCGCTGCTTCATAACCGCAAAGGTTTTAACTCATCGTTGCTTCCTCAAGGTACCCGTTGATCATCGACCCATCTGGCCAAGCCACCGAGTTCATTATGAATGAGTACAAAGATCGCAAGATCACCCGCACCAGCTTCTTGGATGACGCCTTCAGGAAGAACCTGGAGAGCGCCCTCCGTTTTGGAAACCCACTGCTGGTTCAGGTATGACCGCAGAGAGAGTGACTGATGTTGTAGTCGTTCATTTGTCCGACTTCTTTGAAGATAGTGTGGGTTCAGTTTCCCCTCAGTGACATCCACATGAGAGTGTGAATAGTTGCCTGTGTCTATGTAGCCTGTGTTGGACTGGCAGCCAGTCCCGCTTTGCTTGCTGGCATAGGGTCCAGCTCCTTGCGACCCTGAAGAGGTGAACACTGCTACCAATATGATTTTTGTCTTCAAAAGTGTCATTGAAAAAACAATTAATTTATATTTTCACTGCCCTCATCATCAGAGCTTGATTATTTTATGAAACAATTTTTATTTGTATTATTATGGCGCAAACATAGTATCTAAAACAACTGGAGGACTAGTAAGATTTTATAGCTACTAGTTTGTAAATTACTTTCTTTCTTTCTTTTTTTTTTTTTTTTTTTTAAGGACGTCGAGAGTTATGACCCCATCCTGAACCCAGTGTTGAACAGAGAGGTCCGCCGAACCGGAGGCCGCGTCCTCATCACTTTGGGAGATCAGGATATCGATCTGTCACCTTCGTTTGTCATCTTCCTCTCCACGCGAGACCCTACGGTGAGGAGCTAACCATTGATACTCCATATTGCAGAGGTTTCTGTGAATGACCCTGCCCAGCTGCGTCAGATTTTGAAATCAAACGTGGTCCTTGAGCACCAAGTTTGTCCATTCCTCGTCTATCATCAACTTCCCCACTCTAACTGGTGGCTTATCTGAACACAGGTTGAGTTCCCACCAGACTTGTGTTCTCGTGTGACATTCGTCAACTTCACGGTGACGCGCAGTAGCCTGCAGAGCCAGTGTCTCAACGAGGTGCTGAAAGCAGAGAGACCCGACGTGGACGAGAAACGCTCAGATCTCCTCAAACTTCAGGGTGCGAGAAACAACCACGAAATGATGACATTAAAACACAAGCAGGGATGTTGAAACAGATACTAAACCACATCTGTCACTGGTATTTAGGTGAATTCCAGCTGCGCTTGCGACAGCTGGAGAAATCCTTACTGCAGGCCCTCAACGAAGTAAAGGGGCGAATCCTCGACGATGACACCATCATCACCACGCTGGAGAACCTAAAGAAGGAAGCTGCAGAGGTGACCAGGAAGGTGGAGGAGACGGACATCATCATGGCCGAGGTGGAGGCTGTGTCGCAGCAGTACCTGTCCCTGTCATCCGCTTGCAGCAGCATCTACTTCACCATGGAGGCACTCAACCAGGTCTGAACATAGACACACATACATAGATAGCCATTTAAAGGCATTCTCGGGACATTTTGTGTCAATTGTCTTTTCAAATTCTCAACCCATTTTGACTGTATGAGAATGAATACACTTTAGTTTGAATTTGTCAGAGAATATTAATAATAAAAAAATCTGCATCGCTGAATTATTATTATCGTTGTTGTACCGTTAAAATATATATCTCCCCCCACCCCAGATGCACTTCCTGTACCAGTATTCTCTTCACTTTTTCCTGGACACCTACCACACTGTACTGTATGAGAACACCAACCTCAAGAGCATCAATGACCACATGCAAAGACTCGCCGTGATCACAAAGGACCTCTTCCAGGTATGACATGGAGACATTTCACATTTGGACAGGAATAAAACATTTTTTTTTTACATGGACTAATGTTTTGTTTCTTGGTAGGTGGCATTCAACAGGGTTGCCAGAGGAATGCTGCATCAAGACCACATCACGTTCGCTATGCTGCTGGCTAAGATCAGCCTCAAGGGAATGACCAAGTCAGTAGTAGTAGTAATATATAATAAAATCTATATGGGGGGCGGGGGGGGCAGGCTGGAATTCATGAAGGGATTTCAATTTATTTCAGTGTTGAATGTGGATTTGAAATATCTGTAAAGCTTGGTCACAGAATGATTTAAACTTGTAAGGCAAAGTACCACTGGTAAATCTAACTGATCCTAATCTTTCTTCTTCTTTTTAGCGAGCCCTCATACGATGCCGAATTCCAGCACTTCCTCCGTGGTAAGGAGATTGTGCTTACTGGCACATCCCTGCCCAAGGTGAAGGGTCTGACCACTGAGCAAAGTGAGGCCATGGTCCGCCTCGGCCGCCTGCCTGCGTTTAAGGACTTGGTGACTAAAATTCAGTCAGATGAGGTAAGGAGTCTGAAACGCTTCTGGGGTGGTATCTGTCATGTTTTTTTTTTTTTTGTTTTGTTTTTTAAAGCTTCTCTTCGCTATGAGGTGTTGAAGGAATAGTCTGTTTTGTCACCTCAGCAAATCTTCATGTGGCTGGAGAGTAACACCCCGGAGCTAGCTGTTCCTTACCTGTGGTCTGAGGAGAAGCAGTCCAGTAAATATTTCAACTCATGCCACCATTGAAATGAGTTGCTCTGCACTCACTCACTCATCTGTCTCTCCTCCTCAGCACCCATCGGCCAAGCGGTGCACCAGCTGCTGTTGATCCAGACATTCCGTCCGGACCGTCTTCTGGCCATGTCGCACATCTTTGTTGCCAAAGTGCTGGGAGAGGCCTTCATGAGCATCATCGAGCAGCCCATCGATCTGGCCAACATTGTGGATAGTGAGGTACTGATGATTTCCAAGCAAAAGACTCTGTTATTGTCGGCCGTCTTGATTTTTACGTCTCACCTCGTGTGTTCAGGTGAAGCCCAGTACACCGGTGCTCATGTGTTCTGTCCCGGGTTATGATGCGAGCGGTCTCGTCCGAGATTTGGCTGCCGAGCAGAACAAACAAATCACTTCTATCTCCATCGGTAAGAACAACACACATTTATGGTCTTTCTGAAATAAAAAGCCCATTTTTTTAAGAGCCTGGCTCACTCATGCAAATGAGCCAGGCCTTATTTTGTCCCATATTAGGGCTTGGCTTATGGTGAGAACTTTCTTTTCCATGGTTTGAACAGGCAAGCAAGTGCCTTCTACTTGCAGTAGCAAAACCACGCGAATTTTGGCCCCCACTTGAAAGTGGCTCTGGATTTTCACTTTGCCAAGCCACTCAGTGTAATGTTGGAAAATAACAGATTTCTTAGTTGTTTCATTTCACACTTGATGGTTGGATGGGCACTCGGAAAACACAACTATTTTGTATCGAAGCAATTAATAAGTCTATGTGTCCCCTTTTAAAGAATGTTCGCTGATCGCATCTTTCCATCACACACAGGTTCGGCTGAGGGCTTCAATAAGGCCGACTTCTCCCCCCCCACCCCCCTCCCCGCAGGTTCCAGTGAATCTGCTTCGTGCTGGTCGTATCTTTGTATTTGAGCCCCCTCCTGGTGTAAAGGCCAACATGTTGCGCACCTTCAGCAGCATCCCCGTTGCTCGCATGTGCAAGGTACAAAGCGCACACAAGAAGACTTCCTTTATTTCAACGCACAACTCCACATTTTTCTAACGATCTGATCCCCCCCCTCCCTTATTCTTTTTTTTTTCCCACATCTGTGCTTGTACAGGCTCCCAATGAGCGTGCCCGTCTATACTTCCTGCTAGCCTGGTTCCATGCCGTCATCCAGGAGCGTCTGCGCTATGCGCCACTGGGCTGGTCCAAGAAGTACGAATTTGGAGAGTCCGACCTGCGCTCCGCCTGCGATACCGTCGACACCTGGCTTGATGACACCGCTAAGGTTTGTGCAAATGACAAAGACGGCTCACAGGCCCTAGTTTCCATACGCTTGCCCTAAAATGACATTGCAAATACCACAGGGTCGTCAGAACATCGCCCCGGACAAGATCCCCTGGGCCGCATTAAAGACCCTGATGGCTCAATCCATCTACGGCGGCCGCATCGACAACGAGTTTGACCAGCGTCTGCTTAACACTTTCCTGGATCGCATTTTCACCAAGGGAAGCTTTGACAGCGAATTCAAACTGGCGCTCAAAGTGGATGGGCACAAAGACATCAAAATGCCCGACGGTATTCGGTCAGTAGCTGTGCCCATATATCACAGCCAGTTAATGTTGGCCCATGTGTTACTTTTCTTTATTATTTTTTTTCTCCAGGCGTGAGGAGTTCATGCACTGGGTGGAGCTGCTTCCCGACACGCAGACTCCATCTTGGCTGGGCTTGCCTAGCAATGCAGAAAAAGTCTTGCTCACCACACAGGGTATGCTCCCAGCAGTCCTCTTTTAATTACTTGATCTGTAGACATTTTCACCATGATGTCACACGTACTTTTTGGTGGCAAAAGCTCGTAATAGTCTGCCATGTCATATGACCAACGCAGAGCAATTTAGAAAACCAGGTAAATGGCTTGAATGATTTCGGCCCTCATCTCTACCATCATCGTTTGATCGGGTGTCAGTTGAAAACATGTTAGGCATCTTGGCTAGGCTTGCCTAGCAATGCAGAAAAAGTCTTGCTCACCACACAGGGTAGGTATGCTGCCAGCAGTCCTCTTTTAATCACTTGATCTGTAGACATTTTCACCATGATGTCACACGTACTGTTTGGTGGCAAAAGCTCATAATAGTCTGCCATGTCATATGACCAAGGCAGAGCTATTTAGAAAACAGGGTAAATGGCTTGAATTGATTTTGGCCCTCTTCTCTACCATCATCGTTTGATTGGGTGTCAATTGAAAACATGTTAGGCCAGTTAAATTGCTTCCAATGGTGACACAATGCTGTCACTTTACGACACCCACTCCTTTTATCATCTATTCATATTCCGCTGGATTCATTTTTATTCTTCACGAAATTGAAAACATTTTCCGTTGCAACCCCAACACACAAATGTTGTCATTGTTTTTAGTTTAGTGCAGGCACGTCCTGGTTTAGTGGTAGTCAATCACTTTGTGCCACCCAGAAGTACCCTGATGCTTTGTGTTTATAATCATAATGAAGTCATTTCTTTCAAATGAACTGGAAACTCATCACATATCCATCATTCTTAACACCCCATGTATATAATCTCACTTGCTACTTTATTAGGTACACCTCTCTAGCACTGAGTTGAAAGACATTTTGCCTTCAAAACCGCCTTAATTCTTTGTGGAATATATTCCACACATTGCTGGAAAGTTTGGCATCTGGCATTTCCAGCAGATTAGACTTTTAAGATGGGAAAGCACGATTTTGACTTGGGGTGTGGGGGGGCGGCATTTCTGAACTAAAACACATGTTCACACTGATCATTTGTAGACATGCCAAGAATGTGTTCCACGGCAAAATAACCAACTGGTGTACCTAATAATCAAGTGACTGCAGAATTTACCGTATATGCCCATCAATGACCCCCTACCACTCAATAATATGGCATCCAGCCACTCCTCTGTCACCCCCACTCCCCTTTTTTTTATTTATTTTTTTTTTATTTGGTAATACCTGAAACCATTTACCGTATATTCTCACTTAGCCGCCTGCGGGCGTCTAGAATATGCAGGCAGTGGTTTAAGTGACATTTCAACAAACCTGTCGCATAAGTGTCAAAGTAACCACTCACCCTTTGAAAACATCTGACAAACAATGATCCACCCAGCAATTGTCTATTTGAGCCTGTACGGTATTTTGTTTTAGTCATAAGTCATTGTAAATTTAAAAAAAATCACTTGGGACCGATATTTCAATGTTACATGTGATTTGATATATTGCCTGAAGCCTTGTCATGTTGCCCCGATTTGTTGTTTTTTGTAATCAAGCAACCCCTGAGCCATCATGGAGACGAGCTTTGTGTTCCACTTATTAATTTCTCCTCCCACCATGGCTTTGTCTTCCTACCTCCCTCGCTCACTCTCTCCCACCCCCTGCCCTTTTCCTCGCCGGGCTGCACAGGCACTGACATGATGGGTAAGATGCTGAAAATGCAGATGTTGGAGGATGAGGATGATCTCGCCTACGAGACGGAGAAGAAAGAGCGCACGTCGTCCACCGCCGACGCCCAGCCAGCCTGGATGAGGACGCTGCACACTACCGCCGGCAACTGGCTGCAGCTCATGCCTCAAACCGTCAATCCCCTCAAACGCACGGTGGAGAACATCAAGGTAACGAGCCAGACGCAGGAGAAGTTGAAAGCTGCTCTTCATTTCAATGTTTTGTTACTCATGAGGCAACAAGGTAAAAACGTTTGAATGAACTGGGCTTGGAGCGCTTTCTGTAACTTGTCGTGTTCAAATACCGCTAGGACCCGCTGTTCCGCTTCTTTGAGCGTGAGGTGAAGATGGGTGGCAAAATGCTGCAGGAGGTCCGTCAGGATCTGTCGGACGTGGTGCAGGTGTGCCAGGGCAAGAAGAAGCAGACCAACGATCTGCGCACTCTTATTAGCGACCTGGTGAAAGGTATAGGCCTCATATTTTATTCAACACGTAATGAGCCATGCTGCAAAAGTCACACGAAAAAAAAAAAAAAGACTAACCTCGGTTTATGGTACCAGAAGTGGGTAAGCATTTTTTTAAACGCAAGATTTAGTGAACACTGCTATTAGTAAAAAATCAAACACGACTAAAAAGGCGTAATGAAATGCGTTCAATGGTCTTTATCGTCCTTCCTTTCCACCTGGCTGTGTTTCAGGCATCCTCCCTCGCAGCTGGTGTCGCTACACCGTGCCCGTCTCCATGACCGTCATCCAGTGGGTGGCGGACTTCAGCGAGCGCATCAAACAGCTGCAGCAGATCTCACAGGGCGCTGCTAGCGGGGGCGCTAAGGAACTCAAGGTAAAGCATCCTCACTGAATTGTTAGTGCGCCAACTTAAAGGTTTTCCAGTTATGATCATGTAAATCTTACCACATCTTATGAAAGCAGTACTAAAAATGCTCTTATGTTATATGGAGATGACTTCTCAAACCACAATTAGGATTTCAGTTGACTGACGTGATCGCTCCACAATGTTGCGTAAGTCCGTGTTTGTGAATCATCCAGTCTGCCTCTATTCTAACACCTTATTTCTCCTTAAGTCATTTTCATTTTTCTTCAGATTCGTGTTAAATTCCCTAATGTAGTGCGCTGACACGAGATCTTTTTTTTTTCATGGCAATTTTTGGGTTGAAATATATTAATGTTTTCAATGTGTTTTTTTTTTTAATTAACAGTGTTTAAAGTGTCTGGCTGGGTTTTTTAAGACTTAAACTAGAAGGATATATTTTTTTTAATATTGTCTCTCCACAAGTGTATTGTGAATTTTCACCTATGGCACGTGGAAACATAACTCCCTGCGATGAACAGAAATCGCTGCCCATCTGAATTCATTTCCTGTTATTCCTTGTCCCTTTCCCAGAACATCCACGTCTGCCTGGGGAGCCTTTTTGTACCTGAGGCATACATCACCGCCACCCGCCAGTACGTGGCCCAGGCTAACAGCTGGTCTCTGGAGGAGCTTTGTCTGGAGGTTAACGTCACCAACGCCCAGGGCGCCACTCTGGATGCATGCAGCTTCGGCATCAAAGGTCTGACCGTGCACTCAACAGCTACTGAAACCAAGTTTCTAATTTCATTTGCTCAAAAAAAGGTTGAAGAATTTATAAGTGGCCCTTTCATCCTTCTGTTTTTCTGCAAAAGTTTGGACGCCCCTGGTATATATGTTAGCGTGTTAAAATGTTTCCTGTTGTATGATGATCATGCTTTTTCCTCTTTTGCCAAACACTGGCCAAGCTTATGCTCGTTCATGAAAAAAACTAAATTTGAAAAAAAAACCCACTTTTGTTTACAAAATAAAAAAGTAAATGCTTTTTAGATAAATGAGAACTAACTGAAACTACATTTTACATTTTTAAAAAAAAGATATAATTATTGCGAAAATGTTTGCATTCATTTTTGTCAATTAATATCACGCTTGAGGGTTCCTTTTGTGTATTTATTTTGGTAGTGCTGACACAAATTTTGCGCTGCAGGACTCAAACTGCAGGGGGCGACGTGCGCCAACAACAAGCTGTCCCTGTCCACTTCCATCTCCACCGAGCTGCCTCTCACCCAGCTCCGCTGGATCAAGCAAGGCGATGGAGAAAAGAGACACACGGTAGAAAGAGCGCCATCCGCGGGTTGTTGTTTCCTCTCTCCCCCACCATCCGCAGGCTCACCCACGGTCTTCTTTTTCTCAGGTCACTCTGCCCGTGTACCTGAATTTCACCAGGTCTGACCTCATCTTCACCGTCGACTTCGACATCGCCACCAAGGAGGATCCGCACAGCTTCTACGAGCGCGGTGTGGCCGTCCTATGCACAGAGTAGTTAAATGAGATTCTAGAAATCTCGAGAGTTAATCTGACCCATATAATCACCTATATGCGCTGCGTGTTAACTACCCATTTAGTTTGCTCAGTCGTGAACATTTGCGGACCAGTAGTAGTCGTAGAATATATACACTTTATTTTGCAAGTGTCTGAGAAGGTTTTGAGGAAGTTGTCAGTTGGGTATATCGTGTTTCAAAAGAGGACGTGGGAAGGAAGAACAGATTTTACACGAACGAAAAGGTATGTTGTATTTTACATTGAATAAAGCTTGCTGGACTGAAATGAGTTGGAATGGGAATTTCCACTGAATATCACTGCTAACTTGGATTTATTTTGTATTACGTTATCACCACCTCAACACATGTAAAATAGAACCAAGAAAACACAATACTAGTATTGTACAATTATATATAGTTTAAAATGTTATGTATTATGTGCTATATTATGTGTTATAAATCAGTTTCAATTCATGTAAACTTAAGGCAAATATCACAAACAAAACTACAGCGAACCCCCACATATTTGCAAATTTGTGGATTTTGAAGTGCGGGGGTGAACCTTCGTTATTTACCGCGTTTGCTCAGGCCAAAAGCCATTTTTTGTGATATAAAAATGATTGCTTTTCGGTGCCCTGACATACAAATGAGTCAATTTAAAAATAAGGTTTCAACTCATTCATTGCATCTCAGTGGACAATTGTCAAACTACACAAATGAAACTAAGTGTATTTAAAACAACCGCAGCCTCTAGCTTAATGCTAACATAAATGGGAAACTTCTTGGGTGTGGCAGTGTTATCCATTAAGCAATGAATATTTGAACACAAACATGTAGCTCGATAATACTCAGGCATGCATTCTTTATCCTCTGCAAATAATTACTCATACTACTGCCAGACTTAGAGGAAGAGCATAGTACTCTAAGTCTGTTTTATACCGCCAGCTGTATAATTTTCTGGAGTGCCATTTTTGTCATTTAAAAAAAAAAGTTTGCGTGGGGGTGGGTAAATAATGGATTATTGGCAGTTCCATTCATTTCAATGGGGAAAGATGCTTTGAGATGAGTATTTTACAAACCGAGGGTGGTCAATGAATGAATGAATAAAACTTGTACAATCTACACAATAAGTAATCACCTTTTGGAGAAAATTATTTTTAATGTGTTTCTGCAATTTTTGAACTTTTTTGTGGATGTCGATGACAATGGGCCCACACATACACCCGTGATAGACCTGTGGATTTGGACACTCTGCCCCTTTATTTTACTGCCAACCCCTCTTTGCTGTGGAAAACACTAACGGAAGTTTAGCCATACTTTTTTCCACAATTTTGGGGGTTAAAAAATAAATTCCCAACGCACAGTGGACGATAATCAAACATGAATTTTCACTATTCGCAGGTCAGACAGTCCCTATCCACCACGAATAGCAGGAGTCCCCTGTCCTCGTGGATTATTGTGAGAAATGACAGATGAATAATGAAGGTTCACTGTCATCAACTTTGAAATTCTAAATAAAGTGTATTTTTTAATAACAAAAATAAATACAATTGGTAATTAGGAGAATAAACAAAGTGCATTGATTGTAAAGTCACTTGAGAGGGCTCAAGCATGATGCTGATGCAGAAGCAGTCCCTCAGTTTCACGCAAAATTTGGTGGACATCTCTATCATCCTTCTTTCTCCTCTTCTACGCGGACCACACACAGCCTCTTTCTTAGCACCAGACTGTCACCGCAGGGCACGTCCGGCTTCCTCTTGACCACCACACAAACATCACATGGGCCGGCCGTACTGTCCAAGGAGCTGTCGGGCATCTGGGCGTCACCGTGGAGTCTATAGTGTGCTTCCAAACCCGCCGCTGCCGCTTGGCTGCCAGTCATGTCCTTGCTCAGCTGGCACAGCCAAACCTCAGAGTCATCCGAACACTTCATGTGCACGTCCAGAAGATGCTGGCTTGTCGCTTTAGTTGGTTTCACCAGTGGTCTAAAGTCAGTGGACAGAGGAGGGTGAAGAATAAAATGTCTAGTCCGACGGGAGATGCGACCTCGTCCTCCTTTTCCCTGCTGCCTGGTTCGCCCTTTTGGGATGCTGGCATCCATGTTGGTCTCATCAGAATCCTCCGAGCTCCCGTCATATGGGTCCAAAAACTACAAATTGACAATATAGTTTTTGTTAGGAACAAACAGTTTCTCATTTCGTAATCTTGTTCATGATGAATCCTTAAATATTTGAATATTGAGCCACCACAGTCGGTTTTCACACAAAATTTGGTGGACATCTCAATCATCAGTTAGTGACCCACAAAAAAATATATGTACTCTTGAGTGTGCAAGAGCCCATTCAATACCCATTTAGTTAACACCCTGTTGGAATTGCTATTATCTCTTCCAACTAATTCATCTGCTTGTGGGGGTTCAGTCATCTTACCAAGGAGTAACATCCCTGGCGTCCCCCTGCAGGTTCGTGCACTCGTGGCAACGTCCGTCTTAAACTGCCACTCTCCGGCGCACTGCTCACACATTCCTGTCACACATTTATGATGGGGGTTTTATACAATAGTATCTTAACCTATGGGCTTATCAGGATAACAATTGTCCTGGCATTTTTTGCCTTGAGTTGTGATGAAAAATACATATTTTTAAATAGAGTTACAAATGCTGGCAGCGAACTTTACATTGTATACAGCAGTTCGGCAGCTTGTGAACAAATTTTCCAAAAAGAGAGCAAATGCTTGCTTCGAGCTCTTCAATGCCACTGTCGCTATTCGAGGTCTAACTTAAAAATTTCAAACAAAAAACAAAGGCACACGTTGTGAGGATTAATCAAAGCGCGTTAACTTTGTTTTACGAAGTCCGCAATGCAAAACGCATGTCAGGCTAATTATTCACCTTTAAACAACTTTTATTTGAACACGAGCCATGGCGACACGTGGAAGCAGAGCATAGAACAATACTTAGGCATACATGCTTCATCCTCTGTGGAAACAACTACAATGTAATTTAGTTCCAATTGTCTTATTTTCCCATGAAGTCGACACGTCGTTTGGCTTTGTGTATTACACTGCCCCCTGGTGGCCACGAAGACAAGAAAATGCAGCACAACGGCCATTGAACTATCATTATGCACCAACTATTCGATGTTTTAAATTATTTTAAGATGTTTATTCATATGCGTTAAATAAATTACAATATCAGTTTTCATATGAAAACGCATGCTATAAAAATTTGTTGATGGTTTCTGGGGCGCTTTACTAGCTTAGTGGCATTTCCATTTATTAGAGACAACACTGTTTTGTGTTTCAGGCATTGGTCAAGGACCAATTTAAACTTCTAAGTCAATGCACCACTGTATTTAATTCAGGGCAGCGTATACAACATTTCCTCATGCTATGTCTTGAAGTAGCGTGTTAATGGTACCATAGTGCTGGTGTCTGACCATCTTGGACTAATCTCAGAGTCCGAATCAGTGCTGGATTCCACTTTACACATCTCCTATAAATACACACATCGTTTCAATACTTTTAAAAGTCAACAATTATGATTTTCAAGCATTGAAATTGCTGATAAGAGATAACTGGGTGACCCGACCTTGTATTTGAAGGCGAGCTGCTCCATGTTGCTTATTTGGCCACTGTCACTGGGGTCTAAAATGAAGGGAGGGAAAATCGGTGAACTCTAAAAACGCTGAAGTGGCATGAAACTGCCCGCGTTAGGGTCTAAGTTTAAAAACAAGCCCTTCTTCAGAGTGTCTTTACATTTTTACCTGGAATTAAACGCGGTCGTCTTCGTCTGTAAGCCATGCTGATGCAGGGGCAGGTAGGAGCCCGCGAGTCTCTTTTAAACGATGAGGTCATTATTGCCGTAATTTCTGAGGTGTCGTAAAGGAGAGGACGTCAATAAACAACTTCGGCAACATGTGGCGCCCGTGTTTTGCAACAGGTGATTTTGTTCTTTCTTCATTGCAGATGCATTTTGTTTCCGCTTGCCTCTGATATTAATAATTTTCTTAAATGGAATGAAACAAATGTTACTGAATGAGTATCGACAAGGCTCACGGTGATTGACTGGCGTTATTTCGTGTAAAAGTCAAATTAATACAACTTTATGTAGCGCAGTCCACAACAGCTAGAGTTGTAACAAAGCATTTTACATATAACATAAAATGATCACATGTTGAGCTTTTCCATAACCGTTTTTGCAAATTGTGCAAAATAAGAACACAAACAAGTTGTCAGGGAACATTATAAATTAGATGAAGGAAAGAAAATGGGAACGGCAAAAACCACGCCACGTTTTAAAAGTACATTTTATTTCATATATGCATTTAAAAACAAGTCTTTTCGACATGTTTTTATTTTGGGCCGGCACTAATGGCGTGAAAGTCTAAATGATGTCTTAGGCTTTGGTGAATTCGTGAAATTTCAAGTCATTTTCATGGAGAATATTGACATTGAAGTCAATTCAAAGTACAGTACCAATGGGGCGTTTTATTTAACGATACATGAACATATAACTTTCGATTTAGCATGACGTTCCTTCGAACAAACGTACTTTTATTAAATGTAGCCAAATACATTACATTGGACATTTGCTCCTCCCAAGCAAAACCAATAATGGCAATCCTCTCATATTAATTACACAAAGCTTTTATCAATGTAAGTTGCGCGCAAAATACAAAGGTTGCGCCAGAAAGACCTTCCCACCACCGCTGTCACTCTCCCGCCCTCGCCTTTGCCTAAGATCCGGCTTGGAGGAAAGGGATGAATGTTAATTTCAAAGATGGCGGCGGAGGGAGGAGGGAAGGAGATGAACGAAATCAAAACTCAGTTCACCACTCGGGAAGGTGTTTACAAACTCCTCACACACTCCGAATACAGCCGTCCCAACAGAGTGCCTTTTAACTCGCAGGGCTCCAACCCGGTCAAGGTCTCCTTCGTCAACGTCAACGACCAGTCGGGCAACGGCGACAGGATCTGTTTCAATGTGGGCCGTGAACTCTACTTCTACATCTACAAAGGTGTCCGAAAGGTACGGTGCCATGGCAAGCACACTCCCCGGTAGCGCCACTTCGTTTTGCCCAAGCCCGTACGTAGCCTTCCGTCCGGCTTCTGAGCACAACTGTGGCGGGTGTGTGACTTTCAAACGGAGCCACTGGGCTAGTTAGCTTCGGGCTAACTAGTTAGCGGCGCGAGTGTCTTCACAAGCTACTTCGAGGCCATAGGTCGAAATTCCTTCGTCGAGCCGGCATTATTAGTCGCGTGTTAATGGGGCCTACATGTCAGTTATCCCGTTTTTAAAAGTAGCTGCGTAGAGGCTGCTACTGGCGACGACTGCGTACCACCTGTCGACGCCCCACATTCTAACAGGTGTCCACTTAGCACTGCTATCATTGGAATGAACGGTGCTAGCCACTTAGCTTGTAGCTCAGCGGATTTTGGGAGGACAGAGTCGCCGAACGTGTCACTTAACCCTCACTTATCGTCAGGTTTGACCCGTTCGAACACTTGACACCATTTGAAGTGCCCCGAATGTCCTCCTTTCTCTCTGAAATTTGATGACTCAAGTCACTCACTATAGGTACTTTAAAGCTGTAGTTGTTCTGTGTCGAATTTGTGTCCACCATGGGCGTTTGTTGCACATTTTTTGGGGGGTGCTCAAGGACCCCTAAATTGAATCCCAGCACCCCTAAAATGTAAGAGGGGTTTTTTTAAATTGAATCCCAGCACCCCTAAAATGTAAGAGGGTTTTTTTGTAACCTATGTCCTTTTAAATAGACGAGAGAAGTGAGTTCAGATCCAGTACTTTGGTGAAACGTAATTGTACCACTCAATCTCTCCCCGACTGGGTTCTGAGCACCCTATTTGCACAGATGAAAATGCTGCCTTCAAGTGATATACAGACAGTACACTGTAAGTTTTGTAACCTATGTCATTTTAAACAGACGAGAGAAGTGAGTTCAGATACAGTACTTTGGTGAAACGTAATTGTACCACTCAATCTCTCCCCGACTGGGTTCTGAGCACCCTATTTGCACAGATGAAAATGCTGCCTTCAAGTGATATACAGACAGTACACTGTAAGTCATAACCTTCTGGCATAAACCAGGATATGTGGAACATTTTTTTTACCATCTCCCACTCAGTACCTTACACATTATCATTACCAATCCTCATTATTGCAGAATTTAATTGTAAGTCACGGTTTGTGTCAGGTAGGAGTTAGCTGAAGCTCTTTTCTGGCTAGAAACTGTTTGAGGTGGTCAGAGGCAGCGCTGCTGTCCTGTGAATTGGAAAGGGAGAAGCTAGCAGTATGGACTTTGTGTTTGTTATTAAAGCCAAGCTGCTAATCACAAGCTAACTTGATTGGATGCCCATGACCAAAAAGTGTTGCGCTTCTCTTTCATCAATGTGGGAATGGAATTGCATTCAAATGTACAAAGCGGTTACATTGATCTGGCAAAGCCAGATGCCCCTGTTGTCCACTAGAAGGGATTTCAGGTTTACCGGCGTGTTGAATCGAGGAAAATGGTGGGAATATCGAAACTGTACATCGCGATGTGTGTATTCTTTATGGAATCCCCTTGGTGTTCAAGAGGGTGCTTGAAACAGTCCTGAGAGCTGTTTGTGTTTACAAAGCAACCTTCATCGACCGGTAGGTTGATATCAGATCATTAGGGAATCTTGAACGATAAGAGTCCAAGTTGTGTACATGTGTATTTCAATAGGACAATAGAGACAGCGGTCACAGGGGAGTTTGAAACAGTCCTGCGAACTGTCTGTTTTGCCACAGGACTTGGACAGGTTCCCACTGAAACATGCAGCAGTTGCTGAACTTTGAACTTAAGGGTCACGAGGAGACCTTGCGTTAAAACAGCAGTATTTAAAGGACAGCAGTCATACCGCAGTCAGAAGGTGCCTAGAAACAAAAACACCACTCCATGATAATTTACTTTATACTATAAACATACAGTAATAACATAATTAAATATAATTTAAAAAGTATTAAGCAGTTCTTCCTCCACTTAATCAATCCAATGGGCGTTATATTGCTTCGCACCGCACAGAGGATAATATTGGCCATTCAATGAAGGTGCGCCTTATAATCCAAAGCAGTTTATAGTGCAGAAAATACAGTATGTACAAATGCTTTATCATCTCTAAAATTAGCTGTCGCGGCTTTTCATAATTTGTGGCCATCAACCTTGTTTCTTACCGCACTTTCAGGCTGCAGACCTGAGCAAGCCCATAGACAAGCGCATCTACAAGGGAACACAGCCCACCTGTCATGACTTCAACCACCTCACCGCCACAGCTGAGAGTGTGTCGCTCCTGGTTGGCTTCTCTGCCGGGCAAGTGCAGCTCATCGACCCCATCAAGAAGGAGACGAGCAAGCTCTTCAATGAGGAGGTAATGGGGGGGAGGGGCGCTTTTGCTGTTTTAATTATCTCATTTTGTTCGTTACACTATATGGATTATATCTAGCCATCCTGTTTATTTCTCTTGTCCAGAGTGGTAATTATAACGCGTAACTGGTGAGAGGAACCATTGTAGTCATTTTATGGTACCAATATTGTGTGCGCGTCCGTCGTCAAATGTACTTTAATAGTATTTGATGTTATAGGGGCTCAAGCAGGGTTTGAATGGCCTAGTGCAAGCGCTAAAATTAATGAGATGTCTGTTTTACTCCTTTAAAAGTGTTTTCAAGCTCCTTTAGATTCCTCAACCCAATTTATTTTGAAAGAAAGTGGGTTTGGAAAGCCCGCCCTCCACCGCGGCTTGGCACCGGTTCAAAACGAACCACGCAATGAAATTTGTTTATTTGCTGTGACGTATTCTTCGTGAGCAATGTCACTCTTCGGCCGTGCAAGTCCACGCTCATTGAAAATGGCGTGCGTGAGAGTCGATGGTTTAACATTCGGCATTAAATCACATTTAAATTAACCAGAAACACGGAAAGTCATTAAAACCCCAGCATCTGACGGCATTAATTTCAAAAGTCCCCCCACCCCCCTGGCATCACGTCCGCTCTTCACTTATTTCATTTCGCTGTCTTGATTGCTCAGGTTTGTCTCAGAAATGTGCTTGATGTGACTGGTTACAGCGGTGAGTCTGGATTACCAAAATAAAATAACCAATAAACATCAATGTGCAACACTTAATATCTATAAATCTGTGCTTTCATTTTGGATTATCACTTCGACACCGTTCCAAGGAAATCATGTCCCGTCACTGGTGAGCTATTTTTAGAACAGGCCCACGGGCTACCCGTCGAAGTCCTTTTGGGAAACATAATGCCCGCGAGTTAACAAAATGCAAAGCCAACTGTGTATATGTAGGGAGTATATTTTCATGTGATTATCGCAGTAAACGATGACTATGATGTGAAATTGAACTGATTTGTGATGTGCTTATCCTGTCCTTGTGTCACTCCTCCTCCAACCAGAGACTAATAGACAAGTCTAGGGTGACGTGTGTGAAGTGGGTTCCGGGCTCCGAGAGCCTCTTCCTGGTGTCGCACGCCAGCGGCAACATGTACCTGTACAACGTGGAGCACACGTGCGGCACCACGGCGCCGCACTACCAGCTCCTCAAGCAGGGTGACAACTACTCGGTGCACACCTGCAAGAGCAAATCCACGCGGAACCCCCTTCTCAAATGGACAGTGGGTGAGGGCGCCCTCAATGAATTTGCCTTCTCCCCCGATGGGAAGTTCCTGGCGTGCGTGAGCCAGGACGGCTTCCTGCGCGTGTTCAACTTCGACGCCGTGGAGCTGCACGGCACTATGAAGAGCTACTTCGGCGGCCTTCTGTGCGTGTCCTGGAGCCCCGACGGCAAGTACATCGTAGCGGGCGGCGAGGACGACCTGGTCACCGTGTGGTCCTTCCTGGACTGCCGGGTGATCGCGCGCGGCCACGGCCACAAGTCGTGGGTGAGCGTGGTGGCCTTCGACCACTACACCACCAGCGTGGAAGAGAGCGACCCGCTGGAGTTCAGCGGCAGCGACGAGGACTTCCAGGAGCAGGTGGCCAACTCGGGGCGGGACCGCGCCAACAGCACGCAGTCGCGCCTCTCCCAGCGCAACTCCACCGAGAGCCGGCCCGTCAGCGTCACGTACCGCTTTGGCTCAGTGGGCCAGGACACTCAGCTGTGCCTGTGGGACCTCACCGAGGACATTCTGTTCCCACACTTGCCTCTTTCACGGACACGGACGCACACCAATGTGATGAACGCCTCCATCCCGCCGCCGGGCTCCACCATACTCACTTCGAGTACCAACGCCACGAACGGAAGCACCAGCGGAGCCATCACTCCCGGCGTGAACTCTATCTCCGGTACGCTACCGCGGTCCAACAGCCTGCCCCATTCCACCACTTCCAGCACCGCCCCGACAGCCACAAGCACGACGACGAATAACACTAACAAGCCGAGCGGCGGTATCATGGACAGCGCCATCGCCACGGGGGTCAGCAAGTTCGCCACGCTGTCGCTGCACGAGCGCAAAGAGCGCCACCACGAAAAGGACCACAAGCGCAACCACAGCATGGGCCACATCAGCAGCAAGAGCAGCGATAAGCTCAACGTGCTGACCAAGAGCAAGACGGACGCCGCCAAGACGCTGGGCACGGCGCTGTGCCCGCGCATGGAGGACGTGCCGCTGCTCGAGCCGCTCATCTGTAAAAAGATAGCGCACGAGAGGCTGACTGTGCTCATATTTTTAGAGGACTGCTTAGTGACTGCTTGTCAGGAGGGATTTATTTGCACATGGGCCAGGCCAGGCAAAGTGGTAAGTTCTTTTTAACCCAGGGCCAATTTAAGCGTGTTTCTCTCTACTCGGGCCGGAGGCGGCAGGTCGTCACAGACGAGCCCGTAGCAATTCCAGACATGAGTCGCATATCACACGGCCTTTTTTTTCGCTCCCCACTGCATCGATGCCTCATCACGAGAGAGACGATCCTTTTGTGTTAGCGCATCCTTCAGTGTAGTGTTTCCCAACCTTTATTAGTGTTCGGGTCACCAAGAACGTATACAGTGATCCCCTGTTCATCGCCGCCGTTTTATTCAAGACTATGAATGGCCCATCCGAGACATCAATCAAGATGACCTTTTGCACATTCCAAGGAAATGCCTATACGTACGCTACTGAAACGCTCGCACGCTACTGAAATACATATTTCATGATATTATAGCGCATTAGTATGAGGAATGAGAATTTCAGTTGTGTCTGCTCGAGTTTTAGTCGTGACGGGAGAAAATCTGCAATGGACACGTCGATTAGCCCTTCCACTCACTTCAAGCAAATGAAACACATTTAATCGAAAAATCTGCCATGTTTAGAACTACGGCACGACAAGCGACGGTCCCAAAAGGCTGACGTTTTCGGACGTAACTTTACATTGCCCTTATAAATGGATGCTATTTTTATGGGATGCACTGGGTGGTACATTCAAGATTCTCCTCAACTGTGAATTGGCAGGGCTTCACTGTATACTTAATTGTTGGTTTAGTCAATATACTCACAAAAAAGTACTTCTGTAATGCGAGCCTGTTGAGTTGACAACAAAGCGAGTATTCTGTCCGATGAACGGATGCACAGTTTAATTGTACCTTGTGCCATTTCGTGGCAGAGCATTTCATTTTTCTGTGTGTCCATTTGTCGGCGGCAGAGAGAGATGAACAAAGATGCATTATTTATAGCAAATAAATCATCATTTTCGAACCAATTAACGTGATATTGGGTAACTTCCTGCAGTTTAGTGGTGGGGAATCGCTGCTTTCGGCGCGCTCGTGAATCCGCAGGCTCAGCCACTTTGCTCCGAACAATCGTGTATGCACTTCCTCATGGGCTCGCAGCTTCAGTCGTTTTGTTTTCAGTGCAGAAAGACACCTTCAAAAAAAGTACTTCCAGCAAACCCAGTGCGGGGGTGAAGGATGAGCCAGTGATGTTTTCATTTTTCTCATTGAAAGTGTCTCCTCGTTTCTCAATGCATGAATCGTAAAGAAAAAAAAATCTGAGATATGCATAAAAAGCTGATAAAATATTCACCACCCCCAAAAAAATATTTTTATATATGCTGTATGTCGTAGTTATTCAAATGAAACCATTGACTCTTCCCATTATATTCAACGCTGTTAGAAATTATATTACGATTTAATGTGCCATTGTAGGTTTTTTTTTTTTTCTCCTCCCTCCTGATTTGAGTAGAACAAGGAGCCCCAAAAAGTGGTTTTAGGCCATGATAAAATTCCCTCAAATCTTAACTCGTCATTTCAGTTGTAAAAGCAAAAGTGAAACCTCGTGAACGTCACCGTGTCCATTGGCTCGGACCAACTTGGGGGTTGACCGCACGCCTAAGGATCTCGGGTCGGAAAAATCCCTCATAACGCCCCGCTGCATAATCGCTCAGGGGAATCCTTGGAGGCATCCGACAATCGGTCCTTTGCATTTGAGGCGTGCAGTGAACCCCGCCACTCAGGCTGCATCGGGACCTCGTTCTTCTGTGAATTACAGAACTCTGCAAATAACGCCTACCCTTAAAAGGTGAACACTGTACTGTGATTGCTTAAAATTGCCAGGAGATGGTAGCCAAGGACTACTTTTGCCATAATGAAACTTCCCAAAGCAGTGGTATCAGGAGGCCACCAGTTGGCATTGTGCTTTGGCACATAAACCAAACGGGTGAGGTTGTCCGGCGAATAACAAAGGACAAAGTTCTAAAAACAATTTTTGAATAGATAAATTCGCAAATACTAAAGTGGGGCTACAGGTGCGTGGGGAGAGTTGCCCGATTTGACGTTGGAGATTTCACCGTTGTCAATCATTTCGACTTGAGCTAAGCAACCTTACAAATTACACGGCGTGCTCCCAAAATGGCTGCTTTTTTAAAATTTCAGTTCCGTGAACCAGAAGCAACGAATTTTCCCCCCTTCTGCTGCACTTTGTGAAATCCTTTTTTTTTCTCCAATTTCTTCCTCTTCTCCCAAATGCAAATCTCCTTTTTTGTTTTCCTTTTTCCAGGGTTTATTGTCCTCCCAAAACCAAGCCAGCTCTCCCAGTGGAACAGTAGTATAGCCCACCACACAATAAATCTGCTGCTAAAGACAAAAACCCACGCAAGCCACAGTCTGATGCTGCTCTTCACTTCCTCTGCGAGTGTTGCAGGTTTTCCCTTGTCCTATTTTTTTTTTTTAATCCCCTGCCTCCCCCCACCCCCTTTTCTATTTTGCATTCACTTAAGTGCAGTGTTTCCCAATGTTTCTTGAGCCAAGGTGCCTGTTCTAGATTGGGAAAATGTATATTCTGTGCCGTGAAGAAATATTTGCTCTCTTCTCAAATTCTTTTTATTGTATTTTTTTCATAACTTTCCCCACTTTAAAATGCAAGATTATGAAGCAAATTTAAATATCAGACATAGATATACCCAGGTAAACATTTTTTTTGGGGGGGGGGTGCAAACAAAAATTCTAATCTACCTGTCCCTGCATGAATTTGTAACTTGCCCACTAATACTAGAACTAGTTGGATGATGCATTATTTGTCGTCAATTAAATGAAATTGGACAGTGGTTGGGAATCACTGCTTTAGAGCAAGGGTGGGCAACCTGTGGCCCTTGAGCCAAACACATGGCCCGGCTGAACATGGATCCAGCATGCCATGCAATTCCCCAAAACAAAAACATTTAACCATAAATGTACTCTCACCCCGCCCTCCATTCTTTTTTTTTTTGTTAGCTTCGGAAAAAGATTGCCCATCTATGCCTTAGAGGAAGACCGCATCAAGGGGGGGGAAAAAAGTGCAATGTTGACTGTTGCTGTACTTACTGTAATAGTTTAGAACGGAAAATGTTAAGGCTCCATGTCAAAACCCATCATCCTGAGTGAATGGTTCTGTAACACATTAAAAAAAAAAAAGTAAACTAGAAGTGTAGCTTAGACTGCTCAGGGTTATTGAAATTGTGTGGAGCTGTTTTTTTTTTTGTTTGTTTGTTTTCTTTAACGATCAAGCAAGCATCTGGGATTGTTGCATCCGTTATGTCTGTTTCCCCAATTTCCAACCCAATGACTTTTGCACTGATACTTTTTTTTTTTTTTTTTTTTTTTTTTTTTTTTTAGTACTACTCTATTGGAACAAAAAAAAGGGGGCAGGGGTCTGTTTTAACGTCCTCATTCTCCGTTTCCCCTAAAAAAAAAAAGTTAAAAACTGGATGCTGCAATTATAGTCTTTATCAAGAGAGAAAAGTTTGCACTTAAATTAGTTTATCAGATGAAAAAAAAATGGCTTTACATGTTTTTGTGCTGTGCTCACAACTCACAGATGGCTAATACAGTAGAGAAAAAAAACTATTAAAAGTCTTTATTGAACATTTATTTTAATATTGTGTTCAGATTGAAATGTGCTCTGTATCATATTGTGTATATTGTAATAATCGATTTGATGCCGGGCAGGGTTGGGGAGGGCAAACTTACCATTTCCCCCGCGGGAAGTTTTGTCATGGATAGTTATATTTCTAAAGCCTAAAGTATACATATGAATAATATTAAAAATAATCTTGAATACACAGTTTTCCTGTGTTTCTTTGTCCCCCCACATTAACACGGACAGTCGTACTCAGAATATTTGAATAGATTAAATTACACCATGTATTCACACCGACATACATAGTTGTACTCCAAAACAAGTATGGCTGTATCTGGTAGTTGTCAGGAAAAAAAAATATTTGTCATCAATTGGAATAAAATAACTACATTTTTCCAATTTATATATCAGGATTTACTTGTTTTTATATATTTGTTCAAAACCATTTTGTCTTTTTTTTTTCTTTATAAATACACCTGTGACTTAATTCACACGAGGCTTAGTGTCTTTAATAGTTCACAAACAACTTTTTAAACAATATGACATTTTTAATTGGGTTTTACATCACATTTACAACAGTAAATTGCAGAGTCATGATTCCAATGAAAGGTTATCAAGGTGCCTGGCAAGCTACTGTACATTCTAAATCTAATTGTGCTAAATAATATGAACTGTGTGTGTACTAAATCACAGTAATGGGTTTATTGCCCCATTTTTCTTTGTACAACTTAAATTTCTGTTGGGGCACATCATCGTACATAATGGATAGCCCTTGGGGGGTGGCACTGGTTTAGTAGCTTTATTCCATTTGGTTGGTTGTGTGTGTCAGTAGCCTCCTCCATGTTTCCTGTCCAGGGGTGGCATCAAGCAGGTCTTCAAGCTCCCCGACTGTGACTCATTATTGGCCTGTGTGGACACACCAACATTAAACCAAAAAAGGACATTCAGGTAAATGTGGCAACAGGAGTACAAAAAAGCACAGTATAAAATTAACAAAAATAAAAATGTATTGTTAATTTTGCCAGCTAAAGCTTTGTCGCCATCTTGTGGTTTTTATCGCCATCTTGTGGTTTCTATCGGCTATTCCCCAAAATGTGGCCTTTCGGACACCAATTACTGACGGATCTTCGCTAACAGTCGCAGGGTTCCTATGTACTTTTAAAAATTAAAATCCTATATAGAGTACTCAAGTAAAAGTGAAACAGTACAGGCTGAAATATATTTAATATTTTGATTTAGTTACTTCCTACCACTGGAAAAAGGTAATGAGTGTAACTACCTTGGCCAAGCGTGACTGGCACTTCTTCGCGGAGATGGCCGGCAGGGTGCCCCGGTGTGTGAATGCGAAGACGGGCGGCGTGGACCCTGGGAAGGAGCGCTGTGGCCCTGGGGCAGCCAGTTTGAGTTTGGGTAGCTCGTAATGGCTGGCGTTACGTCGACTGAGGGGCTCGGCGATGTGCTTCGTGTTGTGCTGGAGTGGGGTAGAAATGGAAGCGATAAATATATATTGCTCACCATGACGTGTAAAACAGTTTGTGCATCATTCTAATCTACGGGGTATTGGAATGTCTGCCTTGGGCACCAGGGGGCAGTATGATATACAGACATAATAGAAGTGTGTTGGGAAATTCACTCTGACTCCGGTGCACTACTCCAACATGTGTGTGTTCAGAGAGATAGAGGATAAAGAATACATTCTGATGAGAGGACAGGGGCCAGCCAGCTCAGTGATGCCGAAGAACAACGAGAAGGCAGCAAGACAAGAAATATGGTGTGTATTGTGCTGTAATTTTTGGATTTGTAAGAAACCCGAGAAGTCTTTTCAATTGTGACCCAAAGCATCATGTCTCTTTTATGTACTTACAGGAATTAAAGGGGTGGGTCTGTTGTGCCTCCCTCTCATTTGTTTGCAAAGTCGGGATGGTCGCCACAGGAGGTCTGAGGTGATGTGCGGTGCTTTTTTTTCCACGCCTTCAAACGGCCCACCCGCTCCAGGATTGCGCTCACATTTTTTCTCTGCCAACCTGACATTAAACATGGACACAAATTGTTTTTGGATTTTTTTTTTCTCTTTTTTGCAAATCAGATATATGAGCTTGGAAAATTGTTGATATTGTTCAATTAAAATATTGATATTATATACAGTTTGTATCAGAATTTTTAAAAATATACTATATAAGTAAAATTTTATATTTGAACATTATTTATCATTTTTGAACCATCATTAAGAGTGAAATGCAAAATCATTTCAAGGACTGTTTCCGCATCTCCTCGTGGAACGTGTGACATTCTGTCCTGACTGCGGCGCGCTGTCATGGCTGCATGCTTACCGTATCTCCCGAAAGTAGGTGTGCCTCAAGGCGCTGGCGGCCGTGATGCGTTCATCCGCGTCGTAAGCCAGCATCTGGTAGAGCAGAGACACAGCAGGAGCGGCGCAGTTGGGCAGCAGGCGCGAGATCCCGCTACCCTTCTTTGCGGGGAAGTTGAAGTGCATCGCTCGAGACCTGGATGCAACGTGACTGCTTACAAACCGCCGGCGGTGTGATGATAACAAGCAAGTCAAGTTTGCCTTTTCTTTGTTTTGTTTGTCTGTGATCACGTGACAGAACCAGCATCGTGATAAAATCAATGGTTTTCAGGTGATGTCAGAGAGACAGACATTCGCTTGAGCGTGACAACCTACTGCTTGAATTTGCGCAGGACGCATTGCTCGGGTGTGCCCAGCACGTCGTGGATTTTGGCAATCTGGTCCAGCTCGTTGGCACCGGGGAAGAGAGGATTCAAGCTGAAACACAAGGTACCTCGTGAGCTGATTGACATGATTAGCCACATGCAATGATCTTTGAAATGGAGTGTGAATTTCAGTGAGCATCAAAGGATTCTGTCCATTTTTTTTCTAGGGCTTTTTATTTTTATTTTTTTGCAACACCAAAATTCAAGTAAAACTTCGAAAAGCATTTAAGAAAAATAGCTTAAGGCTTGCACTAAATGCAAAATGCCATTGATATTGTAACAATTAGCACTGACAGGTGCAATTTTAGAACGCTTTGGCCAACGGATATTTGAATAGAAATAGTGGAGCAACACATTAAGACTGTGGCGAATTCTGCTTCAACCGTCCGGGATGGACCCTGAGGAAGATCTCTTCCCCGGAGGTGGATGGAACAAATTAAATTTCCCCAGACCGCTGTTGTGACACCCCCCATCGGAGTCGGTTACCTCATAATCTCAAAGAAGACGCATCCGGCACTCCAGATGTCCATCTTCAAGCTGTAGTAGCCGTCAGTCAGGAGGCACTCAGGGGCACGGTACCAGCGGGTGGAGATGTATTCTGTGTGCGGCGGCTGGGAGTGCACGCTCCTGCACGAGCCGAAGTCACCCAGCTTGAGAACGTTTTGCTAGAAAATGGTACATACAAATAGTTGATAGAATTATGAAAATTGATATTTAGTTTTGATTGATGCAGGGATTCATTCAATCTCACTCTGATAAGAATGTTTTCCGGCTTCACGTCTCTGTGGAAGATCCCGCAGCTGCAAAGAGAACAGAAACCGTTTCAGCGTGCTAATGGTGACAACACTAAGAATTTTTTTTTTTTTTTTTTAATGAGAGGCGTTATACACAACATTCAACAGCGAAAGCTTTTTTTGGGGGCGTGGGGGGGACAAGAATGGGATTAAATATGTATAATCTTAATCAACAAAGAAGAATGGACTTCAGTATTTTTTCGTTTTTGTAAAATAGTTTGTCTAAAAAAAATCTTGGCTAACAATATTAAAGTTATAAAAGCATTTAAATAAAATCATTATAAATGTTGTTCACTGAGGGCAACTGAGGCATAATTTTTAGCCACTTTACATCATGTCCTGTTATGTTATTGTTCCCTTTTTTTTTTTAAATCATCATTTTCTGAAATGTATGGCAAATAGAAGTTACATGGAAATGAACTGAAATTGAAAGTTAAAACAACTGAGGCACTTCAGGCAGTGATTCTTTTTGTGTACCACTAGAGAGAGCCCGCGTCCCACTAATTGTGGTACACACTCAGTGGTGCACTTCGGGAGTCGCTGCACTATGACGTACTATTACATATGTTCTTGTGGTTACCTGTGCATGTGGTCCAGTGACTTGCACAGCTGGTACATGTAGTGTTTGACTGTGTGATCAGACGGCGGCGTCTGTCTCTCTGCGAGGCAACAAAACATCATTCAGACATCAACTTGGAAAACGTCCTTTTTTGTTATTTGTTTGGTTCGGTCGCCTCCCTCCCACCTTTAATAAACTCATATATGTTCATCTCCATCAGCTCGCAGATCAAAGACACGGTGCCTGTTTCCTTGTCACTGAAATGGTGAAAAGGAAAATAAGAGCTCAGCCTGTACATTGCAATTCAGATAGAGTGGAATCTCCAAAATTGAACTCCATATATTCCCTGACTTCCAACCTGTTATTATTTCCTCCAATATAGCTCATGTCGAGTTAATTGTTAAGTTCCATAAAATGAGCTAAGACAAAACGACTCACTCTTTGATAAGGCCTACAGACATGATAAAGTTGTGTCGTGAAGTGATTACTAATCAGTGTGGCATGGCGGCAGTTTCTTAGTGTGTAAGACCTTGGAGTCGGACGTTGCACGTTTGAGAACAAAAAAGTTTAAAAAAACAACAAAAAAAAAAAAAAACCCCAAAAAATAATAACAGTGAAAACTACTTGTTGGAGAGATGCCTGCTGGCTGCTGTCACGGCATCAAGCTCCACCCCCTCAGTTGAAATGGTGCAACGCTTAGGAGCATCAGTTGAATTTCCCGTTGAAGGAAACCAATAAGTATAATAAAGTCAAAAGAAAATTTTAATAAGTGTGCCGTGAAAGAGAAAAAAGTTTTGTTGTGGGAATTTTCTGCTTGTCACATCAGGGGTTGCCATAGCCAGTCAGTCGATTGTGTTGGTTTTGGTGAACACCTAGGACTGCTATGCTATATAATATTTTAATGTCGGTCTTCGTGATAATGGTCATCGAAGAGCTAAAAACTTTTTTTTTTGGGGGGAGGCGGGGGTTTTTGGTGTAAAAGGTTGGAGAACGAGTGCTTGAGATGCTCATGGAGTTGAAGTCTCCCAAGATTTGGCGACGTCACGCGTGATGATGGGTTGATGAGGTGTTCTCAAAGAGCATTTAGCTTCAACTCTAAATTGTAACAATTCTGGAGCTTTGGACTTTGGAGGTTCCACTGTAATAAGGTGAATTTGTGACCAATTAGAAGAGGTTGAAAGAACTCACAAAATCAGTTCGTGCAGGTGGATAATATTTGCATGTGGGCTAAGCCTCCTCATGGCTTGAACCTCCCGCAGGTTGTTGGCCTGTTCCACACTGCACAAGACAGAACACAAGATTTACTTCCAAATGCTCAGAAAATAAAATAATTTACCTTTGTATGATGTTTTTTTTTTCCACATACATCTGGCATGCTCAAGACGATCTTGTCCGCTCACCTGTTAATGGTCTGCTTCATAGTCTTGCACGCGTACATCTTTCCATCTTTCAGACTCTGAGTTTTGACCACCACGGAGAATGAGCCCTCACCAATCTTCTTGATTATTTTGTAGCCTAGGAAAGCATACAACTGTTTTATCGTTTGTGCATTTCAACGCCCAGGAAGATTCTTTTGCCAACAATGGAATAATAAAATAACAGAACAGCAGGCTGTCAACATAAGGACTGTGGCAGTTAAGTCTAAAGGCAGAGGAGTGTTTCTAAAGGCCGATATTTTAGTAAAAACATTTTTTTCTCATTCATTAATATTATTTTATTACTGTGTTTTTGTTATCTTGATTCATGTAAAACACTTTGATTCAACGCTCCAGCCTTCCTGTGTGGAGTTTGTTTGTTCTCCACCGTGCCTGCGCAGGTTTTCTCTGGGTACTCCAGTTTCCTTTGGCCCGTGTGCGCATTGGTATGTGGCCCGGACGCTCGCAATCCTATCTGTAACTGGCCAATGGTGTAGAAAATGGACAAATTGATGTATTTGAATGTTAAAATTAAAAAAAGTCTCAATAGCAGTAACTAAAAATATGTATTCGTAAGAAAAACTCATTTTTAGCCAAGCGGATAAATATATTATTGAACCTAGTGAGGATAACAGTTTGGGAAAATTAATACATTATTATTACCATTAGTAGTAATTGTTTAAGTAATATTGTATATCAGTAACTTGAAATAATTTTTAAAAGTGAAGAATACTACATTTGAAACTGCTCTCACTATGAGTCAGTGTAGTAGTAAAATAATTAACATAAATACATGTTAAAAGAATACTTTTAAAAAGCAACATATTAATTAAAAAAATAACATTATTGTGGTTCTCTTTCCCCGGGTCAAGTAAAGCAATAGCACACTAGCATTGAAGCAATTGGATTGAAGCTAATGACACACGCACGGGCGACTTGTAGTAGCCGTATTAGTAGTTAGTAGTAGTAGTTGTAGTAATAATAGCCAAAAATTCTACTTACGATGCATTTCTTTGCCTCGTTCATTTTTGGAACGGGCATTAAATGACTCTAACCCGTTACAATTACAATCTTGAGTGTAATTTGTATTTTAAAAAAAGCGTCTTCGGGTGGCGTTAGCCTAGCCGGACTTGGCCAGGCTGCGAGCTTGACCGTCGCCTAGGCAACGGAGCACGCCTTCACCCTCCCCTCTTGACCCAGCCGGCAAACGGCTGGAAAGTCTTCAACCCCGGAGAGGAAAAGCGACGGTGTGCAAGATTGTGGCTTACACACGGCGGGGAAAGGTCGGCATCCTTACCAAAATAATCCGTTGTTCTTATAATTTTTGACGAGGAATCGTTCTTTCTTACCTTTTTTCCAGAGGTGGGCGCTGACCGCTAGCTCCCCTGCCTTGTCACCGGGCTCCTGGCTCCGGTTGCTCCAGTCGCTGTTCGCCGCCGTCTTGCACGCATTCCGAAGGTTTGCCCTGTTTTTAACGCCAATTAGCCAGTTGGAGTAGTGCATCATGAGTGCACACGGATTTCCGAAAAGTGGAGCATGAGTTTAACGCTTTACTATGTCAGCGAATGAGAGGGGCGCTAGTGAATCGTCGCTGTCGCTATCGTTCTATCCATTCGTGGACTGTTGAGACATTACTGCTGCGCGTCGGCTTCCGTAGTAATGTGGCTAATTCTGGCCATGAAATAATAATATGCGATGGCTCAATGAAAATCGTTTGTTGCCTGTAATTTGTGTCATTGCCTACTATCTAATCCAAGGATGGGCAATTAAAATGATGGACGGGGCCACAATTTTACATCAGTATTTGTGGCCAGATAAAACCACATATGGACAAAATACGTACAAGATACTTCCTTTTAACATATATCATAATTCATTTCCCAAAGTATGTATAAAAGATCCAGCCTTCAGAAACAAATGGTTTGAATAATAAAAAAATAGACTCCACCTACCAGAGTCAGGTTTCTTGATGTCTACAAAAAGTACTATTCAACGATTGCTGCCCATAAGTGCAATAACTCATTTTGTGTTCCCCCCCCCCCCACCACAAAAGAAAATAAATAAATACAATTAAACTCACTCAAAAGTCTAACATTACTGAGAGACTATGTTTGTCCTAAATTGTCCCTAGGCGTGCGTGTGAGCGCGGGTGGTTGTTCGTCTCTATGTGTGCCCTGCGATTGGCTGGCAACCCGCCTACTGCTTGAAGGCAAATGGGATAGGCTCCGGCAACCCCTGCGACCCTTGTGAGGATAAAGCGGATCGGAAAATGGATGGATAGATGGATGGATGGATGGATGGCAATTAATCAAGGGGACCACTGAGAGTAAAGTCATGGGGTGCAAGGGCCGCAAATTGCCCACCCTGTAATAATCATTGGAAATAAATCTTCAAGCATAACTTCACTCCATATAACACTCCTGTAAACTCCTCTCACTGTTCGATTGACTTAATTTTATAAAGCCCCTTTTATGAATATTATTTTTTTATGTTCTATAAAATTGCTGTCATGTACTTTTGTTCGTGATTTAGAATGTTAAATGTCAGTTTGTGCGCAATTCTTTCATTTAAAAAAAAAATTACATCATACTGTATCTGCTGCATAATGTGAACGCATCTCGATCACTGTCAACTGGTTTACTTCCTATACTAAATATTGAACAAATCCACCACAATATCATTATAATGATTAAAGCGAAATGTATTCCAATAAATTTATTCAACCAAAGCGCTTTATGTCCATCCGCGTTGTCTGATTCGAAAGTCTCATAATCTGCGCATGCGTACTAAATCCCTGACGAGTGGAGCAAACCGTGCGCATGCGCACTGTCTACGGCGTGCTACAATAGTGTGGCACAAGCCTGACTGAACATTAACGCCGTTTTTCATTTTCTAAAACGTTTTAAGTCATCATGAAAACAAGGTTTACCACGGCGGACATTAGGGCTGCTATCGCCGAGATAAATGCTAAGTAGGTGACGTTCATTAAAGCCCCATCCGGGATCTGCTAGCCGAATTGCTAAGGTGTTTACATTCGCTTACGGGCTGTTTGTTCATTTCACTCTCCTTTTTTTTTGGCATGTGTTTGTGACAGCTATATGGGCATGAGGGTGAACAACGTGTACGACATAGACAACAAGACGTACCTCATCCGGCTACAAAAGTAAGCAGCGCCTTCTGAATGCACTCATCACTCGAGTCGTGTATAAAGTTTACTTCTGTACTCTATCTCCCCAGAATTGAGTGACGTCAACAAAGACTGAAAAGCTATGATGTCAATGATGACCTATATCATTTTTTTCTTTGCAAACATATTAATGCTGTTGCACTGCATTGGTACATAGATATATAACTGCACCTGTTTTTTTAACATTTATTTTTTAAAATCTGAATAAATTCATCCCAGGGTGAAAATTCTGCCATCACTCTCAACATGTGTTTATCAACGATACCGGAAGTGACTAGGGTCACAATTTTAAATTGTTAATGTTCTTTTAAATTTAAAAAGCATATAATGTATGGGTAATTCAATGGCACATTGACTTACAAGTGGCCTCATGGTTCATTTTCCTTTATTTTAGTGTAAGACTAACCTATAACACCCCCAAAAATTATGTATCAAAAATGGGATATTTTTTATTCTGATAGAGATTAATTTATTGTTTGCGTTTGAATAAAAAATAATATTCTGATAGAGATTAATTTATTGCTTGCATTTGAAAAAAAAGTTGGGAAGAGGACCATGACAAAAATGGCAAAATAATTTGCCCTAATTAATATGGCATGAGTAATTTGAGTTAAAAGCGTGGTCATGGATCTAATTAAACTCATAAGTCAATGTTCCACTGAACAACTAAAATAAAGTAACATGAGTAATTTACACTGGACATGTCTGCGATGTTTTGTTTGTTGGCAAGCTTCTCTCGTCATTTTCATGCCAGTGGTGAGCCATCATACTTTGAGCTATGTGCTATTTACGTTAGCATCTGCTTGCGACAAGTTCATGAGTGCATTTCTGATGTTTAAGTGGTTACGGGTTTGGTTAGGGTTTTTCGGAGGAGTTCCCCATTCTTGCGTGGATTTTGTCTCGGTGCTCCTGCTTCCTCCTACATTTATTTCCACTAAGAAGGGTAACCAATTGCTCTAGATGAATGGATGTCATTGGATGTAGGTGCAGGTGTAGCTGATGTTAAATATCACTGGTGTAACTTTGTTGAAAAAGGCCTGACAGCAAAGCCGTTCTCCTGCTTGAATCCGGAATTCGGATTCATTCCACAGACTTCGAATGGCCCAAGAATATGATGCCATCAGGCTTTGCCATGAAAGTAAGCTCCTCTTTTAGCCCGTGTTATTTGAAATAGCATTGCCATTGTTGTTATTGTTCCCGGACTGTCACTATCCAGTATGCTTACAGTTGATTATTCCCTTGATATGTCGAATAATCCAATACGCACTAGTTATTATGCGTGTGTCTGTAGTGTCGTAAGCACCTGAAGACGCGGCGGCTGACTCAGGTGAAGCAGCTCGGCATGGACAGAATCGTTGACCTCCAGTTTGGCTCGGAAGAGGCCGCCTACCACCTCATTGTCGAACTCTACGACCGGGTGAGAACATGCTATGAATCAAGATCACCGTTAAGGTTTCCCCCCCATAAAAAAATGAGATATTTAGTGTCAGTTACCAGAGCATGTGTGTGGGGCATATGGAAACCACATCATTCAACGGGGCCTGATCTTGCTCCCGGTACTAGCAAAATGGTCAAGCACACTTATCTCGATATGCTGTGTTTCCATCCGCTCTGCAGGGTAACATCATTCTCGCCGACCACGAGTACACCATCCTCAACCTGCTGCGCTTTCGCAACGCCGAGGCGGAAGACGTCAAGATCGCCGTGCGGGAGCGCTATCCCGTGGAAAGCGCGAGACCTCCAGAACCACTCATCACGTTACAACGGTAACTTGTTGAGTCCATGGACCGCTCGGTGTCATCTACTGTTTTTTTACTGTGGATTTTTATGAACCCAACTTTTTTTTGTTCTCTCTCTATTTAAACCCATTTCCTTCGATGCAGACTCACTGAAATCATCAGTCAAGCACAGAATGGAGAGCAAGTGAAAAGAGTTCTGAACCCTCACCTTAGTACGTAATGATACAAAGAGATTGGACTTCACTTCCTGACCATCATTCTTCATGTGATCATTTTGCTAAAGTTGATTTTCTAAACCCGCGCAGCCTACGGAGCAACTCTCTTAGAACACTGTTTCATCGAAGCCGGACTGTCTGGCTCAGTGAAAGTCGACAGTCAAGTGGATGCTTCCCAAGGTATGGTCGCAAGCTTATATTTATCTCCGGTGATGCGATTTATGGTGACTTTCTGCATTTCGGTTTCAGTTGCACCTAAAATCCTGGAAGCCTTGCAGATGGCCGAGATGTACATGGAGAAAACGGAGAACTTCAGTGGCAAAGTATGACAAGTATTGTCGAATCGTTTCTTTGTTTTTTTTCCTTCTTTTTTTTTGGTCTGCTTTTTGGAGGTATCAGAATATTATCTTTGTTTTATTGAAGGGCTTCATCATTCAAAAGAGTGAAAAGAAAGCAAGTTTAACGCCTGGGAAAGCCAGCGAAGAGCTACTCACGTAAGTCACGACGTGGAGTGCTAACTGGGATATGCTGCTCCTGCTGTTGTTCATAATTTCATAGTTAATCTTTTATTAGCCTCAGAACACAGTTTTCAAGAACGTAAGATGATAGATCTGGAGTCCACTTGTTAAGTCATGTCATGATGAGGAGAAGATAAATATACTGTAGCTATGATCAGTTCAATCGATGAACATGCACAATCGTTTAGATTGAATCAGGTCAGCTTAATGCAATTATTTACTATTATTTAGGTGTGGTGATTCATCATAACGATACAATAAAATTAATATTTTTTGTACTTCATCAGTGATAAAAATCATGAATTGAATTTGTGTACTGTAGTGTGTAATTGTAATATTAATTGTAATTTTTATATGATAAAACAATAACTTATCATCTGCGAAAAGTGAGGGAACACTGTTTTAAAAATACAGTATACAAAATGTAATAAATACTTGACATTAGTTATTTATTCTTCACAGGCATTACAATACATTTTAGACTTGAGAATACGATGATGTAATTGATCGGAATTATCTATTCACAGTCTTTTGCAATTACAGATACGATGAATTCCACCCGTTCCTCTTTGCCCAGCATTTAAAAACTCCCTACTTGGAATTTGAGTCCTTCAACAAGGTAAATAAAAGACATTGACCACGTCCCGTCTGTTGTTTTTCTACAGCGCTCATGCCTTGTCGCAATGTTGTCTTGACAGGCAGTGGATGAGTTCTTCTCCAAGATGGAGAGCCAGAAGATCGACATGAAGGCTTTGCAGCAGGAGAAGCAGGCCCTGAAGAAGCTGGAGAACGTCCGGCGGGACCACGAGCAGAGACTGGAGGCCTTGCATCAAGTTCAGGTGAAGAGCTCAACTTAAGAACGGTTGATGTGGCCAAGTCATACACATGTCACATTTTAAGCTTTTTAAATCAGTCTCAATCGGCCTCCATACATCAAATATGTTTTTTTTTTTTTTTTTTTAAACCCATTCTTATTGACTTCACTGACTGACTTCACACACTTATTGTTTCAGAGGCTAGGCAGTCTTGCTGCAAAGTAAAAATAAATAAATAAATAAAACTAAGTGGAAAAATGTTGCTGCGTGCATATGGGGGGAATTAGAGCCCTCTAGTGGACACGTATTGAAATCACATTTCAATTACCGGTTTAAAAAAACGCTTGCAAATAATGTTCTGAACTCAGCCTTTTTCAGAGAGCACTTTAAAAATACAACAGTAAAAACCATTAGAAATACATCAATAAAATATATAGATTTTTTTCGAATGAAAATATACTTCAAATCAAGTCAAATCAATTTGTCACCTGCTGTCACCAGAAAATGACATCACATTATCAGGTAAATAACCAGTCACGGCTCAGCTAACCAGTGTCACGTAACCAAACTCAGAAAACAAGTGAGCCTAGTCTCGAGACTTAGACATTTTTTTACTTTAAAAACATAAAACATAAAAACAGTCCTACAGCACCCCCTCTGTGTCTTTAGACAAAATGATTCCAATTATTATGTCAACCGCCTGCTAGTTTTTTATTTATTTATTTTTTGGGTCTGGTGCCCGCTCGTGGTCTGAAAATGTACTAAATTGGTCAAGTATATTCCCCAGAGGAGGTCGAGAAGAAGAGTATTGATGTTACTGTCGCACTTTCGTGTGGGTCACGTGACAGGAAGTGGATCGAGTGAAAGGTGAGCTGGTGGAGATGAACCTGGCCGTGGTGGAGAGGGCGCTGCAGGTGATCCGCAGCGCCCTGGCCAACCAGGTTGACTGGACCGAGATCGGCGTGCTGGTCAAGGAGGCGCAGGCCGCCGGCGACCCCGTGGCGTGTGCCATCAAGGACCTCAAGTTGCAGACCAACCACATCACCATGCTTTTAAAGTGAGACCAACAGGTCGACGCTTAACAAAATGGCTCCTTGCGCAAATCCCCCCGCCCCCTTCTTCTAGGAATCCTTACATCACTGAAGAGGAACAGGAGGAGGAGGAAGAGTTGAAGGAGGCCCCGCAAGAGAAGGGCAAGAAAAACAAAAATAAAGACAAAGGTCAGAATAGGAAGCTGCAGAGGAACAAGCCCATGCTGGTGGATGTGGATCTTAGCCTGTCGGCCTACGCCAATGCAAAAAAGTACGTAAGAAGTCACCTTTTGGAAAGCCACGCCCCCCAAAATGCTGACTGGCCAATCACAGCGCAGCGTACAACAGGAGTTTCAAACTTGAATTCAGTGATACATTTTGAGAGTTTATTTTTGGGACCTTTCAACCACACATATATGAATATTTAAAAAAAATGAATGGCACAACATCTCCTGAAGGTTGCATATCGGGGTATCCACCCCAGTTACTCAAGCCTACAACGTCCATTTTCAGGTACTACGACTGCAAGCGCAGTGCTGAAAAGAAGGAACAGAAGACCATTCAAGCAGCAGACAAGGTCAGAGCAGCCTTCTAACCGACCTCGTTTGGCGAGACCATCCAAAATGCTTTTCTCAACTTCGTTGAAGGCCATGAAATCGGCAGAGAAAAAGACCCAGCAAACCTTGAAGGAGGTCCAGACGGTGACCACCATTCAGAAGGCCAGGAAGGTCTACTGGTGGGTGGGCACTTCGCCGCACTCGGCGGGTGATTCTTTGTGTCCTCTCAGTCGTGTCCTCCCCCTTTTTGTGTAGGTTTGAGAAGTTCCTGTGGTTCATCACGTCGGAGAACTACCTCGTCATCGCCGGGCGAGACCAGCAGCAGAATGAGATGATCGTCAAGCGCTACCTGCGGGCCGGTAAGAATGATAAAGGCGGGCTTACCGCCCCTGCTTCTGTCATTCATCATCTTGTGCTTTTTTTTTTTTGGCCAGGTGACATCTATGTCCACGCCGACCTCCATGGCGCCACCAGCTGTGTCATCAAAAACCCTGCAGGTTCGTCCACTCGCATTTGGCTTGTTGGCAATGTCTCCCCCCCCCCCCCCCCCCTTGCCTTCCCAGGCAGTCCCATCCCCCCTCGCACGCTGACCGAGGCGGGCACCATGTCGGTATGCTACAGTGCTGCCTGGGATGCCAAGATCGTCACCAGCGCTTGGTGGGTCCACCATCATCAGGTGAGTCACTGAGAACACCCTTGAATTTGTTTTGACTCTAGTCAACAAAGATGCTTTCACAATGAATGTTCACAATTTAAAAGAAAAACAGGAACAGGATCATTCGAGAGCATACTGTGGGATTTAAAAAAATAAAAAAAATGGTGGCAAAACCTTTTCCACCTGTTGAATAAATGAGAAAAAAACAGTGCATGCTTCATTGAGAGAACATAGTTAAAAAAAAATAGGAACTCACTTTCACAATCTCTTTTCGGTTTTGAATGTTAATGACGTCCGGTGCTTCAGGAGAAAAGCTCAAAACGCCATCTTAAAAAGTACAAGAAGTTGACACAATCAACTTCATTCTTGTTTACAAGCACCGCTGATCATGTTTAGGTGTCCAAGACTGCGCCTACAGGAGAGTACCTGACCACTGGCAGCTTTATGATCAGGGGTAGGACAACTTTCAGAAGGCTTATTTTACTCAGCAAAGCAGGTACTGAATGATCACTTTTTTGTTTTCGTTTTTTTTTTTCCTCCCCAGGAAAAAAAAACTATCTGCCGCCTTCCTACTTGATTATGGGCTTTGGCTTCCTCTTCAAGGTAAACACCATCGAATGAAGCTACTGCTCAAGACTTGTTTGCATGTTTCCAGGCAGGCCAATTCATTGGATTTTTTTTTTTTTTTTTTTGTGAAATAGATTGACATTTTATTCCTTAACAGAAAGTGAGGAAAATGTACGGTAATCTAGGGGTGTTTCTAAAATATGTGTGGGTGCGTGTGTCTGTTTGCATGTTCTTCCCGAGCCTGTGTGGGTTTTCTGCGGGTACTCCGGTTTCCTCCCACATTCCAAAAACATGCATGGCAGGCTGATTGAACACTCGAAATTGTCCCTCGGTGTGAGTGTGAGCGCGGATGGTTGTTCGCCTCTCTGTGCCCTGCGATTGGCTGGCAACTGGTTCAGGGTGTTCCCCGCCTACTGCCCGAAGACAGCTGGGATAGGCTCCAGCACACCCCGGGACCCTCGTGAGGATAGGCGCATCAGAAAATGCATTGGGTGGAGGGTTTCACACCTTCGAGCAGTTTAGCCTGCGAACGCTATTTTGGAGTCACCCATTTCCGTCAATGTTCTGTACTTTCTGAAAAGCAACACATTGGAAACATTTCTTCATGTTTAACAAGATTGTGCAGCCTATGCAAATGAAAATATGAGCATGATTTTCACCTCTACGTGCTTTTTTTTAATTTTTTTTTTTTATTAAACAAAAATGATCTCTCTGACTACAACCCCCTCTAAAGGTAGACGAGCAAAGTGTGTTCCGTCACAGAGGCGAGCGCAAGGTAAAGTCGGTAGAGGAGGACGTGGAGGAAATGGCGTCCAGAACGGCCGAGATGTTGGAAGAAGGGGAGGAGCTCATGGGTAAGCGCTGACCCTTCACCTCCACCATTCCAACAATCATCACCTGACGCCGAAGCGCCTCTGTTAGGTGACGATAGCGGCGCCGAAGACGGAGCGGAGGATAAGAAAGAAGAGCACGAGACCGGGGACTGCGATGGAAAAGATGCGGCGGAGATGGCGGATGTGGACGGAACGACGTCAGAGCGCAGCGATTCCGACGGCGAAGACGACGACGACAGGAAGGAGAGCAAACCGGAAATCAGTGAGGAGTTAAGCTACCCTGACACCACCATCACCCTCACTCACCTGCAGCCCATCAGGTAACCAACACTGCAAAGTCCGTCTTACCTTTCCGGAGCTTCAGGATAAGTCGTCATACTTTTATTTCCCCCTCCTCTCATTCCAGGAACTCTCAAAACGTCACTTTCAAGAAAGAAGCCGCCTCTCAGGTTCACATCTTTGGACATATTTTCCCAGAATGACGTCTCGCAGGCGTATTAAATGAACACTTGTGTCTCCAGTCCGACGTCGACACGCAAGGAAGGAAGCACATGACTGCTAAGCAGAGACGGTGAGGCCAAGGATTTTTTAAAAATTATTTTAAATCCAAGTCATAAACCACAAACAGTTTGGGATCTTTTATTTAAACGAGTAGTATGATTCTAGGATCTTACAGTCATTCATACTTTGAAAACGATATATTTGCGCCATGTTTGGCAGACATTTTGAGTTTCACTTCTCAGAAAGTATATGGCCAAGGTTTGGCCAACCAATTTAGTTCTGGCGGAACGACGTCAGAGCGCAGCGATTCCGACGGTGAAGACGACGACGACAGGAAGGAGAGCAAACCGGAAATCAGTGAGGAGTTAAGCTACCCTGACACCACCATCACCCTCACTCACCTGCAGCCCATCAGGTAACCAACACTGCAAAGCCCATCTAACCTTTCCGGAGCTTCAGGATAAGTCGTCATACTTTTTTTTTTCCCCAACCTCCTCTCATTCCAGGAGCTCTCAAAACGTCACATTCAAGAAAGAAACCGCCTCTCAGGTTCATATCTTTAGACATATTTTCCCAGAATGACGTCTCGCAGGCTTATTAAATGAACACTGTTTCTCCAGGTCGACGTCGACACGCAAGGAAGGAAGCACATGACTGCTAAGCAGAGACGGTGAGGCCAAGGATTTTTTAAAAATTATTTTAAATCCAAGTCATAAACCACAAACAGTTTGGGATCTTTTATTTAAACGAGTAGTATGATTCTAGGATCTTACAGTCATTCATACTTTGAAAACGATATATTTGCGCCATGTTTGGCAGACATTTTGAGTTTCACTTCTCAGAAAGTATATGGCCAAGGTTTGGCCAACCAATTTAGTTCTGGGTAAAAAGAGTTCTGGTGTCTTGTTTAGCGATGAGAAGAAGAAGAAGCAGAAACAGGAAGTGAGCGAACCAGAAAAGAAGACTGAGCTTGCGCCCGCTGAACAGGAAGAGGACCGGGGATCCAAAAGTGGCAGCGGACCGCCGCAGCTGCCGCTGAAGAGAGGCCAAAAGGTGAGAGATTTTGCTCAGAACAAGATGGAGCTTTCGCTGTTCAACACAATGTGTGACGGTAAAGAAATGAGTCTTCAACGGAAACAGAGCTGCAACGATGAGTAAATTAATCGATGATCAAATTAATCGACAGTCATTTTGATCATCAAGTAAAACATCAAACAAAAGCATTTTCGAAGAAAAAATAACGAACAAATGTGCTCTAAAATCAAAATCACTGATTAAAAAATAAAATAAAAACTTGAACAATGGTAGAATCAAAATAAAACATTTGCAAACATCTGCTTTGACTTTTGAAAACCATGATCTACATTTTTGCCAATTTTGACATTACGGGCCAAACCAAAAACTGAATCTTAGTACGTTTGTGTATTTTCTGCACTGCCAGTTTGAAATGCTGTCCCGTTTTTGAATAAAGGGATGGAAATTGTTTTTTCTCTATTTAATGTTCTAGTGACAAAGTAATGTTCATATTAGTTGATAAAAACCATGAGTTGCAGCTCGAAAATGAAGCTGTCAAAGAAGCGAAAAACAGCCAATTTTGCAACCTCCTGAAAAATCCTTGACAAATCTTGAGAGGAATGAAGTTTTCGCTCCTCAAAGTCATCCTGTGATGCAGGCGGGTAAATTAAAGATGACATCGTGTGATGTATGTCACAAATTAGTCGTCTATGTGTTTCGAGTGGAATTAAACTCAAAACACTTTGTGTGATTTGTAAATGGGCTTCCTCAGACTCAACAACAACAAAAAGAAGGAAAATAAGAGTAGAGATATTCCATTTGAAGTCCTGCTGGGTTTATACGCAGACATTTGAATACGTCACTGTCCTCGATGCCGCTTTTAAGAAAAAAAAATTGCGACGTGAGAACAATTCCTTAGAGCGGAAGCCGCGAGGACCGTTGCAATTAAAACCGTCCTGCTGTGTTGGCAACAGAACAAGCTGAAAAAGATGAAGGAGAAGTATAAGGACCAGGACGAAGAAGACCGCGAGCTCATGATGCAGCTGCTTGGGGTACCCCGCACGCACGCACGAACAAACACAAACACAACAAGGCACTCATCTATGCTCTCCTGCTCTTCACAGTCGGCCGGTGCGAGCAAGGACGAGAAAGACAAAGCTAAGAAAGGCAAGAAGGGGAAGGGCAAAGAGGAGCCCCCGAGGAAGCCCCCTCCTCAGAAGCCCCCTCCCAAACCTCGCCAGATGATGGTGACAACCGTCACGAAACCGGAGCAGATGGCCCCGGATGGCGAGGAGGCGGCTTCCGCGGAGCAAGAGGACAAGGTATCAGCCACACCCACTCACATTCCCAGTTCGGCATTTGCAATTTCACACATTTTATTTATTTTTGGTACGAGTCCCCTGCTTTTCGCTGAAAGAGTATTCGCTGTGCTCAGGATAAAAGCAATATGAATGTTGCATTTCCACCATTTTGGGACATCTCACTGCCAGTGAACTTTGTCGAAGTGAGCCGAGGAGCTTCATGTAGACAAAAGTATGCCACCATATTGTGGCATCCGTTAATTTTAAAAGCATTTACACTCGGTACTGACTTCACTTCTGTTGGCGGTTTATTCCACTTGCGTGCAGCATAACTTCCGAATGCTGTTTTACCATGTTTGCTTTGAACCCTGCGCTCCACGAAGTGACCTGAAATTCCAGACCTCACACCCCAATTAGGTTTATATTCAATGAGCATTTCTTAAATGTATTCAGGACTCAAACCATTCCCTGATTTTATAGACCGGTACCAGAATTTAAAAATGTACACGTTTAAGTAAAGAGCCGCTGATCGGAAAATTATAACAAAGTTTTGAGATCTTGGGTTAAGTTTCCCATTGAAAATATATTTGTTTTAAAGACATTAGTGTTCTTAAAATGACCTTACTGGTATTATTCTTAAAATATTATTCAGCTGTTTAAAAATGTCGTCCTAAACAATTCCCACAAGCGATCCTAAATTCATTTATCGTTCTTAAACTTTTGCAATGTCCCCTTTAAAATCCAGTATTGTCGGTCTTTATGCTCTTAACACACGGCCATGTGCGTGTTGTTTTTCAGGAGGACGACGTGGATGCAGACAACCCTGGGGCAGAGGTGACTACAAACCTTGCAGTGCTGCTTAAACTTTTTACACCAAGTACCAACAAAAGCGAAGTACAAACTGAACGTTTTTGGTGGGTGGGGACAAATCCACTGCGTTATCCTTAAGTGCCGTGTGATTGGTTGGAAGATGGCGTTTGGAGACGTGATGGTTTTATACTTTCATTGTAAGAGCCTCGCCTCAAATCACACACTGAACACTACGAGAGGGAATCTCTACACTTCTGAATCATTCCCTTACACTATGTTCAATGTTATGATTGTGTGTGTGTGTGTGTGTTTGTGCGCGCACCAGGAAGCAGAGAACCTCCTCACTTCGCTGACAGGCCAACCTCACCCCGAGGACGTGCTGTTGTTTGCGGTGCCCGTGTGCGCCCCCTACACCGCACTTTCTAACTGCAAGTGCGTACCACCGTGATCCGGTCGACTCAGTTTTAAATAAAGCAGCATGTAAGTAAAGAATCATGCTTTTTTTTTTTCTCTTTCACACCAACAGGCACAAAGTTAAACTGACTCCAGGCTCACAAAAGAAAGGCAAAGGTAAATATTTTGGGGGGGACCACAGTTAAGTATGCGAACCACTGAGTTGCTATGTGAAACGCTGCACTACAAACGACTCAAAGGCAGACGACACTCTGATCAGTAGTTGGCCACAGTGTGAAAGCGCAACAGTTGAATTCACATCAATTGCATGAAACATCACCTATGTGAACCACTACACTGCTATTGCCCCAAAACCATTACTCTTTTTGTTCGTTGCAGCCGCCCGCACCGCACTTTTGAGCTTCATGAAATCCAAGGAGGCTTCTGTAAGAGAAAAGGACTTGCTACGCAGCGTCAAGGTACCGAATCTCCCCCCCCAACATAAACACTCTTATGGCCAGAATTGATTGGTTTATTCGTACTACAGGATGCCGATCTGTCCAGAAACATGCCTGGCAAAGTCAAAGTGTCCGCTCCAAACCTGCTGGCTGCCAAGAGAAAATAAGACACTGTGCTACGCGGTGAAAACGCCACCTACTTTTCGATACTTGGACATATGAAAGTGGACCTATCATGATCAAAATCATTCTTTGAGCTGCAGAAAAAAAATGTACAGAACAGAAAAGGATTTCTTTTCTTCTGTTGGACTAAATTTCATTTTCCCTGGCCACATTTGGTATAGCATAATTTTACTTACAAAAACAATGCTCGGTTTTGATTGACACACTCGAGAGGTATTGTACAGCTAATAAAGGTTTTATGATGGAAAATGACAGACTACATTTTATTGTTATTCATGAAGATATTTAAAAGATTATAAAAATACAAATATTTATAACTTTCTGTACAATTAAAAAAAATTATAATCCCATCAAAGTCCTTGAAGTTTGCTGTGGAAACATAAGAGAGCAGTAATGTTACAAGCTCGGTGTGGATTATTTTTCTTAAACAAATGTACTGAACAGTTCTTACCTGTCCTCAAATGTTCTGTTGGATGGATAGTACACCTTGAATGCAAAACCACTTCTTGGGAAAGAGCCCTGGTGAAGTCATGAATGCAATTTTCATCAATCACATTTCACGATTGACATTTTACTACGGTCCATGAATCACACTCAGATGCCACAAAACAGTGCCAAAGCTGCCATACCGGGTTGACGCAAAGGCAGTCGGAGTGCGTGACGCTGAAGGGGTCGTACTTGTCGGCAAAAACCACCACGTCGGGGACGGGGTACACACGCAGGGTGTAGTCGTAAGCCCAAAACACAGGAGTGACGGAGAGAGGCAGCGGGGCCAGGTGAGCCTGCGACAGGATGCTCCGGACAAACTGACAAAAACAGCAGCAAGCGTCATCAGTGCCAACGTGGGACTTAAAAAAATTAGTATTTTTTTTTGGTAAGACACTCACATGGTTGGGTATGTCCAGATTGGTGTTTGGCAACCTCACGCAGTTTCGGCACATTTTGTTGACCAGGTCCTCCCGGATGATTATGATCTCCTGGCTACAGAACTGGATTCTGAAAGAGAACACGAACAGCATCCAACCAACCCAAAACATGAAGGTTCACTTTACAAAACATGAATACAAAATGCCAAAGCTATCAAAACTCGCACCGATGCTGCGGTAATTGTGGCAACAAATGCATATAACAATACTCGCAGCTTAATCGCTTAATCATCTTAAAGCTGGAGAATAGACTTTAAAATGATGCTACTGGTCTACAACTCACCGAATTAAATGATCATGGCATATAAACCCGGTAGTGTTCTGAGAATCGGATTAATTAGCGGAGCCAAGAGTTCAAAGCAAATATGGTGCGTTAGCATTTAGCTGCTATGCTAGACGCAAATGCATTTAACTGCCAACAGAACTGGAGTCAAGGTAAACACCTTGTCCCACCTGCCCCCCCATGATTAACGTCTGAAAGAATATTTCCACTTCTTGGGAAAGAGCCCTGGTGAAGTCATGAATGCAATTTTCATCAATCACATTTCACGATTGACATTTTACTACGGTCCATGAATCACACTCAAGATGCCACAAAACAGTGCCAAAGCTGCCATACCGGGTTGACGCAAAGGCAGTTGGAGTGCGTGACGCTGAAGGGGTCGTACTTGTCGGCAAAAACCACCACGTCGGGGACGGGGTACACACGCAGGGTGTAGTCGTAAGCCCAAAACACAGGAGTGACGGAGAGAGGCAGCGGGGCCAGGTGAGCCTGCGACAGGATGCTCCGGACAAACTGACAAAAACAGCAGCAAGCGTCATCAGTGCCAACGTGGGACTTAAAAAAATTAGTATTTTTTTTTGGTAAGACACTCACATGGTTGGGTATGTCCAGATTGGTGTTTGGCAACCTCACGCAGTTTCGGCACATTTTGTTGACCAGGTCCTCCCGGATGATTATGATCTCCTGGCTACAGAACTGGATTCTGAAAGAGAACACGAACAGCATCCAACCAACCCAAAACATGAAGGTTCACTTTACAAAACATGAATACAAAATGCCAAAGCTATCAAAACTCGCACCGATGCTGCGGTAATTGTGGCAACAAATGCATATAACAATACTCGCAGCTTAATCGCTTAATCATCTTAAAGCTGGAGAATAGACTTTAAAATGATGCTACTGGTCTACAACTCACCGAATTAAATGATCATGGCATATAAACCCGGTAGTGTTCTGAGAATCGGATTAATTAGCGGAGCCAAGAGTTCAAAGCAAATATGGTGCGTTAGCATTTAGCTGCTATGCTAGACGCAAATGCATTTAACTGCCAACAGAACTGGAGTCAAGGTAAACACCTTGTCCCACCTGCCCCCCCATGATTAACGTCTGAAAGAATATTTCTAAAATCAATTTTCCCCAAATCGTATTCTTGCGCGGTTTGCTCCTTTAGTAATTTTAGTACCTTTTATTTCACTTTTAAATGTATTAAGTTGTTTTTTTTTTAAACGTCTTAAGTTCTTTGAAAATTTGTTTTTGTAACTTTGTGAAGCAAAGCTACCTGGTGTATGAAATGCGCTTTATCCCTCAAGGTGCCCAGGCTTTACGTCAACGTTGTGCACTAGAGCGCGCCGCACATTTACCTGCACGGGTTGGTGGTGAACGCGGAGAAAGGAACCCTCTGTCTGAACTCCTCGGTGATGTGATCCGCCAGCGGAGGTCTGGGGGGAAGACATAAATCACTCGGCAATTTCTTGGCTGCTTTGTTGTTTTTCGGATTAAAAAAAATGCAAAGAGAGTTACAAGCACGTCACAAAGTTCCACACCCAAATTGTAGTGCATGGAGAACTCATTAAATTTAGCTCATTGTGTGCCGTTTGTATTCTCAAAACAGTAGCCACACATGATCTTTATCAACCAGCGCCTTCATAAATGGAGATTTTTATTTATTCTTCAATGAGTATTACCGTGGCAGGACGGTGCCCGGGCCTGGATCTTCGGGGCCGGGAACGAACACAAAACGACTGCTGCAGGTTCAAGACAAAGACAATGGCAGTGAGGCACTCCAGTCCAATGTTAACAATGACAAAAAAAGGCTCTATAAAGGTGCATAGCACACACACTTACTTGTTGAGTATATTCGGGTGTGCACATATGCTGTCGGCTAATGCCTTCAGCGACTCTAAAAAGAGAGAAAACCGCCCCAGCAAAGTGAAACACTGATTTCTCACTTGATCGTGACTGAAGTGTTGCCTGAAGCTTGCCTTTTAGTGACTTGATGTGATTTTTTCCATACGGGACAGAAGAGAAGTTTCCACAAAAGATGAAACAGGTGGGAGGCATTGCAGCATAACCTGGTGACATGATGTTCAAATGGTAGATTATCAACGTTACAATATCTTGAATGCCACTTCAGAGTTCAAAAATAAATCGTTCCTCGAGTACAGTCGGATTAGGAGTTGTCGTCAAAGTAGTAACATTGTCATGTGAAAACCAGCACTCATAGCACGCGTGCTAATGACAGAATGAAAACTGAATTGAACAAGTTTTTTTCTCCACTTTCGCCTTCATTTCAATGCACTCACGAGGCCCAAAGTTACACGCTCGTGCACTTCTCGTCACTAACTGGAGCGGAGCAGCTGGTAGGTTGGCATACCCGAGAACATGAGGTTGAGCTTCTCCATCACTTCCGCGCTGTCCAGCCACACGTCGGAAAGCAAAACAAACATGGCGTCCTCGTTCTCCTCCTCCAGCTGCTTGAGCTTAGCCGACGCCTTCACCGACGTCGTGGACGGACCGCCGAAAAAGTTCACATTGCCGAAGTACGCTCTGGTGGCAGAAGAGAGCCCCGTTTCAACAGGGGTGGAAGAAAAACAAATTTGCTTGCTGTTCTCCCCGGGCCTGCGTGGGTTTTCTCCGGGTACTCCGGTTTCCTCCCACATTCCAAAAACATGCATGGCAGGCTGATTGAACAACTGGTTCAGGGTGTCCCCCGCCTACAACCCGAAGACAGCTGGGATAGGCTCCAGCATCCCCCGCCCCGGCGACCCTTGTGAGGATGAAGCGGTTCCGAAAATGTATGTACATGTTTAATCAATTATACCGTGTAGCTGATGAAGGTTCTACAGGCGGCGTGCCAAAACCATTGACATGGAACACCGAGTCCTCGTACCAGCCTGAAAGACACAAGGTCAAAATATTGAGCTCAATCTACGTTGGCATAGACGAGCCTTGATGACATGAGACAAGTGGGGCCATATTCCAGGGGGCTTGTGGAGATACAACGTCCTTCTTTTTGATCTTTGATTGCCCGACAATTTGGTTGGTAGATGGACAACAGAGAAAACCGTCATATCATTTCAGGAGCAACTTCAGGGATGCCTGCAGTAAACAGTCAAAGGTGGGACATTTTCGCTGCTTGCTGAGACTGGAAGTAGAAGCTCCACCTGGTGGACAAGTGTAATAATGCAGGAGACCAAAATTGAAACAAAAAATTGCCACATGAGCTAAAGTTATGATGAATGACGAATCAAAGTGTTATTTTCAAGAGGATATTTTTGGTTGCTCAGAACTAACGTGCCTGTTTTTGCACATCTTTCAAAACGCGAACCTTGCATTTGGTGAGTGCGCCTGCATCAGTAAGTTCCTATTTTGGGTACGATCAACCATACACACAAAAGAGCTTTTCTCAGTTTTCCAGGTTCGACTTTTGAAACACATTTTCCTTCAAATTTTTCGGTTGGATCAGGATTCCACCACCATTGAATTCGGAGCACTCAAGCGCAATTGGTCAGTTCGCCATTGCAAGCGATGTCGCTGTCACAATAAAAGTCATTCGTCTTACCCTCAGCCAGTACGAAACTGTATTCGGTGTAAAGGCCGTTGTGAAACTGGTGCAAGCAGAATTAAGGCAATTAGCAACTTGATTTCTGGATTAATTAAAAGACGTGAAAGAAAGGATATTGCCTTGGACATATTGAGCTCTACTGTCCCAGTTGGATCCTCCAGGTAGAATTTCCCCTTTGAAAGAAAAACAAACAAAAAAAAAAACATTTTCGACGAGAACATGCACATACACTTCATCAAGATGATCTCACGATTCCAAATGGAGTAAAATGCAAATGGTCTGCCTGCCTCACCTCTTTTAGTTGTGTGATCATGCCGAGTACGATCACGCCCCCCAGTTTGGACGTGGAGCCGAGCAAAGCTTCAATGGTCTTCAGCTGGAGAACATAAGAAAAAAAGAATTTTAATGTCTGACGGTCCCAAGTATGGGGGGGAAAAACAAGACGTAAGGGTTGGGGAGAATGGATTTATTCAATTTGCGAAGCGAACGCAGAGTCAACATGTGGAGTTATAGGCCTTGCGATGTATCTCGTGCTATTTTCAACACATGAGCTTGGTGAATAATTTGCAAAAATAACAGAAGACTAGGGAACGATCCATTGGTTAAAAATAAAAAATGAAGCCTTTCATGCACCCTGTAACCTGATACCACGAAAAGCTGTTCACTGTAGTAACCGCTGTACCCCGAAATGAACCACAATCGGACACACAATGTTTTGGCCCAACAGTGATGATGAGGATACCTGAAATTTGTTTTGATTGGGCACGACGGTGGCTCCAATAACAGGCGGGGTGAACAGCTCGTGTCGACGTGTGCGCTGGAAAACAAACGCCGACAAAAGTAAAAGCACCGCATGGAAAGGGCGACGAGCACAGACTGAAGAGTAGGAAAGCGGACCTGCAGTAAGATTGCGTAGCGCTCACGGAAAAGTTCCGCCTTGTCTCTCGCGACGCCGCACAGGCCCGCGGCTGGATGGTTGGTCATACCGATGCTGAAAACAACACAACGCAGAGCCATTAATGATGTTATCGTCTAACCGTTTCATTTTGGATTTCAACATCAACAATAGAGAGAAACAATGGCATTCACTCACGGGACGAATTTCTTCTGCTCCGCATTGTAAATGTATCGGGGCACATCGAAGGCACCGATGATGTTGAAAACGTTACTCCTGGAAATGAGTCAAACGGTTCAAATTGTGAGAAATGTCGCCTTCAAAAACAACAAACAAAAGACTTGTTCTACACGTCAGCGGTCTCTTAATTTCTCACATGGCTTCGTCACAGGATTGAGAGCAGTCTTGCACGGCGTCCGTCACCACCGATAGCTCGATCATGCTAGAAGACACTTTTTGATGACCAAAATCACAAATAAATTTGATTACATTTATGAATCGCCCAGCATGAACACCAACATACTCACTCACATGGTTGCTTCTCGACAGCATCCAGCACTCTTTCGATGATGTCATCCAGCTCAGCGGGACTGACAGACTCCAGGACCTCCACCAGATACTTGGTGGCCTCACTTAGACGATATTAAAATAAGCCCGGAAACATATCAATATTCACCTTTGACTAAATGTGCAACAGACATTCAGTATTTCTGCATTTGTTCATTCTACCTAAGTCTACATTCGCTATATTGTATTTTTTCCACAAGAAAAGGCAAAATATTAACAGCCACTGCCAAAATGCCAGCACAACTGAAAGTGTCAATTACAGATGAGCATTATTAGTGTTGTGAATCTGAAGATCTGATACTTCAGGTTTTGTAGTCATAGTGCAAGGAGCCTGGTAATGACACAACAAAAGAATGTGATGCTGAGCTATTTATTGACATTTAGTTGGAGAAAGTGATCAATTAAAAATAGCAAAATGAAGTTTGAAAAACTATTCGAACAAGATTCTCGATAGACGATTCGTTACGCGAATTAATGACGTCGACAAGACTAACTAAAACCGCAAGAATACCAGCTAAAATAAAATATTTCAAACTAGAGATGACTTAATGGTACATACGGTCGGAGAATAAGTCCCCGCATTTTGAAGTCAGTACAAACTCTGGACTTAATTGTGCGGCTAGCATCCATCTTTGTTGACTTCACTGTTCAGTACGCTTGTGCCTTGGCGCCAAATGTTTTACTTCCGCATATTGCCGTCGTCACTTCCGTGAAAGTCACGCCTACGGTAAAATCGAGTTAATAGAGTGCTGTAAAATGTAAAACAAACAACAAAAACAGGCGTATTTGTTTATTTAAATTCCGATATAAAGCCTCGAGTAATTATGCTTTTGCTTTTGTGGACTTTTATTGTTACCCCGAACTACTGCTCCCTCTCCCAACCAGGACATTAGTTGGGTTAAGATGAACTTATATTTTGTTAATGCCGATTGAAGTTTGGAAGTACACAAACCCGCATAAATATATGGCATGAGCATGAATACAAGAGACAGTTTACTGTAGCAACTGAATCTTTAATATTTTGTAAGATATAAAAATCTTCATCTTTATCATACAATAAGACACGCCACATTTAGCCAAATGAACAATTCTTGTTTTGTTTTTTGCCACCACACAAGAACAAAAACAACGGTATAATTTTATGATCCCTTTTTTTGAGGTAAGACAGCTGGTTGGACAAATACGCAGCCACACAGGTCTTCCCTTCTTTTACGCAAGACATTCGACACATTCCTCACCAAGTAGGCCTTTAGGCACCAAGCTGAAAAGAGGACCTACACTCGGAAGCTGACACTTGGATGTCATTGGGAAAACATTTTAAAAAATGCTAAGTGGAAACAGCGCAGCAGTGCTTCAGGGAACATTTGTGTGTGCATGATCTCACAGGCAGTAACTTGACAGATACACGAACCCCAAAAAGTTAGGGATGTTGGGTGAAATTTCAGAGAGACTTGAAGAGTCACAGAAAGCAATTGAAGTGGATATCCTTGGGAACATTCATGCATCTGTGATGAATTTTGCCATTCACCTCCTTGTTTAAAGAACAGACAGTCAAAGATTGAAAAGTTGTGAATGCGCTTGCATCAGTTTAGAGATGGTCAAATCAAGTTTATCGGTGAACGCATTTTAGGTTCATCTTAAAATTTCACCTGAAAGTGCAATACCCCTAACTTCTTGTCACGAGTGAAAAACGAGAGAAAACTAGCTCGACTCAATGGAGAGAAAAGTCTGCTCGGCCTCCTTGGCAAAATGCTACGAGACCTTTAATTTTTTATTTTATTTTTTTTTTAAACACGCTCGTGTCTTGCAATATTTTCAAACGATGCGCTTTCCTCGGACAAAAATCAACATCAAAAGCAGCCAAGCACAGGAAACAGCATTCAAAATGCAAATGGGAGGGGGAAAAAAAAAGAAACACAAAGCCAATATAAAGGTTTGAACATGCCGAGTCTCTTTCACAGATAAGCCACCAGTGTACAAGATGTGTCGTCAAATAAAACACAAAAAGAAACGCCACACACTGCAAGTCATGCAACTGACACTGTAAAAGAAACAAGATTGACATGAACAAAGTTGGACATTTCCCAGAATTCCCATGTTCAGGCTGTACCAAAGCCAAAAGAGGCATTTATGGCAGAAATGAGTATTTTAATATATCTGTTCTTTTTTTCACATTATTAACCCCCCCCACCCCCCAAAAAAAAACAAAAAACAAAAAAATCCCAGCATTTTGGACAGTACTGCGGCCACTGTGCTGCTGGCGCAAACTGACTTAGCAGCACAAAACTGCTAATGTAAAGCTCATCTTTATGTGCGCACACGCACGCACGCACACACACACGCACGCACAGGAAACAAGCAGACAAACATGCAGCAAATTGAACAATGTTCAGTGATGGTTGAGCGAACTTGTGTGGCATGGTGGTCATGCAGTAACACAAGCGTGCGCGCACACACACACACGCACACGCACACACACACACACACACACACACACACACACACACACACACGCAAAAACAGATTACAAACAATCCACCCCCCCATCCATCTTTGGCTGGTCCACTACAATAGCGAACGGCTCGCCGTCACAAGATGGTTTTTCTCAGGGGGGATTTTCAGGGTCACAGTCAGTGTTCCTTGGCTGGTAGTGCCCTCCCGAGCGAGCTGGTTGGTTGGGTGGCTATTCTTTTTCCCAAGATGGGCTTGCGCGCAGTGTCTACAAGGAGGTGGACGGAAGCTTCTTGACGCGCCGCTGGGCCAGGAAGGAGCTCTCGATGGGCTTGAGCTCGGGGGTGGGCTGCGAGTTCTTCAGGGCCGAGTACGTGGCTGCCATGGCGCCCTGGGACAAAAATCATAATGCTGTGCTAAGCAGGACTCTCAATGGTTGACATTCTAGCATCTCATTTCTATTTGAATACATTGCAAAGCTGTTTTGGCGCATTTTATCGTCGCCGTCTGGCGGAAATCCGCTATTTCCAAATGTGGTCGGATTCATATTTTTTCACAAATTGATATTTAGTCTGTTATTTTTATGCAATATTAGCCAATTCAAAGCTGTGAAACAAAGACATTGGCGCTCTTGAATGCAACTTATGTCTGAGAAGTGTTGCAAAACTGTATTTCGTAGTTCTGCGGAAGCTGTTTGGGACAATTGTCCACTTTATTTGATGTCTGGATGTTTTTGTTGTTTTTTTTTTGGTTTAGAGAATAAGTGAAAACAGTCAAGTTAGCTGCATTTAAGTTGATTTGTTTCATCCAAATCGATTGCTGCAATGCTTGATTGCAGAAGGATCCTCCCGAGCCATGGAGGTAAACCTTCATTGCATATTAATGTCCACGAAATACATGAGGGCCTTCAATGTTTTATTTATTGCATCGCTAATGCCTTCAAACCTTTAAGAATAAGTGTGTGAAGATGACATAGACAAGCGTTGCTGTTTGTGACATAAAAAAGCTTTTTACACGGTGGTGGCTCGGCAAGGCTGCAAAATTAGAATTGCACCACCTGCCACTGACTCCGTCTTTGTACAATTTTTACAATACCTGTGCAATTAATTAGCAATTTTTTCAGCATATTATATAAGCGATTTAATTTATTTTTTGGGTGGTGTTGTTTTGATGTGAGTGCGCAATGCTTATTGAGAGAAAATATCAAGAATAATACAACTCCAATAAAGCGGTGTCATGGGAGCTCAAGCAAGCTGGCGGCTATGATAGGCTCCTTCAATCAGCGCAACCCAACCATCAATCAGCAGACTGGTACCATTTGGTTGCGGGCCATTAATTTTGCTAGCAACTTGGAGGTTATCATGCCAGAATGAACAGAGACCCAGTCACCTTGACCAGTTTGGGGTCCTGGTGCGGGAGTTGACTGTTGGGGAGTTTGTCTCTCTGGACGATCCACGGGTGCCTGAGGACCTGCTTGGCGATAAGTCTCTGATGTGGGTCCACGTGGAGCATCTTGGACACCAGGTCCTGCAGCAAGGAGCGCACTTTAAACATGAGTCGAGCTCTTTGGAACAAATATGTGAAGTCACACCTTAGCCGCGTCTGACACTGTGTCCCAGTTGCCTCCGGACAAACTAAAGTGACCGTTGCCTATCCTGTTCAGGATCTCATTGGGAGTGTCCTCAGGTCCGTTGGCGAATGGAGTAAAACTAGAGGAAGGGAGCAAGACAGCAGGGCCATTTTAGGTTGCAAATGACTGTTACAGTAATTCATCACAGTCAAGACTGTACTGTATTTACCCGGCCAGCATAGTGTACAGCAAGACTCCCAAACTCCAGATATCACAGCCCTCATCATAGCCTTGACGCTTCAACACCTACCAACGACAAATTATTTGAGCATTAGAAAAAAAAAGAATACAAATGTTGACAGGTGCGCTTTAAGCTGACAAATACATCGACATTGCTCACCAATACAATATTCCCTATTCAACGTGAACTCTTCACAAACTCGCTTACAGTGGCGCCTTGAGATTTGAATGACCCGAGGAAACAGATGTTTGAACACACACCGTGGTGCAACACATGTAGACCGATAACATAACAATGCCCATTGGCATATATTCTTCATCCTCCGCAAGAAATGATTTTTATTACAATACGACAGCAATTTTAAATGAGCAATACCACACAAGATGGCCGGTCTCACCTCAGGCGCCACAAAGTTGGCGGTGTAGCACGGGGTCATGAGTAAGCCATTGTTGGCACGCAGCTGCTTGGCGAAGCCAAAGTCGCAGATCCGAATCGACTCCGGGTTCCCCGACTCGTCCACATAGAGTATGTTGCTGGGCTTCAGGTCTCTGTGCACCACCTAAACAAAAGAGAAAATGAGGGGAAACAAAGAGCATCAGTTCGCAATCTCGTGAAAAAAATCATCTGCCAAAAATACTGGGGATCTTCTGTTGAGAAAAACATTTCTAGGCTGTAAATATGAAACAATCAAACAAAAAAACAGTAAGTACTACATGTGAGCAAATACACCGGTGCCTTGTAATACAAGTTGAATTTGTTCCGTGACCTTGCTTGTATCTCAAAACACTCACTGTTCCAGTCCCATCAAAAATGTGTTCAAACATAAAGAAAGAAATAAAATAAAAGATTCGAACGCGTGAACCCTCGACTGCTGAGCCCAATGTGCTGCCGTCCTCACCCCCTGCGAGTGCAGATATTCCACAGTCTTGGTGATGGTGTGCAACACAGCACTGGCCTCCCTCTCCGAGAAGGACTTCTGCTTGAGGATCCGATCGAGCAGCTCTCCTCCGCGCATCAGCTCCGTCACCAGGAACACCTGCTTGCCAGTGTCGTACACCTGCAACGGACATGGGGGGAAAAGTTATTTGGTATCACCTCAAATACCTTGAGTGCATTTATTTACTGCCGCTGTGGAAAACTGCGACCTATTCTGGATCTAACAGAATTGAAACGGGGCGTTTTGACACTATTTTCTATCCTTTGAATCCGGAGTCCATTTGTTCTACGGAGTATAGAGCGATGATTGCGTGTGTGATTATCCTCACATCCTTCAGCGTGATGATATTGGGATGCTGTCCGTATCGAAGCAGGATCTCGATTTCCTCAGAGGGGTCTGTGCTGGTCTTGTCAATCATCTGTCAATTTGACAAAAAACAGGTCAGAATTTGGATTGTGATCGACTTGGCTGAGGTCATTTGGCGAGTTGCTTGTACCTTGACGGCGTATTCCGTGTTGGTGGCCTTGTGGATACATCGCTTACACACGGAGAAGGAGCCCATGCCGATGTCCTCTTTCAGCACGTAGCCATCGCTGAACAACAAGTTCTTCCCATGTAGCTGCTGCAAGTGGACAGTAAGTTATTGTTATTACGATTTTTTTTTTTTTTTAAAGCTGTTGACTACCACTTTCTTTAGACGGAATAAAAGTACAAGTAATTATGCCACGAGGTCTTGCAATTTTGATGCAAATTTTGTGTTTCGTTTTAATGGAAGATTTTTCAAAAACACTTTGGTTGAAAAAGTTTCTTTGAACTGTAGCAGCCATTCGACAAACAATCACATATTCGAAAACACAAACCTTTTATTGAACATACATGAATACAGTCCAACCAATGACAATGTATACAATTATTGTTTGATTATTATGATTGCAGTACTATTATGATTGAGCTTTTTGTTTAACCCTGATTATGCAACAATGTGTTAAGAGTGCTCAACAAAATGTTGAGTTCATTTGTGTCCTCATACACATGTAATACCAGTATTCCACTCGCCTGAGAGGTAAAGTATTTTCCGCACAATAAGGTGCTTCGGCATATATGGCGCAGTTTCAATGATTGGCCAATTTTAAATCCGTTTTCATATACAGGGCGCAGCGCATTGTAAGGTGCATAGAGTAGAAGCTACAATAGTGTCTGCAGTTGCACTATGCATCCACTAGATAGAGCTACGCTGAAGAGAATACAATGCAATATATTTATATCGAGCTTTCACAACCGCTGGAGCTGTAGCAAAGCGCTTTATAGAACATTTAAAATACTCCGTCCAAGGAATCAGAATATTGATCCATATATAAGGCGCGTCGGATTATAAGGCGCACTGTCGGCTTTTGAGAAAATTGAATGCTTTTTAGGTGTGTGCCTTATAATGCGGAAAATACGGTACATGTGCTTGTTCTGTAATGTGCACCTTGGCCTCAGAGAGGGCAGCGTGGTGCACACATGCAGACGTTGTGACCACCTTTTCTTACCACTGCTCAAGCGAGTTTATTGCAATATTTGTAAGCTCCAAATGTTGTATGCTTGCGGGAAACCGAGGACAATCGGATTTCCCCACTGTCTTCTCAGACTTTCAAGTGACTCCCTGCTTACCTGGACCACCGGGTGCGGCGGGGGTTGCACAGGCTCAGCTGACCCTTCTTCCTCCAACAGACTCGATGCGATAAAGCTGAAGCCTCGGAACAGCTGGTGAGCGCCGGCACTCGGCGGCACGCCGGGAGAGTCTGCAGAAACGATGCGGATGAAAATTTGAATGATGTAAAATAATTAAGGAATCAATGGAATGAATAAATTTTAAAAAAGACCAATAATAATCATAAAATGTCCAAACTTCCAAACGGCTCTCACCTTTCGGGGTGCGGGAGGTGAACTCGGAGTCAAAGTAGAACGTGTCATCGGGACGCGCCACCGCCGGTTTGAAAGGGGGTTTTACTTCTCTGCGGAACAGTTTCTGAAAGTAGTTTTTGCAAGATGAAAACAACCACGGGTAGCAATACCACAGTGCTCTAAATCATTGGCACGAAGCGACACAGGTAAAAAATGGTATGTATTTCATCATAAAATTGAAACGCCATTGAAAGGGCCGGACAATCAAGGGCAATGGAACGACTCAGGTTCTTTTCCTGGCGCGCGTGGCCACTTGTTAAGTTCAAGAATGCCAAACAGCGTACATGAAGGGGTTCACTCAATTGATTTAGGCCACAGTGGAGTAAAGATTACTTGGTTCAGTTGGATATTCATAGCTATTACTCCAAGCAGTTAACTGGTTGAACAAAATGAAGGTGCTCAAAATAAAAAGACAAATCAAACAAACACATGAATATCTAGATAAACACTTTAAACATTGACATGTTTGGAGTAATAGAAACTATATTTATGATGGCTTAAAAAAAAAAAATGAACACACTCACATTCCAGTCAATGTTGGAAAACCATCCGTGACGTTTTATCTCCTCTGCTCCGTCTGGACCCGATCCTACATAGAAACCATTAAAAAAAAATCAGCAACATTTCAATCCATTTATTTTACTATCCAGCCCCCTGTAAAGTCAATGTTTCTATTTTTTTTCTATTTGATGTCTTGACTGGGTTCAAGTGGATAACCGACCCAGCCTGTTGGCGGGGTTCCTCTTGAACAGAGCTCTGAGCAGAGACTGTGCCTCTGCGCTGAGGAACTGAGGCATTCCCAGACGTGCCCTGCAAAAGAGATAGGTCAATCGTAATCATCATCATCATCATCGTCATCGTCATTGTTAACACAAGTGATGGTAAGTAGCGGCACTCACTTGAGAATCATGCTCATTGTTTCTTTGCGGTCTTTCCCATGAAAGGGCAGCGACCCGGTCAACATTTCAAACTGGTGGAGAGAAGATTCGTCTTTCATGTAACGTTCATATCTGTCACATTTGGATGGCATTATTGTACAATGGAATACACGGTATACGTCCCAAACACTTGAGGATTGTGGGGGCTTTCAGGTGACATTTCAGAATACGAGCTATATATTCTGAAATATAAGTTCACCTGCAAGGATTACAGTACATTTTCGGTTCCTTAAGTTTTCACCAGAAAGCTGAATAACCCAAACTTTTTGGAAGTAGCGTATTATAGAAAAATGACATTTTATTGTTCGCATACCAGGAGTTTGGTTTGTGGAGTGAGCTCCCCACATATCACATGGGAAATTAATCGCCCAAGTAAATCTTCAGACTTCTACTTGTTTTTTCTTAAAATAGCTCACAACTTTGCTGACAATGCAGCTCTGCTTACCATTAGACTTTCACATGCTCAAAAGAGTCAAAGTGGTTGGCTCGCTCCGGAACAATGGTAAGCTCGCAAAACCCCACGCAGGGGCGGTTATTATGTTAATTATACCTGACTGTTCGGTAACAGGGGAGGGGGGGGGAAACACAGAATGGCATGCTTACATATTTTTAGAGCTAGGAAGATAATAAAATTATACCTGACTGTTCGGTAACAGGGGAGGGGGGGAAACACAGAATGGCATGCTTACATATGTTTGGAGCTAGGAAGATAATAACATATATAACGTCTTGTTTCATTTCCTACTTGATGGGTAGGCAGACATTCAGGATATGCGCTTTCTATAATTTGCCCCCTATTAAGGTTCAACTGATCGAAGACTATAATGCTTCCCCTTCCTTACCATCAGTACTCCGAATGACCACCAGTCAGCGCTGTGGGTGTGTCCTACCCTGTTGACCACCTCAGGTGCCATGTACTCCACAGTGCCACAAAAGGAGTAAGCCTTCTCGTGGTGGTCAATGCCCTCTTTGCACAGACCAAAATCTGGAAGACACCAAGGAGACTTTTGCTCTTCGTATGGATAAATAACCATTTGAGGCTTCAGGGAATCGTTTAGGCACTTCTCACTCTTTTCTTACCCGTGAGTTTGATGTGACCTTCCTCATCCAAGAGAATGCTGGAAAACCAATAGTAGATCATGTTGGGAACATGACAAACATCACCACAAAAACACTTCAAGACGGCTAGAATGTAAATTGCAAGCATGCGGGTGAAAATGAGTGTAAAGTGGCCTTTGAGTACAACCGTGCAAAATCTAGTGATGTGGAAATGATGAAAAAAAAATGCCGTTGGGTTATTCAAAATCCAACATATTTTACTTTTCAGGCTTCAGGTCTCTGTACATGATGCCCAAGCTGTGGAGGTGGTCGAGGCCCAGCGCCAGCTCTGCAAGGTAAAACTTGACATCCTCCTCTGTGAACATCACCTGAGAGACACACACAGATGGAAATACGCTTCAGGAAGGATGACGCATAAATACACAACATGCAGCGTCAACACACTGAGGGAATTCCCACCTCTTTGGACAGTCGAGTGAAGAGATCGCCTCCTCGGAGGAAGTCCAGGATCAAGTAGAGTTTGCCTTCAGTCTGGAAAGCTGAAATTTGGGTATACAGTGAACCCTTGATCATCATTTTTTTTTTATTGGCGGTTTATTCCCGATTCAACGTTAGTCCAACATGAACAACGGGGGTCCACTGCACTGTTTTTTTTTTGTTTTTTTTTAAATAGCACTTCACTGTATATAAATATTAAACATAATGAAAGAGAAAGTACATATATAAACTGGTATTACAAAGTCTAATTCCTGTACATGCTGCAGTGTTTTTTTTTTTTTTTTTTTTTTTTTTTTAAATAGCACTTCACTGTATGTAAATATTAAACATAATGAAAGAGAAAGTACAGAAATAAACTGGTATTATAAAGTCTAATTCCTGTACATGCTGCAGTATGTGTGCGTTTGGGTGTGTGCCATCAAGCGCTGTGGCCTTCACTTCGCTCAAGTGGCGGCGTATCTTCATCTCTTAACTCAAACGTTGGTTTGCAACACAGAGCCAAGCGAGGGGTTGTCACGTGGAAAAACCGTGCCATCAAGCGCTGTGGCCTTCACTTCGCTCAAGCGGCGGCGTATCTTCATCCCTTAACTCAAACAGGTACCACTGTTTACTGTAAAACCTTATAAAATGTTGAACGCAGTCTTCGCGATATAGCAGCGGAACACTGCGATGTGAGTAAGTGGGTGTTTGCATGAGGCGACGGGAGCAATTGCCAGTGCTGAGACTGACTGACCGTAGTGCAGCTTGACGATGAACGGGTGGTTGACATCAGCCAGGATGTTTCGCTCCATTTTGGTCCTCACACGATCTCTCACTGGTGATGGGGACGAAAAAAAACAAAACAAAAACCCACATAATTATCTGACATCAATGGAGCACTTCAATCATTTGACAGGAAATGGTGTTTTCTTTTAGGTGGCTGCTTAACAGCAGAGCAGCGTACACTAGGACTGCTCATTATCGGTGGCACAAGCCAGGCAAGAACTGTGCAGTGCAGAAATTTTCATTCCGGCTTGCCCAGTAACTACGAGGCTGTTGGTGAGACATAACAGAGAATCACAGATAACTAAAATAAAACAACGAGCATTTGAGCATTTAGAGTTGTGTTCACCGCACATCCCCGGCGTGACAATAACAGCGCAAAGTGGTTTCTAATTGAATGAGGAAGCGGTTTCTGCTCTGCTCCAGTACTGTTTTATATGGGCCACCGCCATATTGAGTAACACAAATCAAGAGTTGGAAAAAGCAGGTTTGTATGACTATAAATTAAATAAAAACAAAACATGTATGGCGGTAGGTAAATGTATATTTTTTCAGATATAGAGTCAACGGGGGCCAAGCCATTTATGGCATGGCGGTCGACATTGTTTACATGGTTAACAACCAGTGTCATTGGAGCGCTTATGTCGGCCCCCCACTCCGATTCCACCATTCGTTCTCAAGATGCTCTCTCGTACCTTTGAGCGTGGCTTTCTTGAGGACCTTCATTGCGTAGAGCTGGTTGTCATCAGGAGGGGTCACCTTGCGCACCAGGAACACCTCAAGTATGCGAGACACAAGCAAAGTCAGGGGTGAGCCGCAAAGACTTGCCGAGGATGAAAAGAGAAGCGGCTTCCAGCTCGTGTGCGTTACCTTCCCAAAGGAACCCTGACCCAACACTTTGAGCAGTTCAAAGTGAGACGCGTCTGCTTTTTCCGAACCCTCTTTGACCACATGGGTGATGTTGATTTCCTTGATTTCGCCATCGTCCTATACATGGGAGGGGAAAAAAAATTAAATGAAACAAAGGATGTCGAAAAATGCTCCCAGTGTTTCCCCGACCTAAATGATTCTGAAAGTGTGGTACAGGTATGGCGAGGTGGGTGAAAATGGGCTCCCTCAAGTAACATAAAGAAGAAATTGTTGTTTTTAAACATTTAGGTACCCTTTTGTTTTCCAGACCAATACGACCACCGATACTATAACCAAGTCACCGATACCACTAGTACATTTTACATTTGATACATATGCAGTACTTTCTATTAAACCAATGACAGGTAATTATAAAGAGGGAGCTTTTGTTTATTTCTGACAAAGACAGAAGCGTCAATACAGAATTCAAATTCAAAATCACAAAGACTTTGATTTACGATTCATTTGAAATACATTTTAAATAGTGAAAAACACAATTGACTACTCTCTCAGTTTTGGAGAATAAAGTGAAGTGCAAAATAAAGGTTCAACTGTTAAGATAGACAGTATGAAGCTAGAAATTAGGGCTCGGTGATTGATCACAATCTAAATATTTTATATCACTGGTATTGATCATGATTATAATTTTTTTTTTTACCTACTCAAAATAAGAAAATGATTCAATTGATTCAGGATAAAATAAATCCAGAGAAAACCATCCAGAGAATAAATGCCATTCATATTAAAAAATACAAATACACCAAAAAAAAGAAAAAAAAAATACGGGTAAAAGGTAGCACTCTGTATGACGCACACCAGTAAGTAAAAGTGCTATGTTGGCATGTCCTGCATTCAACAGGAAAACAAGACCTTATGAGTGCACTGAATAAAAACAACATCCAGTTTTTCTCAGTTGATGAAAGGATGCAAATGTATAAAATGTGTGCGTGGAATACCGTCATGGAGAAAGTCATCAGACAACCTAAATTGAATCGTAGTGAGCAGAAAGGCACTAATAATCCACTCAAAGCATGAATGTAAACCTTGGAAACATACATATACTTACACAAATTGCATCTTAAAGGCTGTTAATGGATGACCATTCTTTTATTGTTTTGTAGCTTTTATCATTTCACATTTTGTTTATTCAAGTAGAATACAATTGGAAGACTAAATGAATTTATTGGTCGACCGCAGTCCTGAATAGTCATGTAACGCTATTAAACTTTAATCAGAAGGAAACGCTGATTAAAGCGCTTCCTCATGAGAAAATAACAGCAACAGGAAGCAGCTTGAACGTACCAGCGCTATTACAACAACAAAAACAACGCATTTCACAGAACTTTAAATACACGTTGTTATGGTTACCGGTGTCGAGCGTTTCAGTGCGGGCAAAGCATCTGCAGCCGCCGCCAAGCCTTTGTTTTTTTTCGACAGGTAGAAGGGGAGAAAGCGACTCAGTTGAAATCTGGCCCCGGGGCCCATGTCCCAAGTCGTGACACTCTAAGGACCTTTCTGACTCTTGTCTTGTGCTCCTCTGACTGGCTGAGCAGAGGTTTGAAGACAAATCATGAGTCGGCAAAACAGGAAGTAAGAGACTGCCTTTATTCTCACACTCGTGCGCCCACATGAAGGCACACACAACCGAAACACTCAGAAAAAAAATAATTGTATGAGTGACAGGAACATATTTGAAGAAAAGACATCTATTATATCCAATGTGCAGTCATCAGGTCAAAACACTCGACTGCTTTTAAGTTAAAAGGCAGGAAGAGGAGCCGAATCAGACCACTTGACGGAAACGCTCTTATCTCAGGCCAAGCGTGTTCCTCTCCTAATTGTCTATTCCTACTCATCCTGTCTTCAAAAAAAAAAATCGACCTCAGGTGACCCGAGTATTAGATGGAATAACCGATAGGATAATCGATTCTACAGAAGATACGAACATATGGAAACCCCACACTACTTTTTGGGACGCCGTTATCTTGGTGAATCACTAAATATCGTCGCTTTTAACAGTGAAGAGAAGACAAGTCTTTCATTTAAAATCTAAATAACTACAAGGAAAGCAATATAGAGCATATTGTCGTGTGGCATCTGAAGATGGCGAAGAAAAAGCGATGATGCAAATACGGGAAAGGGCAGATGTCAGCATATGAAAATGAGATATTATAGTGTTGTCTCAACACAGGCACAAAATGACTTACCTGGGCACTAATATGGGCAAAGTCCTTCTCTATCCACGTGATATGACACTTGTTCTAAGTGGTGTTGGAATGGAGAGTTCACATTATTATTAGGATGATGATTATTGTGTGGCTTTTCTTTTTTTCATCTTTGAGCACACACACACACACACACACACACACACACACACACACACATACACACACAGAGGTGACAGAGGCAGGGGTTGGTAAAACAGGACAGGAAAAGACAGAACAGGAAGTCAAAGCGCTTTCTCTCTCTCTGACTTCACTTCCTTCCGGCTACATAAGCTCAACCTGCAAGAAGAAGCCGCTATGCAAAGATCAGCCTCTCATCAAAGTCAAACACACAATGGCGACAGGGCACGGAATACCCCGCAGTACAATCTACATTGTTGTTCAATGTAGATGGAGTAACTGGACTCCAACGTAACCACTCCTGTAGGGTTACAACTGCCCCTTAAAAGCAGACTTTACACCAATCCGACCGAGCGTATCGAAATTGGTCGAGAAGCTTGCATTCATGCACAATCGGTGATCGACTGTAATGTCGCAATTTGCGCAAAATAAGACTTGACAGCAAACACAACCTCGATCTGTGCTGCCATAAGTGTATATTTGAGTCCAAAAGCTAATCTCTTTTTAGACTTGCCTCATGGGTGCGGACAGTGTTTGGGCTGGGAGCCTGTTTGGTGACTAAAGGGATGGAAATGAAACTTTTTTAAAACTTTTTTTTTTTTTTTACCCGATTCATGTATTGACAAAACAATCAATTTAAATAATTATTAGTTGCAGCCCTATATCTCACAATGTAATTCTGACATCACAATTAAAAAAAAAAATCATATATTGATGAATGTTAATTGTATCAATTAAATTGCATTTTAATTTCTTTCCATTTTTTGCAGATTTTTATTTTCACTTTAAAAAAAAAAAATATTTTTTTTTTTAACCATTTTCATCAATGGGACAGGAATAGAACAGTTGAAAAATGATTCCCCCCCGCAATGCAAGTCCAATCACCATCCTTTGTGAACTAGGAAGTCGGCTGATAACTGACAAATGGACGGTCAAGCTCACAAAAATAAGTCAGTCTATGATTTATTTCATCTTCGTTCAGACCTTGCCTGCCTCCTCAGCGCCAACCCTGTTTAACGTGTTGAAGTTAACTGGCTCAAAAAAAAAAAATAGTCTTTACAATGAGATCGGACATGAGGTCCCCATATCACACAGATATACACACACACACACACACACACACACACACAGTCACACAGACGCATACAGGATACGACTGGATCAAAGTTAACATTTCTCACGCAAAAACATGCTGAAATCCAATCAAACAACAACAAAACTGCCACTTGCCTCTCTCGTGCGTGTTTTGGTGCGGAATAGGAACCTCCACATGTCCAGATATTTCCATGTCACTACGAGCCAGCAGGCACCGCACCGCTTTTCAACCGCGCAGCCTTTGAGTTGGCCAACATGTTCGATGTGCGTTACACACACACTCGGCAAAATGGGAAGTGAGGTTTTTCGCACCCAAGTGTAGTGTGACTGAATTAACGAGAACTGGTCGCAAAGGGGGAAGGTTTGACACGAGAGGAACATCCCAAGGCGAACGTCTCATTTCTGAATGCGCTTTTTCTTCGCAAAGCACAGTCACTTGCAAAACGAACAGGTCGGTGCTCAAAAACAATCAAAAGCACACGTGAAATAGAAATAGAGAAACAGAGAAAGGATTCATTTGGGGGGGGGGGGTCTCATTCCTCTGAAGAAACCCTCACACGAGCACGATGAGGACCGCCAGCTTGTTGAAGAAAAAGAAAAAAAAATCACATGCGAGACATAAAGGGCCAGTGCCACACCCTCACGAGGAGCCTTAAAGCAGAGACAAGGTTGGCCAAGTAAGGGCATACTCACCATGTTAACTTGTAAACTCAAGAGTCCGTAGAAGTGCTCATTAAACCGAGCTTGGCACAGAGGAGACAATGTACAGGAGCGCGAGCCAATGGTGGACTCGCAGCTTGCGGCTTAATAGTTCACGAATAACATACAATTACGACATTTATCTGCCGGCGGTCTGAGACGCGGCTTCCTCTTTTTCTGCATGTTTTCAAGTCTTGACAGTTGGAACCGAGAGCAGCCAAGAGGCCATTCAAGTAAACACAAAGGACAAGATCATCTAAACATGCAGCCAAACACTGCGCTTGATTGTCCTTCCACTGCCTAAAAAGTCCATACTGGACTTTCTCGACAGGGGCAAACAACACGCGCGGAAGTTAAAAGACGTTGTAATTTAACTTTGATTCACGGAGCAGCTGCACAATCTAATGAGATCCAAAACAAAATCATTTTCACAGACTGACAATATATTTTTTTATAGGCTTTACGCCTCATGTCTCTCTCCACCCTGTCTGACCTCGTGGCGAATGTACTGCACATCCCACAGACCACATAAATCCAAACCCACAACGGGTGGAGTTCTCCCCCCCACAAAAAAATGGAACAATGAGGAAGTCGTTCAGGTTTTTCAACGCGCAAACGACAAGACGGTGGGCCTGCTCAGTAGAATAAAAGTAATGATCAATTATGCGCGCTCCTTAATTGAACCAAATACCGATACAGTGAATGAGGATGTTAATTTTGGCAAAAGTAATTGTTTGCGAGAGAAATGCTTTTTAGGCAGGGTGTCAATTCCTTGCGGATTGCGCGTTTCAGTACTCAAGTCAGCGTGGTTGAGGTTTAATATCACGACACTACAAATGCTGACATGATAAACACTCAACCTACCAAAAGAAAGAGAGGCCTATTTATTTTCACCAGAAAAGTTTGTCTCTAGATTTTTCAATTCTTTAGTAATCAGCA